ATTCACTTGTCAAATATTTACAGATTACAGTTTATATATGAAGTCGAAATTAAAGCCCAAAAGTAGAAATATTTCGACTTGGGAAGGTCAAAAGTCGAAATTAAAGTTGAAATAGTCGAAATTACATCATAATCATGTGATTTTTATAATTATAATTTAATATAAAATTTTAAACGTGAATAACTCCGTTAATATTGATGCTACAGATATGAAATACATATCATTGGAATCCTCTTGATGAGCTGAATCCAACCGCGTAAAGATCATAAAAATCGAATCACTGGATGCTTAGTTCGTTAACTTTGAATTTTAAAATTATTGTTACTATAAAAATTAGAAGACTATTTAATACCAAATTTTAAAGGTAGTGTGTAGCACGTGATTTTTTAATATATATTGTATAGCAAATTTTTTTGCTGATCATTTGTTTACATTTTATATATCACCGCGTGTTACATTTAATATAAACAACCAATAAAATTTAAGATTGCCTATTCGCAAAATCATATATTCCTATTCGCAATTTCATATGAGGGTTTTTGAAAATTTTTTTTAAGGAATAAAGTTTTTTAAAGTCAATAGACAAAGTTCGAAAATGTGGCTTTCTAACCATATAATTTTTATCCTTTTATGTTAAGTATAACAAAAATTTATATTGCACAGAAATTTGCGTTACTATATAATATAAAATTTGCCATGTCAATCAATATGAAACTATCACGTGATACACAATACCTTTAAATGTGAATAACTCCGTCAATATTAATGCTACAAATATGAAATACATATCATTGGAATCCTCTCGATGAGCTGAATCCAACCGCGTAAAGATCATAAACATCGAATTACTGGATGCGGAGTTCGTTAACTTTGAATTTTAAAATTATTGTTTACTATAAAAATTATAAGACTATTTAATACCAAATTTTAAACGTGAATAACTCCGTCAATATTAATGCTACAAATATGAAATACATATCATTGGAATCCTCTCGATGAGCTGAATCCAACCGTGTAAAGATCATAAAAATCGAATCACTAGATGCGGAGTTCGTTAACTTTGAATTTTAATATTATTGTTTACTATAAAATTATATGACTATGATGTAATTTCGACCATTTTGACTTTGGAAGGGCTCAAGTCGAAATCATTTCGACCATTTCGACCATTTTGGAGGTCAAAATTAACCAATTTTGGTTTCATGTATACTACAGTTACAATGTAAAAATAGCAAAAAAATAAAGCTGATATTAAAGTTCATATAATATTTAATGAGTTCTAAGAGCTATATACTTGACTTTTTAGATATATTATAATTATAAATAAATTGAATTGAATTGAGTAATGTGAAACACATGATATACTATTGATATTTCAATTTTGGTTAATTCTCATCCTATTGGCTGCAGCAAAACTTTTTCAAACTTTTTTTTTTCAGTTGGTTTTATTTAAATCTGACATTTTTTTTTTCTGACAAATTTTTTAGTAATTTTTTATTTAATTTTATTTATTTTTTATTATTATTATTATATAAATATATTATTATTTAATTTTTTAAACTTAGATTTAGATCAGGTGATGTAAGCTCCTTTTTTTTCAATTTTTATTTTTTTTTAATAAAAAATTTTTTCCTAATTACTTTTTTGCTAATTTTTTTATCCTTTTAATTTAAATCAGGTAAGGACAGTGACAGATATTACCTAATATTCTAGGTGGAGGGAGGTACTTAGTAAAATTATCTAGTCAAAAAAAAAAATTAAATTAATTTTAAAATCCAAATTGAAATCATTTAGAATAATTATCCCTTAAACTGTAAACAATTGCGGACAAATCGCAATTTTACCGAAATTTCAGCTCTCATCTAATTTTATGAAAAATAAAGCAATTTTAATAAAATTTTTTTTCAAAATAGTTTAAATTATATATTGTGTAGCAATTATTATCATTTATTACCTATTGGTCAAAAGTTGTATTTTAAAATAATCATAAAATTTTAAAAGACTTTGCATTTAACTTTGACGATTTTATTGATAATTAATTGTAGCTATATAAAAGCTTAATAGAATCATGTAGAATTTGGTATGAGAAACAACTTTTGTTAATATGATTTTTGATATTTAAAAGTAGAATTTTGATTTTATATAGAACCTTAGTGAAAATTTTATTATACATTTTAATTATATATTCATAAAAATTAATTTTTTTTTTCTCTATTTTGTTTATTATAATGCAAAATTTTTATAATGAAAATAAAAGTTATAATAAATATTCAAATAGAAAAAAAAATATGATAAGAAAAGTAAGATTTTACTATATAAAAATTCTGATACTATTTTTATAGGTTAATTTCTCATCCAATTTTAATGATCAACCGCATATCTAACTCACATAATTTATGGCCAAAATGTAGATCAATTTGGTTGCAAAATTATGTGACAATCTGGTCAAAATTAAAGAATTTTTATAGCATCATTTATCCTAATTTAGAAATTGCAGGCAAATTTGCTCGCAATACAGTTTAAAAGATACAAAAATAAATTAATATCAAACTATAAAGTTATTAATAATGTTAATTATTCACAGGAATTCATTTTTTAAGAGGGGAAAATATTAAAGTAGAAATGTGGCTGTGACACAGTAATTTTATATAGATCATTTTGTAGATCCTTAATTTTTTTTGATTTTTTTGATTTTTTTGATTTATTTAATAAATCTGATAAATTTGATATATTTGATTTATTTATTTTATTAATTTTATTTACTTTATTTGTTATATTTTATTTATTTTAAATATATTTTAAGTATAAAATAAAATTTTAAGTTTATTTTAAGTATATTTTGGCAAAAATATTTTTTATAGGGTTTGTATTTGTACCACTTTTGTACCAAATTTCAGGATGTAACCCCTGGTTGGGATACTCCACTATTGGGTACCTGCTAACTAAAGGAATTACTGGATTCAGATATTGCTTCTTAGTTCAGGTATCCTATTTTGTTGTTAATAAAGGTCTACTAATTCTGGAGAAGGAATTGGTTATGTACCTTCCCTTGTTACTAAATAAAGACGTACTATTAACAGTTAATATGTTATTTAATTTTTGAAATATATTGATTTAAAGAAGCTATGACATACAGCTGCTGATAATAGCTCAACCAGTCTACAAAAAAAAAATTAAATAAACTTTTTTTTAAAAATAGATAATTTAATTAAATATTACTATATACCTTCTATTTCTTCATCATTTGTATCTCTGATTTACTGTAAAAGATCATAGACTTGTTCTTTGCTAGACATATTAGAAATTTGTCTTATTAGATTTTTTGTAGTTTTATCAAATGAAATTTAATTGAATTAAAAATAAAATATAATATGTGAAATTATGAATAATTAATAAAATCAATAAACACCTTTCAAAGTGTATAAAATATGATTTAAAATAAATGTTAAATAACAGATCTAATTCCAATTCTTGGCTTGTGCTACATCTAAGTCAGCCAAGATACAACAACATCTTGTTAGTGAATATGTAGCAGTAAAGATATTTGTAAAAACTCTACACAGTGATAATACTACAATACTAAAATAATAAAGATAATTTAAATTTACATTTTAAATATTCAATTAATTAAAAAGAAATCTTTACTTACTTAAATGATAATCAGAATTATATGTATTTATTTCAAATTCACTTTTAAAACTAATATTAATTTGAAACTATTCAAGTGTAATTTATTTTGGCTTGTTTAGTAAGCATACATGTAATAATTATTTGATTGTCATTTGTAAAAAGATCTAAATAAATAAATAATTATTAATATAACTCACTCATTATAAATTAAGATAGAAATTAAATAAATTTATCAATTTTATGAACATAATAAACTAAATCAAAACTTGTATTTGATACTCATTAAATAATGCAATTTGTCAATATTATTAAATAACACATACATTTCAGCTAAAGTTTTTTTATTAAAATAAGCTTTAATTAGATTTTTTATTAATAAATATATTGTTATCCTATTAACGATTAAAGAAAACTTTAATGCTTTAACAGGTTAACTGGAGTTTAACTTAATAGAAAAGTCTTAAGTTGATTGCAAATAATCATATAAAATAATGTTGAATGTTCAGTTAAAGAAAATAGGTTTTTATTAAAATAATGTAAGATTTTAAATACGACAAAAAATATAAATAATCTTTTGGTTATGAAATTAACTATCTTGAATTATACTATTGAAAATAATGCTCTTTTCATATAACTACTGGTATTAAGCTTTAGCAATTTACTTTTTTTTTAATATTTAATATTTTTATAATATTTTTTATTAAATACTTTATTTAATACTTTAATTAAAAAAATATTTTATTGAAGTAATTATTAATATTTTATTAAATGAAATTATTATTTTTTTAAAAAAAAATAAAAATAAAAATTTAATTAATAAATTAAAAGATTGATTTACTTATTTTTTAATATAATTTTTAAAGTTAAATGTAAATAATACTTAGTGATTATAATAAAAACTTTTACTTAAAATTATTAATAAAAATATTTATGAAATCTTATTTAATAATAAATAGGATTCTAGTTATATTAAAATTATAAAAGGTAAAAAATTCAATAATTTTTGTTCAAATTTATCTATAAGAATAATTTTAAAATTAGACAAAGTCTTTAAGATGTTTGGAATTCTAAAAAGATAGAACCTGATATAACTAATGAAGTTAAAGTATTCACATATTTATTATAGTACTTTAAAACTTAGAAAAGAGCTTGAATGTTTGTTCAAAAAACCTAAATATTTATAAATCAAATTCACTTATATATAGCAACTGATAAAAGAAGTGATTATTTTTAATATTTATTGATAATAATATACAATAAAGAATAATATACAGTAAGAATAATTTACAGTAAAAAATAATATATAGTATATACTGTATATATATTGTACCAAATTATTATTATTAGAGTATTTTTCTAATAGAGAGTAAATTTTTTTTTTTTAAAAAAAAAAATGTGATTAAAATAATTTACAGTAAAGATTTATCCCCGCATATTTTTTAATCAATTAACCATATAATTTAACCTTCCACCAATAATATAATATTAAAGCAATAGAAAGAAAACCATAACTTATAAATATAGGACTCAAATTTTGAATCCTACATTTTTGTGGGTCAAGAAATTGACAGTCGTCAGTTTTGGTGACAAAGGAAAATGCCAATATAAATAATCCTGCCAATATAAAAAGTCCTGCTAAAGGCAATGGAACTTTAAATTGATTTTCATTATCACGATTTCTTCGAATTATTAATAAACCTATACCAGTAGCAACATAAAAAATCCAATAACTATACATGGCGAATTTTGAAAATAAAGTAAAAGTCGTTATAGTAAAACTAGAACCAATAAAGAATATAATTAATGAACACCAAATGAATTGTGCTAATAAAGCATTAATAGGCGTATCTAAATTATTATTCCAAGTTTTTAGTTCTTTCGAATATTTTGGGAAAAAATCCGATCTTGCAGCTGCAACAATAACTCTTGATCCGTTCCATACTTCTGATGCTGCTGTGCCAATTACAGAAAGTACGACAAGAGCGGTGAAAATTCTAACCACTACTTCAGATCCACCAAATAATTGGCGAAAGAATGTTGCGGCTATAGTCTCATCGGAGTCCGTTGAATCTATTAAATTTTCTGGTACAACCGAGATAAACGCAATATTTACAAGAAGGTCTATAAAATAATTTAGAATTTTAATATATTATAATATTAAAGTTAGAATAAATTGTAGTATACATACAGACTACGATAACAATTCCAACGCTTATGATGTTGCTGTATAAGAGTTTTTTTTCCGGCCTGCGGAATTCATCAAGTGAATCTATAACGTAGATATTGTATCAGTTATCAATAAAATTTTTTAAAATATATGTATACTATTTACTCACAATTTAAGCTGTTCCATCCATCATAACTAAACATAATCTATAAAATAAAATGACTGTTAAAAAAAAAATTCACCAAAAAAAGGACATATATGTTTAATATATTTACCAATAGAACGGAACTAGAATAAGCTGTAATATCTGTATTTCCCTCTAATGATTTTTTCCAATTTAATGAACTATCTGGATTTGTAATCAATTTACCAATTCCAGCTATTGCGATAATTGAATATGTGACCAGCTTAATGACAGCTAATGATTGATTTATATAAATCGCCCATCTATTACTAAGCATATGATATAACGTTATTATGAATAAAAAGGAAACAGCAATTAACTTTAAAATCCTGAAAAAAATAAAATTTTAGATTAGAAATTTTTAGATTACTGCAAGTTATCGTCATTAACAATAAATTTTTCTTACCAAAATGGAGAAAAAGCAAGTTGCCACCCAGTTGTAACTTGCTTAATATCCTTATCGTATCGGGAACCATTAATAGTATACCAAAAATACTGTGCTGCAGATTGTAAAACTGCACACAAAATTCCTGGTTGAATCGCACTAAGTTATAAAATATTTTTAATATTTTTATAAATTCAATTGAAACGGAATTGTATAAAATACTTACAAAATATACATGAAGCTAAAAAGATAGCTCATCATGTATTCCGGATAAGGATAAGCAGTTTGCAAATACTTTGTTTCCCCTCCACTTATTTTATGTATAACACCAAGTTCAACGTAGGATAAAGAACCAGCCATAGCAACAATACCGCAAAGTGACCATAATAATAATACAATCCCAGGAGATTTTACCGCCTTCCAAATAATTCCTGGGGAAGTAACGATTCCTGACCCAATTACGCTATTTACATTCATACCAATACCATAAACAACGCCTAAAAGCTTGGTCGAATCATTATTCCTACTAAAAATTATTGATTGTGCTGGTGATGAAGGTGCTGGTGACGAAGGTGTTTGGGATGTTTCATCATTAATTTCACGATCGGACATGGTATCAAGAGTTTCAGGCATCTTTTCATAAAGAAAATATACTTATATATATATTTTTAAAAAATTTTTTTTTTTTTTCAAAAATTGTTTGATATAAAAATCATTTAGCCATTTATCAATAGCAAAATATTTATTTACTCTGTATTCGCAAACAAAAAAAAACAAGGCAAACTCTATCTCTTTAAGAGAGGTTATATTTAGACATCAATATGAACTGTACTGTCTGTACGTAAGAAAAAAAAAAACAAAAAAGAAAAAAAGAACTCCCTTATGTTTTTCTAATTAGGGTATTACTTTATATAATTTCCCAATTAAGGTTTTCATTGTCTAAAATTCAGTATAACCTTTTGACTTCATCACTATACTAATTTAGTTAGTCATTGAAAGAAAAATGACACGAGGATAATAAAAATAGAGGTAACCGTCAACCATCATAAACACCAAATTTAGCATTTTATTTATTTATCGTATTACAGATATAAATAAATATAATACATTTAATTATTTCTTATCAATTTTTATATTATTACATTCTGTTTTCCTGTAATATAAAGAGACCAAAACATTAAAGCATTAAGAAGAAATACGTAACTAATAAGGAATGAACATGAATCATGTTTTGAACTTTCTTTGGATATTTATTGTTAACGACAAAAGAAAATGTCAGCGTATACAATATAATCCTGCCAAATAACATAACGTAAAAGTTGGGATGAATATAATTTGATATTTTGAGAAAAAAAAAACTGATCTTTATGCTGCAACAATAACTCTTGATCCGTGCTGCCGTGCCCATTACAAGTAGTATGATAAGGCTGTAAGTTCTCAAACGAATACTTCGGATTCACCAAATAATTTGTTTCTCCATCACCAATTTCAAAGTAAGATAAGAACCCAGACATAGTAATAATTCCACCAATTGTCCATAATAATATGTTTTCAAAGAGATTTTTTGCCGCCTTCTAAATAATTCTTGGTTTAGTAACCCGATTATATTGTTTATCTTTCATACCAATACGCCAATACCATAAACAAATAATTGGCCAAAGTTTTAATTATAGGAAATTCCGAAAAGAAAGATCTATAGTATATCGTATCTGTATTGACCTGAATGTTGTACGAAATTTCATCTATTTTGATTTTCTTGCAAATAGTGCAACTTAATAATTTCGAAAATAAATTTGTGTAAAATTGTAAAATCTAACTTATTTTGTTAGCGTGATCTTCGCTGTTCTTAATTTAGTATACTCAATTATCATTGATAATTGTCTTTTAAATAATATGATTCTTTTGCCAGTTACTTTTTTCATTGTTTATTATAATATAAAAAATAAAAAGAAATCTCAAATTTAACTTATAACCTGAGTTAATATTTTCTGGCCGAGAAAAATGCTTGATCGACACTTGTGTGAGATGTTTATCGCGTGACTCGTATGTATTTTTTCTACACGATTTAATCTTATTTTCACGGAACGAGAATGTTCGGTTCATATGCTAACTTATTTTTTACATAATATGATAATCACAAATTTTAAAGTGGTTATACTAGTACAGCTTATTTGTAAATTCATGCAAAGAACTCATTCAAAATATACGCCATCAGTACCACTTTTCATATTAAACGTGTAACAACTTTTCAAATATGAGTAACGTAAGATGAAAAAAATTTGAAATTGCAATGCCACGTGATTTATACTAACGTTGACGGCAAGTATCATCATGCCTTGTCTTGGTTATCCTCTCTGAGCTTGCCGATTGGTGTTTTAGATCATAGTCTTTAGTTATATTATACATATCATACATATTAAGGGACTTCTCTTTAAAACAGAGTTTTTTTTCCCATATTTTTATTTTGGCGGAGAACATATTTGTGTTTTGGTTAGAGAACATATTTATGTTTTGGTTGGTTCGTAAGATATCACTTTTTTTTTTTTTTGAAACATCTTAAAAGTAAACGAGATGGCTTAAACAAATTTTTTCGTTTTAGTATATATTATAAGGTAAAATATTTAATTGGAGATACATAAATGGTTTATATTTCTAACAATGAATTCTCGTATTGATTTTCAAAATTTATTTTTAAACCGAAGGCTTAAATCTTCTGTGACACCTTGTGTTTTAGAATTTCAGAATAATCAATTTAAAATCACCTTTTCTAGTTTAAAGTTCTGAGAGAATTCAAAAAAATTCCGAAACTTTAGTAAAAATATTATATAATAAGGTTTAAAAAATTTTGCCAAGAATTTATTTGAAACACATAAGGATTAAGGACTATTAATCCCGGTTGGATAATAGATTTTCCATAACCCGATCATATTTAGGATTGTTTGTAGTTGATAATTGTGAATTGTCAAAAAAAAAAAAAATATTATTCATGTGCAAATATAGAATCCTATCCCGTTTGATAAACAAGATCTCTTTCACTTGTGAATTAATTAAGATTTTATTTAAGATTTAACAAAGAATTTTTATATTAATTTTAATTTAATGCACACAAATGATTTGCGATAATTTTAAATTACGTGAATTTTTGATATTCTGTGTATCAAAAATGTCGAACACAATAAAATTACTACTAAATTTCAGGTTAATTACTGGTGTTATAGAATTTATTTAACAAAAATACACTTTAAGGTTACTAAGTTGTTATATAAAATAATTTACATATGTATTCTAATATATATATATATATATATATATATATATAATAAAGTATTATATTTATAATAATAATAAACAAATAAAATAAAATAATTTAATTATGAATTGATTTGACTATCCATACTATCATGATCAGCAGCTATTCTCATAACAGCGGCTTCCTGTTGCTTCTTCTTAGTATCCCACCAATAATAAAAGAAATACCAAGATAATAATGCAACAAATAAGAAACCGTAACTGAGCACAATTGGTGATAATTTTTGTGCCCTCAAAGGACCCAAAACGTCTTCACCACAATTAGGTTTATCATCAGGACATTTTACATTGACAATAAAAGAGAATATTAATATAAAAACTCCTCCTAGAATAAAAATTCCTGCTACAGGTAATGGTACTTTAAAGAATTTTTCTTCTAATCTTGATAATAATTTGAGATTACTGCTATTAGTACCCCTATCATTACTTCTGTTAAGTTCTTCATCATCCTTTTCAAGTTGTCTTTTCATTTTGTAATTTTTACTTCTCTTTCGAATTAACTATAAAAGAAAAAAAATATACATATATAATTAGTCGATTTAACAAAAAAATAATTAATTAATAATTTTTATACGTACCAATAAACCTATACCAGTAGCAAGATAAAATATCCAATAACTGTAACTGGCAAAATTTGAAAATAATACAAAACTTGAAATTGAAAAACTACCACCAACGAATATCATAAGGATTGAACACCAAATGAATTGTGCTAATAAAGCATTGATAGGTGTATTAAAACGTTCATTCCAATTTCTTAATTCTCGTGAATATTTTGGGAAAAAATCTGATTTTGCCGCTGCGACAATAACTCTTGATCCACTCCATACATCTACTGCAGCGGTACCCATTACAGAAAGTACAACAAGGAAGGTAAAAAATCTAGCAATCGTTTCGTTGCCTCCGAATAATTGTCTAAAAAATTCTGCAGCTATGGTTTCATCTATCTTACTATTGTTTATTATAAGTTCTTGTGGTACGACCGAAATAAATGCAACATTTACAAGAAGATCTATATATATAAAAAAATATACACGTATATTTTAGAATTTAGGTTGCCAACTGATATTGATATTATCCCTTAAATGGTCTAGCAACGTCATTTAAGGGATAATTAGATGGTAAGCTTTTTACATAAAACCAAATATTTTATGTCAAAAGTTTCATCAAAATCTATATTTTACGTACACATTACTGTAACAATTGCGACACTAATACTATTGCTGAGAATCAATTTCTTTTCTGGGTTCCTGAACTCATCCAAAGAATCTACAAAAACATATTAAATTATCTGTTAATAAGTATATATATATATAGTACTATTAATCTTTAAATGAAAAAAAAAGTTTTAAATTAATAAACATGACGTACAATTCAAGTTATTCCATCCATTATATGTGAACATAATCTGTTAATAAAAAAATAATAATAATAATAGTAATGTAGCTCTATTCGTTGTATATCATTCCGAAGTGAAGACACGTAGAAAATAATAATAATAATAATATCGTGTAACACTGCTTACAATATTCCCTTTATAAATACCCTCACATCATAAGACATGGGTATATTCAATGAAAGTTATTGTATAAGACTAATATTCGACATTTAACGAAATATTCACGGTATTATACAATTTTAAATTCAGGTATTTTAAAATACCTCGCCGGTGTATTATAAGCAGCGTTATACGGTTTATCTTATAATAATTACCGATAAAATAGTAGTAGATGAATATGTTGCAATATCTGTATCTCCACTTAACGGCGTTTGCCAATTTTTACGACTCGTTTCTGTATTTTGACATAATTTATATAATCCAGCTAGAGCAATTATTGAATAAGTAATCAATTTTATAATAGCGAGACTCTGATTTATCATAGCTGCCCATCTGTTACTAAGCATATGATAAACTGTTATGATAAATAACAGTACGATTGCTAAAAGTTTTATAAACCTAGAAAAATAAGAATTAAATTTTTAATTGCTGATCTCATCCAAATCGGTATATATATATATATATATATATTTATATATGTACCTGTCTCTTATACACATCTAGATGTGTATAAGAGACAGTCCTTATCCTTAATTATTTAGTAATAAAAAATTTTTCTTACCAAAATGGAGAAAATTGTAGATTCCATCCACTTAATTTTGGATCAATATCATCAGAAAATCGACGTCCTTTTATAGTATACCAAAAGTACTGCGCACCAATTTGTATAACAGCGCATATAAGTCCTGGTCTAATTACACTAAAAAAAGAGAGAGAGATTTTTAATATATGAATTTATGAAAGATTATTAATCAGATTTTGAAAAAAAAAGAATTTTCATATTTACAGGACAAACATAAAACTGAAAAGATAACTCATTAAAAGTTTTGGATTTGGATAAGCAGTTTGTAAATATTTCGTCTCGCCTCCACTTATTTTATGAATAGCTCCAAGTTCAACATATGTTAATGAACCTGCCATACTTACTATTCCACCGATTAACCATAATAATAATACTATTCCAGGAGATTTTACAGCATTCCAAACAATTCCTGGTGCAGTAACGATACCTGATCCAATAACATTATTTACATTCATTCCAATACCATAAAATACACCTAATAATGAATCATTTCGTGGTTTTAAGGAAGGTTCTGAACTTAATGCTGAAATTGGTCTTATAATTTCTTGGCTTCCTTCATAATCTCCATGTGTATTGCCATAAATATTAATATCATTTGTGTTAGCCATTTTTAATCAATAAAAATGAACGATATGAACGATATTTTTTTAAAAAAAAAAAAAAAAAAAAAATTTTACAAGCGAAAAAAAGAATAATAAATAATTTAAATTCCTCAAGATTTTTAAACCATTTATTCTTGAAGCACGTGGATTTTTAACGTTACACTTGAATGACAAATGTTACACTAAAACCAAATAAACATAATTCATTGTATACCTATATTAAACTATAGTCAATTGGACAAAGATTGTAAACTGAAGGATTCAAACCGTATAAATCATATCATTCCTAAAAAGGAATATTTTTGTTTGTGTATGACAAAAGAATTAAATGTTTCAAATTAAAATAAATTAGATCAAAAAGGTTTATTCGTTGGTTAATAATTTTTTTTTTTTCTTTTTTGTCGATTAAAAAAAAAAAAAAGAGTTTGAATATAAGTTGAATTCATCTAAACTTATTATTATTATTTTTCGCGTAAGTTCCACTGTTACAACATGAATTCCGTTTTCCGAAATTAGAAAAAAATCTCGGAATTTGTCTCCGAAAAAAAACGCCCAAATGCTCGAGAATCGAAAAAAATTTAAAAATTTTTTCTTTTTCAATACCTTAAAAAAGGGAAAAAATAATGAGTAGTAATACTTAAATAATCGATTGTTAAGTTAACAATGTGCCATCTTTGGTCAAAATAGAAACAATATAAGTAAACCTTTCCCATCTGTATATGTTTTACTAAATTTTTTTTTCAAATGTAAGTACGTTAAACAAAATAATTAAATAACAAGGATGGATTGTTTATGATAATGCATCAAAATGCCTTAACGCATATCATGTAATTTTCTGTTACACGACCTGAATTATAATTACGGGACAAAGGTTTTGGATGGACCGACCATCCATTAAGTCCATTAAGGTAATTATTAAATGAAAATTCTTGATTTTCAAAAATCGAAGATTATTATATTGATGTTTTTGAGCTTGTTTTTATATTAAAAAATCTTTATACTGTAACACCAAATTAATTGATAAACCACATGGAATTTATAAATCGGTTTGTGCTCTCATACTACGCGTACAACGTATGCCGCGATGCTACGTATACTACTTTTATACTATGATAAGTTATTACGTTTACTCGTTTTACGTCACTCACTTATTTATAAATAGTATTTTTATATTATATTATAATAGAGTATTTACATAATAATAATTACTAAAGAATTAATTATTTAGATTCTGCCAAAGTAGCAGCAATTTGAATTTTAACTTGTGTACTAATTTCGCTAGTCCATCGTCTTCTACTTTTCTCTTTTAAGTGCGGTCGATAAAATAAAACAAACCAAAGTAACATTCCAACAATTAAAGCTATGAAAGTGATAAATATGAAAGATATATTATTAAAATATGAAACTTTTGGTCTCGGAATGAAGAAAAATGCTAAACCGACTATTCCAAATCCCGAAAATATAAATAAATAATTGACTATCGTAAGCAACAATTTAGAATTATAGCCTTGACTTTTTCGAAAAACCTAAAAAATAGTCATGGTTAAGTTCAAGAATCTTTTTTTTTTTAAAAAAAAAAAAATAAAAATACTTTAGTTAGAAATTTATATTGTGCATACCAATAATCCAATACCCGTAATAATGTAAAATATCCAAGAACTAAACATCGATATGGAAGTAAACAGGATGAAGACGTCTACCACTACTGAGCTACTTACAATTAACATTAGAAATGCACACCAGATAAATTGCGTGAATAAAGCATTAACCGGTGTTTCAAAAGTGTTATGCCGAGATTCTAACTCATCCGAAAAGATTGGGAAAAAATTTGATTTTGCTGCTGATACAATAACTCTCGATCCACTCCAAATACTTGTTGCTGCTGTACCAATAGCAGATAGAACAACAAAAAATGACAATATTCTGGATACAACCACACTATTAAATATCATAAAAAAAAAATCTGCTGCTATCGTTTCATTAAAATGTTCCGTACTGGTACCGATTACGAGTTGAGGAGGTACGGCAGATATAAATGCGATATTTACCATCAAATCTATAACAGAAATAATTAAAAATTATTAAAAAGATTTGAAAAAAAAAAATTTCATGAGACTTACATAATATAGCTACTATTCCGACGCTGTAGCTGTTACTCATCCGCAGCTTCTTTTCGGGGTTCCGAAATTCATCTAATGAGTAATTCAAGTTATTCCAGCCATTATAGCTGAAAAAAACTTCAATTATCGCCACAGAATAAGGAGTTAAAACTGAAAATTTTGAATCTGGACTCTCTAAAGTTAGTTTCCAATTGCCAGTATCATGATATTTTGACATTCCACTAAGCGCAATGATAATAATCGTTATCATTTTAATCACAGCAAGCGCTTGATTTATTCGATTTGCCCATCTATTACTTAACATATGATATCCCGTTATTAACAATAATAGCATAACTGATATCAATTTTAATATCCTATAAAATAGAAAATTGTTAAAAACTTATAAATTACAGTGAATTGAAGTATCATAAATTCAAGTACCAATAAGGTTTAAATTCGTTACTCCAACCATTTGATGATGAATCTATCGATGGGGATTTTCCTTCAAATGTATACCAAGCATATTGCGCAGCAGATTGCAAAACTGCACATATAATACCAGGTCGAATTATACTAAATAAAAATTAGTATAAATATGGCGAATGACCTGCAATATGCATATAAGAATAGAAATGATAATAATACTTACAAAATAAACATAAAACTGAAAAGATAACTTGCCAACATTTTTGGTTGCGGAAAGCTCGAAGCTAGGTAAATTGTTTCTCCACCACTATCTTGATGAGTTATTCCAAACTTTTAATCACAAAATAATCAAGTTAACCAAATTATTATAATACATATTATATATAAAATAACTATTTACCTCAGTGTAAACAAGAGAACCGCAAAAACTTACGATTCCCCCAATTATCCATAGTATTATCACAACGTATGGTGATTTTACCTGCTTCCAGACAATTCCCGGGGTTGTAAATATCCCTATTATTCGTACAAAATGAATAAGTATCTAAACCTTTTAATTCTAAACATTTTAATCCAATGTTTTAATATTTACCCGCTCCTATTATGTCGTTTACATTCATCCCTATCCCATAAATTACACCGAGTAATTTATTCCTATTATCATTACTGGAAATTGTTGAACTTGTTGAACTTGTTTCTAAGTGACGTGACATTATTATGCGATGCAACGAATTTTAATTTTTTTAAAAAAAAGAAAAATTGAATAAAATGAAAGATCTTTATTATTTATATTTGTTTTTGTTATACATTCGATATATCTAATACAGAATGTTCCTCATGTATATACTTATTAATTAACATCATTGTTGTTATTATAAATATCTATTTAACGTTAAAATGTGACCATGTTGAGTAACCACGTGACGATGTAATATGAAGCTGTTCCGCTTTGTATGCACTTTTTCATAAAGATTCGGACTACCGATCCCCGGTCCCGGTTCTGATGACTGCGGATAAACTTAATTACGTAAGCTATTATGTAATGATACAATATCATCAGCTCATTAAAAAATTTTAAAAAATAGATTATTATCTTTCTAAATTCGAATAATCAAAAGAAAATAGGTCGACATGGTCGTCATTATTTCATATATCGGATAAAGCTATACATCTTTTTTTTTTTAGTTTAGCACCTTTTATGCGCTACTTTTTGTATTACAAACAAGATTAATGAAAATTTACAAAAAATTGCGAAAAGATGTTTTTTTGGTAAAGGGCATATTTTCTACCAATCAAATATCATATGGTAGCAATCTGTAAACCAGAAATTTAAAATCTCATTTATATTGTGTAACTTATTTTTTTATAGTATTCTGGTTGACCCCTATATAATCACACCTCTCGGGACCAAAATAAAATGGTGATTATAAAATACTATATGGTATAACTAAAGAAGGTTTTTTTTTAAATAAGTTTATTAGTAACTTGGGCAAAATTTTATTAAAATTATGAAATTTTAATCCATAATATTACCTAAAATTCTTAATTAAACTTTATATAAAATGTGCAGCACATGTTACTTTATCATTTTATCAGTTAATTCTTCTTTTTATGATTTATTATAAAAGTTACATAATATTATTGTTACTTATATAATGACAGCCACTATATTAAAGAGAAAATTGTTAATTTTATCACATGAATTACATAATAAAAATCTTATAATTCAAAATATATTTCAAGTTATTATAATCTTTACTATACTGAACAATCATTTTGAAAAAAATGTATTGTAATATATAACACCACTATTTAATGTTTTGCAAAATTTACACTACTAGAATCATTTGGAAATGAGTATAATTTTATTTGTAATTTCTATAAAAATTTTATAAATATGAATATATAATATATTTATAAAAAAATAACCAAAAATTTAAGCAACTTAAATAATTTTCATATTTTAAAGTTATGAATTTTATAAGTATAATATATTTATAAAAATTATAAAAAAATAAAAATTATTACTAGAGGGTGATAATCACTGATGACTGAAATTATGACAATTGACCAGCATTAAAAAATATAATACTGGTAAAAATTAATAATTCTGGCCAACAGTGATAATCATCCTGGTGATTTGAAGTAAAAAACTATAAATAATTTATTATTATTTAATACTGTATTTTACTAAAAGTTGTATAAATAGATATTAAATAATATTTCAGATGAAAAGGCTAAGTAAAATCTTATATAATATAAAATTAATTTAGGAATATTTATTTATTTATAATTATATGGTAATAATACTTAAGTATATAAATTTTATAATAAAATTTGAAGATTAGTATTAAAATTAGAATTAGAATTAGATAGAGTTAAGATTATAGTCTAATGGATTAGTTAACCTAAGGGCCAATAACAGAATTTATTAAATTAAATTATCGTTAATTATAATAAAGTACTATAATTATAATTTATAATATAAATAATATATAAATTTTTATTCTATTTATAAAAAAATTTGTTTTTTATTATACAAATAAATTAATAAAAATCCTATAATTTAAGTAAATGATATAATTAAAAAAAAAATTTTATTACTTTTTATCTTTGTAATCAAATTAATGTGATTTGTGAAATTATTATTGAAAATAAATAAATAGGTATTAATTAAATAACAAATAAGTTTCTAATTGCTCTGTTATCTAAAAAAAAAAAAAAAATTATATTTAACAAAACAACTTTTAAACCAATTATGTTTTAGAGATATACTGTATGCTTTATTTTTATTGGTTAATTAACGTTGATTGTCAAAAATTCATATGAAAACATAAGATACGTGAGGTTGCATTTGGTTTTTATAATTGAAAAAGATTCCTAATTGACCGAACAAAACCAAACAATGACGCCATATGCATATTAATAAGATTAATGGGAAAGTGAATAAGGTTTTTTATTGAAACATTTTACATAATTGGTACAATTAAAATTTAAAAAAGCTTAAACTGCAGAGGTAAACTTAATAGGGTCCATTAAAATTTTTTTACATAAATTTGATAGACACAAGCTATTTTCTTTTTTTTTTTTTTTGTTCGCTTGTAATAATTTAAAATCATGAAAATTAAAACTTATTTTCTGCCGTTCCTTTTTATAACTCATACATACTGTGCTTTAATCCCTAATAATAGGGTTATCATAAATTCCGATTCTACTCAAGACTTTAACTTGGTTGAAGGAATTACATATAAAATTGTGCATTTGAAGTCTGGTTTGAACTTGGATAGCAATAGTAACAATATTCATGTCAGTTCTTCATTTAACCCGTACCAATACTGGTCATTGCGAAAGGCTAACGAAAATGAATATAACATTGTAAGCGCAGTATCAAGTATGAATTTAGACGGTAATGGACAAGAAACATATGCTAGTAAACCTGGAGATAATTCTGTGTCTAATCCATATCAACGCTGGGCAATTAAAAAGGTTAATAATGATACGTATAATATTGTTCATGTAAATTCTGAATCTCGGAATTTAGATAGCAATGGTCAAGAAGTTTATATCAGTTCTTATGAAAATAATTCTGAGAACAATATTTATCAACATTGGTCCTTTGAACCCAGTAATTATAAATTAAACGCGGTAGTAATGGATTTTGAATATCCTCCTGATCTAAAACAAAAACTTGATCGTTACAAGACACGCACCAACCTTTTAAGCGGTAGTCTTGTGATTAACAATCCGACAAATGGAACAATAGAACAAACAGTTGATAAAACTGAAAAAAAATCAAGTAGTTATACTTTGAAAATCAGAAAGTCGGAATCATTTAAAGTTACAAAGAATATTGGTGTATCATTTGATATTGGTAGGACCATTTTCGGGATTTTAGGACTACATACAGGATTCCAAGGTGGAATTAAAAATGAGTTCAATTCAACTCATGAGGAGGAATACAAGAAATCCGTGAAAGAATTAGTTTCATATCGTATTAGACAGAAAGTTGAAGCACCACCTCTTACCTCAATAATGGTTAATAGTTCGGTAGATAAGATTAACATTGACATACCATTTAAAGCCAAAATTCGAGTCACTGGCAAAGCTGATAGATTGGACGAATATGGAAGGATTGTTCCAATGACCGATGTTGATGCTAACGCACTTAGATATTATCTTCAAAAGGAATATTACGATGCTAAAGTTGTAGCTGAAGAAGGAAATTCTCTTATTATCACTACAAACGGTAATTTTAAAATAGATGGTTATGGATTTAATGCGTTAGTTGAAGCAATTCCTATAAAGAATTACCCGAGCAATCCTCCGAGTCCTCCTAATCTTCCTAATCCTACTGACCCTTCTAATCCTTCTAACCCCGATCCCAACGTTCCTAACTCTCCTAATTCTCCTGCTTATCCAAACCCTCCTAATTACTCTGACCATAACCCGTTCTCTGAGGCCTCAGTCATGTTTTATTTCGCAATTTATCTCATGATGGTTTTCTCCATTTTTGCTTTATTGACCCTCTTTGTCTACAAATTGTGGACTCATTTTGCCAACAGAAGAGACAGAGTTTACCTTGGTTAAAATAACGAGCAAATTAATTGTAATATTTTACATTTGATCGGTTTTTTGAGTCAAAAATAAAATTATAACTTATTGTTGTCTAAATTTTATAATGTGAAAATTGGCATGGTTTTCTTCCTTTCAAAGTTAATGACGTCCACTTTAAATATTAATTTCTGCCGCCAAAATCGTTACGCATCATCAGTTGTTTTGTGCTAACACATGTTGATAATCACACTTCCTAAATAGCCAATTATAAACCAAAAAACAACTATTAAAATAGTACGTATAATTAATTACATAGTTACATAGACGATTTAACAAAAGTACTACAGTATAAAAAAAATAAAAATAAAGCAGCTAGTTAATTTTGAAGCAATTTTTTGATTAATAAAAATTTATTTTTATATGATTTTTTTTTTATTATCTAATATTATACAATTTTGGTTTGATTAAAGAATAATGATTAATTATAAGAAACTTGATTGATAAATCTAATTTATTACAATAAATTCTATATTTATATACTAATTATCTTTAATATTTTAAATATAAAATAATTTAGTAATTTTTTTATAATATTTTTTTGTATTTTATCTGTTATGTTAACTTTCACAAATAATAATATTATTATTAGGGATAATAAAATAAAGTAAGTCTTCACTAAAATTATAGGTTAAAATTAATTACTTTTATTACAAAATATTCCAGTATAATATATTAATTTGAGTAAATTTATTCATCGCACGTGCGATGCATCGCCACTTTCCTTTTTTGTAAATTATTTATGTTGATCAACCTGCTTATACATCGCCACCCCCCTTAAAATGGCAATGATAAACATAAAAATTTGCATCGCACGTGCGATAAATAAATTATTTCTATTAATTTAATGATACAGATTTATATTTAAAGTATAATTAAATCATTATTATAGCAAAAAAAAAAAACTGTTTCAATTTTACTATCAATTAGTTTTAAAAAAAATTTTTTTTATTTTTTTTTTTATTTTAAAAAAAAAAAATATTTTAATTTTATTAGCAATAAGTTTTACTATTTTAAAGTTTATAATTTAAATATATTAAATACTGTAATTTTTAAAGTAATAAAATTTTATATAATTCTTTAAGTTAAAATTATTTATTGTTGTAATATGATCTTTGTATTATTTTTAATTTATAAATTAATAAATATTGATTTGCAATTGATAATATTTAATATTTATTGCAGATATTGCAAAATATTTAAACTTTAATTGTTTGTAATATATAACTTGTATAGTACAAGTACAGTACATGTATGTATACAAGTAAATCTAAAACAATAAAAAGTTAATCTTTCTTTCTCCATTGCCATTTATCATTATGGTCGATCTATTGACAGGTTACTTTTCAGTCGTCTTAATATCAATTAATTTATATATTTTTAGTTTGAAGGATACAATTACTAGATAAATCACTTACATCTGGGCCTTTATTCCTTAAATGGTAACTTATTCATATCACAATTCTATTAGAGAAAGATAATCATAATGCTGCATCCCTTATTTCTATCGCCTTGCAGATGTTGCAGTGAAGTGAATTTTTATCTTCACAATTGTTTTACAAAATATAAATTTGAATAATTCATAACAATATAAATTTTCATGTGATCCACATTACGATGGATAAAAAGTCGTATCACAGAACATATTAACAATTTTTTTTTCCCTCAACGAAAGAAAAATTTAAAATTGAATTTTTTTTTTTTTATAATGGCAACCTTAAGAAGAACGCCAATTACACCGATAACAACTACACAAATGCAAACGGCACCAATTTATAATTCGTCATCAATTATGCCACCAGAACCAACAAGTCAAAATAAAGTGACAATGTGTTTTCAATATTCATATTCAGGAATTTTTAATAGTAGTCAGTCAATATTTAGTCCGCCATTTTCTACTCATACTGATACCTTTTGGCAATTGAAGTTTACACCAGTATGTGTTTGTCCAAAATTATAAATAATATATACATATACATTTTTTTTTATACTCTTTTTTTAATCAAAATCTTTTTTGAACGTTTTAAAGTTGTGTAGTGAATATCCAGATTATTGCTCATTAGCATTATTTTGGATTAGAAATCCTGATGAACAAAAATCAGGTCGATTATCAAATGAAAGATTACATGTAACAAAAGCACTTTTGTTTGTAAAAGATAGTGACTCGAACCGACTTATCGAAAAAAAATTAGTTAATATAAAGTCATTTCGTAATCGATGGCCTGGTCAAGGTAATTATGATTTTTCATTCTTTCAATGCATATTATAATATTAGTATTTTATTAAAAGGTTTAAAGTTTTACATTTTTTTTTTTTACTTATTTCTCTTTTCTTATTTTATTAGGATGGGGAAATTTTGTGCAAAGAATATATTTAACGGACCGAATAACATTTGGGGTAGAATTTGAAACAATTCCGTTACAACAAAGTGAGATCACATTAATACCGAATGAATCATATCCAAATACGTTAAAAACAGCATGGGAAGAACAATTAGAGTTACCGACAGGGTCTGATGTACAGTTTAATGTAGAAGGGCATACTTTATACGCTTCAAGTAAAATTCTTTCAAATCGATCTCAATATTTTAAAGATATGTTCCAAGGAGATTGGTGTGAAGTTTCAAAGCCTAATTCAAGTTCATCATCATCATCATCATCATCATCATCATCAGTAGCAACAACAGCAACAACAGAAACAGATACAACGATTGAAGAAGTGACACCTGAGGATATTTTATTTAATCATGATATTAAACCACCAATATCTCCGGTTCCTTCAATAACGTTGGATTCAGAAACAATATCTTCACCACCAACTTCATCAAATTCTTATACGAAATATAAAATTTTTATAACAGATTGTAATTTTGAAATATTTAAAGATATGTTAGTATTTTTGTATACGGATCAAACACCATTTACGAAAAATAATGGTAAAGATCAATTAAGTTATGCTATTGAAATATTTAGTATAGCAGATAAATACCTTATAGATGATTTACGTTATAGGGCCATGCAAATTATTTGGGAATCTTTAACTGATGATAGAGCTGCTGAAATATTATTTAGTGTGGCGACAAATTGGCCTGATCTAAAAGAATGTGTTTTAGATTATGTTGTAAATAGATTTAATTTTGTTAGAAAAACTGATACATTTAAAAATATCAAATCCAATCAATCTAATTATCCGAGTGCTGGTGAAGTTTTTGCCGAATTATTACTTAAATTGGTACCAGATTCCTAAGAATGGACTCATTAAATAAGTATGTACAGATTATCAAAAAATTTGAGAGGATTAAACAATTAAACCAAATTTGGGAAAATAAAAAGTTTATCGACGTTTTTTAACTCAATATGGCTAAATGAATAATATATCTTAAAATAATACCCATTTATTTCTTTTAAAAGAATAAAATTACAAGTTTACAAAGTAAAATACAATAAGAAAAAAAAAACGCTTGTCTAATTTAATTGGTTTTGCATTGTAATAATAACATAAACTATTTATATACAGCAACTTATTTATCTTAATGCAATTTGGACAATTTTTTCAGATTAAAAAAATTCTCTTATATTTAGTATGATTTCTTCTCTGAGATAATTCCCACTTAAACTTCCTCTTTAATGATTTTAAATACTTCAATATCATCAAAGGTAAATTCATTTGATTCATTTGGTACAATAATTTTTTTTTCATAATACTTTTGATTACAAACAATTTTTTTAGGAAGATTTTTATATTCTAATCTAATACCTAAATCATAATTACCAAATCCAGGTCCTTGAACGGTTCTACAAATAGCAAACTGAGAATATTGTTTTGATACCCTACTTAAAATAGCATCTTCTTCAGGATTATCTCCTTCACCGAATGAAAATATAAAAGCATCTGGGCTACATACTGTTACTTCATACGGATATTCTGATTTAGTATTTACCGGATAATATCCTCCTAAAATAATTTTAGAATGACTCATCGTAGTTACAACTACCGTAGCCCCTTGTTCTGAGCATTTATCATTATAAGATTCTATATCAAATCCATCTCTACTACCACGATAAATTAATTTAAAATTATAAGTGAATGCTTGTGGTGACGAATAACAAATTGAAGATGTTGGTGAATTTTTTAGAAGGGGTGTTCTTGATGAAATACTTTTTGTATCTGAACTTGAAAACACGTGTAATCTCTCGTTATTATTTTCTTTCTTAGTTGTTGACGGAGTTGTCGTCGAGGAAGAATCGTTTGGATAAACAGGTCGCCTGTTCTTACGTAAAGTCCACAATTTTTTCAATGGAGAAGATTGTTTCCACGAAATCTTCATTGACCCTTTTTCTTCATTACGAGAATTTGAATTCTTTGTTGTTTCAGCTGAAGTTATGTTGCAAGGAGGAATTTCTTGATCTTCATTTAAGCTTAAATTATCATCAACACTTATAACAGAATTCGAACAGGAATCTTGCGTACAATTTTCTTTTTCTCTTCCAGTATCAATCCATCTTCCAATCATGGCAACATGAGTATGATTTATAATATTTGAATCATTCAAGATAACATGCGGACGCAAAACGTCAGGTTTCGGGTTTCCTTCTTCATCCAAACAATAAAAATAATATTGCAGAGCTGCATTATTTGTTGTATCAGCCGGCAAAATACGTCTATAAGGTAAAACATGATTATAATAATCATTACGTGAAATCATCGAAAATCTGATATAGGGTATAAAATGTTCGATTCTACTCTTAAGTAATTCAAATTCTTTGTCCGACCATTCCATTACTTTATTTGTATTTAGAATTGGATTTTTTGATGAACATGCCCATAAAATTAGTAAATTCCATATTACTCCATCATGAACAAAATTTTCTTCTTCTGATAATAAACTCTGAAAAATTGATTCATCTAATGTTTTGAAATTATGACAATCTTGAAACCATGTTGTTGTATTAATAATATCTACACAATTGGATCGAAATCTTTCCAGTGCATCATTTTGATATACCAATTTTACTATTGATATAAAATTTGACTTCAACTTTTCTGATTTTTTTTCAAATAATTCTCGAACTTGTTTTTCTAAATCGTCCAACATAAATTCATCCGCCGCTAACCAAATACCAAGAAAGTCTTCTCCTTCTAACATATTCCAATCAATTGTTCCCGAACAAATATATCTAAAGGAATAAAAAAAGGAGAAATGTCAATTAATCATAAAACGAATTAAATGAATTGAAAACGAAAATTATTAATTTACCTCAAAACAATTTCAAAAACTTTTGGTTTAATGTTTGGCTTTTCAATTATGAAAATATCATTTTCTTTTCTTGCCCAATTGCTCGATAATGCAGTACAAAAATAATTGCATTTAGAAATTAATGTTTTTGAATTTGCTTGAAATTTTTTTACATCAGGTTGTTCCCCTACTCTAATTAAAACATCATAATATTCATCTTTGTTATTAACACCCAATGTTGACGTTGGCGTTGTTGTTATCTTCGAGGGGAACGTAGTCTTCGGAGGAGGTGGAAATTTGTTCAATAAACTTTTCTGTTCCTCCACATTTTTAGATTCCTCATTCACTACATTTATTTGATTTATTATCGTCGATGTCGCTATAGTATTTGAATTATTATCTGATAACATTATTAACATTGAACTCATTAAAATCTATAAAAAAAACTATGATAAATAATTGAATCAAAAAAAAAAAAAAATTTATAAGCACTGAAACAGGTTTATTATTGGAAAAGAAGAAATAGCTAAAAAAAGCGTAAAACAAACAAAAAATTATTATTTTGTAGATACATATTTTTAGTACGTGAGTAACTTTCCAGAATTGGATTTATTCTAGTTCCGTCGTAGCTTTTGATGACCTCAACAGCAGCCAGTTAATTAAAAGGATCCCATGAATTATAGGGGCTAATTGGCTAATCAGGTGCAGTATATTAATTTTCATGCCGCAGCGTGATCGGTGTCTTCCGCAGTAGAATATGAAGAATATGATCGACGTTTCAAATAAAAGAAAAAAAATCAAATTTGATTCCATAACTTTAACACAGCATACCTTCTTTAGAGCCATTTTAAAAGTTAACCAATAAAATTTATCTAAAAATATAATTTAAGGAGAAAATTCGAAACAAGTAATCTAAATAGGTTATTTACTTTCTTTATTTGTTAAGCATTATAACATGATCAGGTGAAAAATTGATCTATTCCGACTCTAATCTTTGTGAAAAGATGATTAGCGTATAGTAATGGAACTTGAATGACTTTTCAATTATCTGTTATGGCTAGATAGTTTATTATTTACTTAATTTGGTAACTCGGGGGGTAATGGAGTAATTTGTTACACGAAGATTATAATTATAATACAATTTGATTTACATTAAATTATCTATTCTAATAGGTTAAATGATATATACAATTTTATAAATCCAGCATCTTAATTCCTCTAATACCAGCTACCTTAACCAAAATTTCCCTATCTCCTGCGCCAATAAATTCCTCATTATTTTCAATATTATTTTTATCTTTATTCCTCAACACCTTAAAAACTTGATCTTCGTCCATTTCTAGTACTTTGACAGTTTTTTCCAATTCTCTAGTAGGCGAAATATCAAGAGTAGATAATACATTAGCTAAATAACCTAAATCAGTCAATAATTGTCGCGTACCATGTGATGATAACTGTGGTATAGTAAAAATCTTTTCTAATATTGCATGTATTGTACCACGTGCTACAGAAGTTATCCATGCGTGTGTAACTTCATCTGTAGAAATCTCATCATCATCTAATTGTGAAACAGAGCTTTCTTCTGTTATAATATTAGATTCATTTGCTATTGTAATAGATGATGTCGCTTTCACTTCCTCATCATCTTCAGTAATTAAGCCCTCCTTTTTATCCTCTTTTAAATCCTTTACCTCTTTCTCTTGAATAGGTTTTTCATCACTATAAGGTAAAGACTTGATTGAAAATGCTAAACTCTTATCATCGGCATAAACTTCGAATTGTTGCGGCAAAGTCAATAAATGTTCACCAATCCTCGTAATATATTCATTTGGTTGTAAACTAAATGTAGGAATCTGTATTTTAAAAGGCGAAATTTTTGCTTTTTCAACAACGCTATTCCACACTTCCATATTAGGTAAATTTGTAAGATGATTTGCTATAGGAAGAAATATTGTATCAAAAACAAATCTTTGACATAAACGAATAAATGTTTCTACAGATTTAATAGAAGGTGATAAAATCTGTTTGGTCTCAATATTTGTTAAAAGTTCGTTCAAATTATAAGAATTTAATGGAGATTGACGAAGAAGAAGAAGTGAAGATTGTGTTCCTGTAGAATTGGATTTTTTATTCTGACCTTCTAATGAAGAAGTAACAGAAGATCTTCTTTCATACCATTCTAAATCATCATCAAGAGATTCAAGCATTAATAAATCTTTAACTTTTATTAAATTATTTTTTACTTTCTCTTCAACTTCACTTAATCGTTCCGAAGTTATTCTACAAGTTGCTAATAATTTTAATCCAATATGAAAATTTGACCAGTCTTCTTGTTGTAATTTATCTTGATCGAAATCAAAATAATCATTGACTGAGCCGTTTTCTTCCTTATCCAAAGCTGATGTTCCTGCTAAGTTACCTATCCCACCAAGACTTCCATCCAAACCACAATCTAATCTCAACTGTTCAAGTAGTATTTGATATTCTTTAATAAAAGAGATAAAGAAAAAATTCAACACTTCTATTAATCCAATACCGCCAAATCCGTAAGTTAGTTTCATGCATCTTTCTAATGCAGATTCGGACATCGTAAATATTTCACCGATAATCTCAGACATGACTTTTGCTAAATCTGATGTCCCCGCTTTTTTTTTCTTCTCTGAGATTGTCTTTTTGAGTAAAATGATGAGATAATTTTTTTCATATTCTGAATAATCATGCTGATATTCAGAAAATGGTTCAAACACAACATTCCCCCACGTAATTAAATTAGCCCTAGACGGAGATTTCCCACTCACAGATGCACTTGTCAATGCGCTCACACTTGTACTTTTTCCACCCGCACCATTAATACTTGAACTCATTCCAGAACTGATCTGTATGGGATTAAATAAAACTTTTTCCATTTGTCTCCCAAAACTCTCACTAATAACCCAAGCATTAATAATTTCTGGAAGACATTCTTCTTTATAGAACTCAACTAAACCTGTCAATCTTACGCTCAAAGAAGGCTTTAATGAATTAAAAATATTTTCAATTAAAGACATTAAAGTCTCATTCGTATCGGGAAATACATTACCGCACCAAGTATGTTCCTGATTAAGTATAACAAACAATTTGTCATAAAATTCTTGCAAGAATTCTGTAAATTTTTTCGGAAATTGCGGCTGGAATTGCCGTTGAAGATGTATCTGCGTTGTTGGAGATTTTGGAGATGTTGGTTCGTTATTAAACGAATCCGATCCACCACCTCCAACAACATTTCCTACAGCTCCGGAAAGCGAAGGAGGAATATCAGTTAATAAAGCATATTGCCACATTTTCACAAGAGGAGCTTTTCTTGACCCATAATAATAATTACTAAAGTCTTTCTTTCTCCCTATTTGATTGAATATTTGATAAAATTTTTGACAGGCGCTAATATCATGCTGATTTAACGCATTAACTAGCTGTGGACTAACTGTGGCTTCCAGTTGATTTTGTAATTCCGTTAATAGTTTTCTTCTTTCCTCATATTCCGGTGTATTTTGAAAGATAACTAAACTTTTTTCAGCTTCCATTAATCTAGCACTAGCTTTTTGATAATCTTGGGAAGCAAATATATTACTTGCTTCTTGTTCTAAATTGCTCCAATTTTCAGCTTCCTTTAAAACATCCCTAGAAGCTTCCATTCTGGTCTTAACTAAATCTAAATATTTTAATCTATCCAAAGCTTTTTCTGTGCCTTCCTCTACATTATTCAATTGCGATTTTACTAAAGACACTCCAGATTTTAATTTCGTAGCATCTTCTTGCATAACTTGTAAATCAGTTATAATACGTGGCATAGACTTAGTAACATCTTCAACGGTTCTTTCCAATCTATTTGAAATTTCCTGATTTAGAAATTGGAGTTTTTCTATAAGAGTTGAAGTATGTTTTTCTAATTCTAATAACTCAAATTCTCGAGGTTTCTTATTATCTACGTGATCTATTACAGAATTAGAGTTGGAGACAGCAACAGATAACGCTTCATTAATCCATGATTTGACATTAAAATCTTTAGTTAAGAATCCAGAAAAATCTATAGATTTCCCGGAGGTCGTCGATGTTGTCGTTAGTACTGGTGGCAATGTTTCTTCTCTTCCTAAAGTTGCTTCTGATGTTGTAGAAGATAATTGCGGTGTTATTGTCGTCATCTGTTTTATATTATATATATACAATATAAGGTTTTGGTAAAGTTTTCGAAAGTTTTTTTTTTTATTTTTAGAAAAAAAAGTGATCAGTAAATTACGTAATGTGCATGGTTAGGTTACTCAATTCAAATAATCAAAATAAATCCAAATTAAAGATCTGTCGTTAATTGATTGATCTTGCTGTAGTGAAAATTAAAAAACTGATTAATATAAAAGGAATTATTTACATTTGAACGTGCTACAATCTCAGAAGGATATCAATTTATATTGGTTCAGATAAATTCACTACAACAAACCTTTCAGTGTCTCCATTTCCTTACGTCTCGTTCTTACAGAAACCAACCAGTTTACTTTCTTTACTCGCTTTTTTATATTTCTTCCAAAACTTTCTTCTTTAAAACAAACGATCAGCAGTCTATTGTTTTACGATGCAAGCTATCAAGTGTGTTGTGGTTGGTGATGGGTAAGCACTTTTGTTAATCTTATTTGTGTAGACAATCTCTTGTGAATTACGGAAAGAACGAGAAGAAATTTAAATCATATGCGAAAATCATGGAGAAACAAGTGATGTTCAGTTCTTAAACAGAAATATATTTATTAAATTTAAAAAGTTATTTTTTATTTATTTCTTTTTATAATTTAGTGCTGTCGGTAAGACATGTCTCTTAATAAGTTATACCACAAATGCTTTTCCTGGAGAATATATTCCAACCGTGTAAGCAAAAAATTTAGCAATAAATCTTTTGGTATTTATAATTGTTAAAGTTTTTGTTATTTAATTTAATTATTTGTTATTTGATTTTCTTCTTTTAGATTTGATAATTATTCAGCAAACGTAATGGTCGATGGAAAGCCCATCAACCTTGGTCTTTGGGATACTGCTGGTCAAGAAGATTATGATCGTTTACGCCCACTCTCATATCCTCAAACTGACGTATTCTTGATTTGCTTCTCTTTAGTCAGCCCTCCTTCCTTCGAAAACGTTCGGGGAAAGGTAAACTTCCTAAGAAGCAAAATATTTTATAAATAAGAAAATAAGAAGTTAATAGTAATATACTTTTTTCTCTAGTGGTATCCTGAAATTACTCACCATGCCCCCAATATTCCAATTATCCTTGTTGGTACTAAGCTCGATCTTCGTGAGGATAAGGAGACCATCCTTAAGCTGCGACAAAAAGCTCAGTCCCCAATTACATATCCACAAGGCCTTCAAATGGCAAAAGATATCCAAGCTGTTAAATATCTTGAATGTTCTGCTCTTACCCAAAAAGGATTAAAAAACGTTTTTGATGAAGCCATTAGGGCCGTACTTTGTCCTGTCCCAGTAGTAGGCAGAAAGAGTAAATGTATGGTTATGTAAATTGAAACTGTTCTTTCATAAATATATACATACATAAAAATTTCATATATGTATATAATATTATTATTTCTTCAATACAATAACTTTTTGGGTTTTATTCTCAATTTTTTTAATTCACGAACGTGTTACATTTAGTGAATGTTATGACTAAAATTACGGTTGAAAAAAAAAATCAAGGAAACAAAAAAGGATCATGAGAATTTTTTTTAGAAAAAAAAGACAGACTTACAATTAATATATACCAGTCGGATATAATATAATGAACTAAAATTCTTGCAAATTTTCTGATGGTCATCCCAAATTGATAAATTTTAAAATTAGAATTTGTCTTCCCCGTAAGTGAATGTACTTAAATACTTATCAAATGATCCTTTCTAACGACTTTGGTTCATCTTATGTATTTTATTTTATCCATAAATTTCCATAAATAAAAAATAAACCTGAATTGAACGCATTATTCATATGAAATTTAATGACATTTGACTGGTATGGTTTTGAATATTAAAAAAATAATTTATAATTTTCCCTCAATTATAAGACATGGGGAGATGGCCGAGCGGTCCAAGGCGCCACGTTAAGGCCGTGGTCTCGTAAGAGGCGTGGGTTCGAATCCCACTCTCCTCACAAAATTAAAAGATAATTTTTTTTTGGTTAAATTTGATATGCATTATGCATTGTTATTTGTTACTAAATTAATCTCAGATAACGTTTTTTTTATTTTATAAAACAAACATATTCGTTCTCTCTTTTTTTTTTTTTTTTTTTTTTTGCTTTAATGGGAGGAAATCGATACGATAAAGAACGGGAATATTCTAGTGGAGTTGGGAGTAGTTATCGTAGGTCGAGACAAGAAGAAGGTGGTAGTGCTGGCGAAGTTGGTAGAGATTTTGCAAGTCGTTATGGAGTATGTACTTTGATAAACTTTATATTTTAAATTTGTATTATGAGCCGCAAATTATCTTAACGATTTGATAATTTATTATTGTAACTTTATAGGGTTTATTCTCGGAAAAGGACTGGAAATGTCCCATGTAAGCCTAGTTCTTTTACTCATATTTGTAACTTTAATAAAATACAATTGTTAACAATATAATTGTCAATTCAGTTGTTCAAATATCAATTGGGCACGACGTCCAGAATGTAATCAATGTAAAACACCAAAACCAGGTTTAGAAACAACGATGGGATCTAGGGAAGGACGTGGTGGAGGATTTATGGAACGTGATGAAATAGTTGAATATCGTAAATCAAGAGATGCAGAAAAGGATGATGAATGGGATGATTTTGGTAGAAAAAGAAAACGAAGGGAAAATTCTTATAGAGGTGGAAAACATAGTCGTAATGGAAGTGTTAATAATGATTTTAAATCTGAAAAATCAGCTTTGAAAAGTAATAAGAGTGGAGAAGAATTGGAAGAGGATGGAGATGATGATGATCGGTGAATTGTTTATTATTTATATATCATTATATCTTTAATTATTTTGTTATATTTGCTAACCAAATTATTATAAATTTACAAAATACGCGTTTATCGACAAAACGATATAAAGTTGGGCTGCATGGGATGATATCATTGGAAATGAAGATTCAAAAGAAGAAAATGCTAATTACAATAAAAGTAAATCAACAATATATAATGAAAGACGGTCTCAACGTTCGAATAAGCTTTCACATCGGCGACTGTCTCAATCTCGTTCACCATATCGACGAGATCGCTCATTGTCTCGAGATAGAAGGTCACGTAAGAGTAGGTCAATTTCTCGAGAGCGAAGGAGGAGTCGGTCAAGTTCAAGAGATAGGAGGAGATCTGAAAATAATGATAGATATAGATCTAGATCTAGGTCAAGTGGTAGAGACAGGAATAGAAACAGAGATAGAGACAGAGGAAAATCATATCGTAGTCGATCTAGATCTATTTCTAGAGGTAGGAAAAGGTCTTATTACCGAAGCAGATCACGTTCAAGAAGTCACGACAGACATAGAAGTAGATCTTATTCAAGATCGAGATCTAAGGATCGTAGGCGTTAACTTTTTTATATTACCTAATCTTGGCTACAAAAAAAAAATTATTTTCATATTTTCACTTTTGAACAAAGTTAATCAACATTGGTCGTTCATCATCATTTATTAATATAACGAAATAAATAAACAAAAAAAAAAATATTATATATTGATTATAGCTTTTTATATGCAATACATATTCACTATTAGAATCTTGTCAAATAAAATATACATCCTAATGAACAAGTTTTTTCAATCAAGTCATATATTTTACATTACACATTATTTCCTTTTATGTAAATTCGTAGATTCACTGTACTATTTTTTTTTATTAAAACTTTCTATTTAATAAATTAAATTTAATGAATTTAGCAACCTTAATTTTTGTATTATATATTTGGAATTCACTTATTTGCAGTTGTACAAATCTAATGGCTCAAAGATAATAACTATTCACAAAATTAAATCTACTACTAAGATACTATGAATTATGAAGAATTATAATGTTCCGGCTTTAGTAACTAACCATTTATTTCACTTATTTCCTAAAAAGGACATTTTTTTACCGAATTTAAATTCACAAACTTTTAGTATTTGACTAGTATCTGACGGATTCTGACCATTATGTTATGTTATCCTCAAGACAAACATTTCAAATATTATTGTTATAAGCAAGTTATAACCTAACAGATGATTTAGTAAAAATAGAAATATATCAATAGTACAATCATTATAAGATCATTAATAAATGTGAAAAGATATTACTTGAACGGATTATAAATAAAATAGAAGTTAAAAGAACAGAAAAATAAGCTGTAAAAGAAAAAAGAAAAGTAAATATAAAAGAAATAGAAGTTTAATAGACAAATATTTCTTTTATTAGATAAACCTTCTATGTCTTGTATTTTGTAATTTCTTTTTAAAAAATTGGCTTATAATAACTGAAAATTTAAAATAAACAAGCTTTATACTTTAAAATTCTATTATTATTATAATATATTATTTCAATTTGTTGATATTTTTTTTGATATTATTAAAATTATTTAATTTATTTATAATAAAGAATTATAGAATAGTCATTAATTTGTTAAAAATTTTGTTAAATATTATTAGTGTTGCAAAGCTATTATCATTTTTATTCTATATAAAATTTATTTTTTTAGGTATTGCTAAACATTACCAGTAGTGGTAAAATTATAATGTAATACTGACCAGTATTTTATTACTGATCAAAAGTACATTATAATGCTAATATAATGTATCACTATAGGTAAGCTTTAGCAATTTCCTATTTTTTTTACTTAAATTAAATTATATAGTGGTATTTATTTTCTTTTTCAATATATTGCATATATATGACAATTAATTTTACCTTTGCATAACATAAGCCATTATCTGTCTAATAATCATTTTACTCTGATCCATCTATTATTTATAGAATTCCAGATATTTTTAAAACAATTCATTCTGGTAATTTAAAGTAATACCTTTATTTTTATTAATATTATGTTAGAATTACAATATATATATAAAAATAAAAAATAAACTGGTAATTTAATTTTTTTAAAAGATATTAAAATAAATAAAATAATTATCCCTTAAACTGTTTTGCAGCCAAATTTGCTTGCAATTTTGTTTTTTAATTAAAGACACTTTTAAATATCTTAAAATATTTTATTACATAAACCAATATTTTTGTAATAAATTCTATAGTATTTTCTAAGTAAAAATTGAAAAAAAAGTTCAATTTGATTAATGATTTTTTAAAAGTAAATGATCGATAAATTATAACAAATAGTAGTTAAATTTTTCAAATTGAAATATCTTTTTATCCATTAAACCTAGAAACATAAAATTACCACCATTTGATGCGTCTTAATGAGAAGAATCTGATAGAAATAAAATTGTCCTTCTACAAATATTATGTGACAGGATAACTTATAAAATCTAAAAATTTATAAATTAATATAACTTTTTATCTATCAATTTTAGAGTTATGAATTATTTTAGGATTTTTGATCATTCCTTATCTGATAATATTTACATAAGGCTATTTGGTTAAAAAGGAAAATATATAGTCAGTTTGTCTATTGAATTTATTTTTAGTTTTACACCATTCCATATTTGATTATATTTACATATGGCAATTTTATTTGAAAGAAAAATATATAAACTTCCCACATTAGTTTTAACGAATTATTTAGAAAATTTGTTTTCGTTTATTTCAACATTCTGTATCTGATAGTATGTACATACAGCTTTTTTAATAAAGAAAGAATCATACATGCACGTTATTTATAACGTGTAGAAATAAAGGAAGAAATGAGGTGCGGTATTAGCAGTAAAGATAAAAAAGCTAAGTTACATAGTAAAAGCACCGAAGTAGGTGTCAAAGATGTTGACTGTTATATATTAGAAAGTAATTGGAATAAATGGAATGATTTGGCATTCCATCGTGGTGGTCATTGGGCAAATTTTTAGGTAGATCATGACAGTCACCTTTGAATTTGTGGTCTCATTATGGTTTTTAACAATGATGTGATCGTTTAGGTGACAGGTCGACTTGTTCTTTATGAAAAGTAGTCTTGTTTCATAATGCTTAATTCTTATATGTATTTGTTTATCTTATATTTGTAAGTTTATATATGTAAGTAAGCGTGATTATAATAAGACATGATCGCATCTATAATAAAGTTTTAAAATATACACATCTAGATGTGTATAAGAGACAGTCCCTGTACTGTTCATCCATTTTTCACATAAGAAATAATACGATTTTTTCTCGTTAATTTACTAGAAANGTTATGATTTTATTACCATTAAATGCGTCTTAATAAGAGGAATCTAACAAATATAATTTCATCTTTCTATAATCACTAGATCTTAAGATATTTTAAAAATTCAAAAATTTTTAAAATTAATTTTAACCCTTACAATTTAAGGGATAGTAAATATCACTATATATTATACTAATACTTTTTAGTTTATTATTACAATATATTACAACTGTGATAAATATAATTATACTAACTGGATAATAGAAAGAATACCTATTATTATAAAAATTCCTATAATAGTAGTTAACCAATAGCACTGTTGGATGACTTATAAAATCCAAAAAGGGGATTAAATTAAAATAAACCTTAAGTAATTAAATCTTTAAGTTAATTAGCTATAGTATTATTATGAGGCTATAAAAAAATTTTTTTTAGAAAGATATAAACCACTTATTCTTATAAATTTTTTATTATATAATCTGAAATTTTATATTCATTTTTTATATACTTAAATGAAATGATTATATATAGCCAATATGATCTTACAAGTAGAATTTTAGGAGATAAAGAGATTTTGAAAAATTTGCAAAAATTGTATAGAAATGAATCTTTAAATTAGACTATAAGCATTAAGTAGGTTAATTAGTAAAAGAAAAGGTCTAGTAAGAAAAATTAAATAAATAGTTAATGTAATTGGCAGAATTAACATTAATTAAATTAACAACTTCTTTTATTATCTTTCATTATAGTAAAATACTATTGGTAAATAAATAAATATGTTGTATAATTATATATCATTAAAATTCGCTTACTTATAATAAAGATTACTGTAGAAAATTAGCCCTTTACTAATAATTTTTACCTTACTTTTTTCTTAAATTTTATTAGTTAATTAGCTAAAAAGAAAAAAAATTATAATAATATAATATAAAATTTCCTTTTATAGCAGAATTTGTAAAGAATTTTATATATAATTTTTACTTTAAACCTAGGGATAAGTAAACAGATTTTGTATCATTATACTATCATTACTTATATAAATAAATATATATAAAATCTTTTATTTGTATAATACAGAAATAATAATAAGTAAATGTCAAAATATACAAATTAGAATAAAGAAGTTTCAACTTTTCTAATATAGATAAGTCTTTTAAGAATAGTTGATTCATAGTGAAAAAGCAATTATAAAAAGGTTAAATAATAATATATATTAAGTATAAAGATTTCAATTAATATTTATATTAGTATTTTTATAGTAAAATTAAAATATATAAATAATAAAAAGTTTTTCATAATACTAAATTGTAAATATTGAACAATTTAAAGATTTAATTAACCTATTTTAAAAAATTAAAAAAATCAGTTTTTTGTAATTTTCATAATCATATATTTTTCCTAAAAAATTTCCTAATTCTTAGGAATTTTACACAATCCTAAATTAAATTTTTTTACCCCTGAGAATCACTCTTTTTGAATTAAACTGTTGTTTGTACATAAAATTCAATAAAGAAAATCATGTCAAACAATTTATTTTATTTTATTATACTTTAAATTATTAATAATACTAATTCAATTATATTATTATTTATACTAGGTTTCATAGTTTTTTTTTTATAAAAAGAAAGTACTGCCAACATTTTGCTGCTCCACTTTCTTTTAATATTCAACATGTTGCTTAATTTAAAAATAACAAGCTGCAGTTTTTATTCCAAAAAGGGTGATTCTTAGGAGTAATTTAGGATTGTATAAAATTCCTTTAATGAAAACTAATATTACTTTTTCCAATCTAATTATATGCCACTTTAAATGTATTCTTCACTTTATGTTAATTTTTTAGTCTTGAATTCAACCATTTTATTTATAATAAATAAATAAATTACATTTACATTATTTTGAACATAATGAATGGTATGGTAAAACCATAATAAATACAAGAATTAGGAAATTTTTTTAGGAAAAATATATGATTATGTAATTTTCTTAATATTTAATAATTCAATTTAAATAAACTTTTTTTTAATTTATAGTTAATATTAAACTTTATAAATAAAAAGTTTATCCAAATTGGATTACTAAATGCCGAAATAATTGCAAAAAATAAAAAATAAAAAATAAAAAAAGTAAATTAAATCAATTTAAAAAAAAAAATTAGTTATAATATAAATTTTATATTAAATGTTTAGAGTTACAGTATATATTTATTATTAATTAAAGTAAAGAAAAATTACAAGTATATATAATATAAAATAACTAAACTAAACTATAGCCTATAAAATACAAATAAACTACTCATCATTTATATTAATAATAAATCTTATATATATAATTAGTAAGTTATATAGCTATATGAGTAGAAAATGTATTAAACAGTTTATTTTAATATAAGCATTCTATAATTATAATAAATGAACTAACAAAAACTATTTTGCTATAACTAATATTTCAAATTTCTTTATAATTTCTAAAAGATCTTTTACCTATTAGTAAAATAATAAGTTAGTTGTATACTTGTATTTAAGTTATGAAAATTATTTAGATTTTCTAAATATTTGTTATAAACTAAATATAAAAACTAATTTTATCTAAAGAATGTTATATGACGCTAAAAGTCTATATTTGACAATAAAAATATAATACTTAAAAATCTTTCAATTCCTTAATAAAAAAAATAAAAATAAACTGGTAATTTTATTCTTTGAAATAAACTTTATCAAATTACCAGTCAGATTTTTTAAAAAAATCTACATAAAAAGTTATAAGCATTTAAAATTGTATAATTTTCATATAATCAGCTCAAATTTAAAATAAAATATGTTAGCCAAAACTTATGATAATTTGGGTTGACTTCATAAATTATAATAATGGCAGCCCAAATTATCATAATATGAATCAAATGTAATTTCTTTCAAAAAAAAAATTTTTCAACAATGTATGACTTTTATAAAATGGTAATTGCAATTTATTGCTAAAATCTACTTTTTCTTATGTTTTATTTTATTTGTAATAATAAATTTTCAAAAACCACATTTTATTAGTACTTTACATAAAAAATCCTGATTTTTATTGGTTGAACATGATATAAAATCAGCTTAGAAAATTAAAATAAAATCACATGATTATCAAGTATAGACTTCTGGTACCATATAAAAATTTATATAATATAGGATATTACTAAGTAAATATAATATTTAAAAAAGTATTCAGATTTTATTATATTTATATAATTAATAAAATTATATGCTAATATAAACTAATTAAATAAATTAATATTAATTTTAATCAGTTTACTGATAATTAACATATGTAATTAAGAAAAACATAATATATATAAGAACTAAGTATTATGAAAAAGACTATTCCTTTGAAGAAAAAGTCAACCTGTTACCTAGATGCTTATATCACTATTATAAACAATGATACAACCAAAAATTTCAGGTGACTATCAAGATCTATCTAAAAATTTGCCTAATGGAACTTTAATTAAAGTCTGTATTTTTCTTTCTAACCTAAAATCTGGTTAGCTACATGTAAATACTGTAAGGTGTAAAATGTTTAACTTAAAAGAACTTCTATCTAAAAGATAAGAACATACAAATCGAATTTTTAAAATACAAAAGCCAATAATTCTGTTTCTATTTTATAGCTGCTGAATACAACTATGCTATTTCTTATCATGTAACCTCTTTTTTTCCTCTTGCTTTTATTTCTTTTTAGCAGTTTTAGTTTCTATCAGTTTACTTTTACATTTGATATACCAAGAATCAATTCTTGATATATTGAACCTAATATCACTGCGCACATACTCGTCTTGTAGTTCATCTACTTCTTTGAACGTTAACTTACTTTTCATGTATAGATGTTCTACATGTCTATAATCTTCATCAGTTGAAACATGTACAGCCGGTAGCTGTTCTTCTTTAAAACTTCTAATTATAGCAAAATCTTTCTCATTATAAGTATAATTATTAAGGATAATTTCATCAGTTAAATCATTAAAGTGTTGTCTGATGATAACTTCACTGTATAAATGTACAAGGTTATTTGATTTAATGTATACTTCTTTAAGTATTGCTTCTTTTGTTTTAAATACATGGTAAAATAAGCGGGAAGGTGGTATTGATAAAACATCACCATTATCTAGAATTTGCCACTTGTTTTTATTATTTGCTAATCCTCTAACTCTTCTCTTTGTAAGTATTTCTGCTTTTCTGGTACTAAGTTCCAGTCTTCTAGGTCATCTTCTTTATAATGAGAGTAAATGACTTGATATTGTATAGGAGTACTGCAGGAGATTAATTATATTTATTAAATTAAAATGTAATTTTATATTATTTTTTTTTTTACAAACTTACTGAAAGCAGTAACTTTGTTATTAAAAAATAAACTCTGTATAAATTCTTTAATAGTATTCTATTTGATTAGTAAAGAGTCTTTATATTATTTATTCAAGTTTTTTTATTAATAAATATTAATATATAATTTTAAATCTTTTATATTTAAATAATTTATTAGTAATAATATAATTACCAGATTAATAATAATGGTGATTTATAAAATAAAATATAACTATTATTTATTAATTTTTCTTTTAGCCAGATAGTAAAAATACAAATTTTCAAATTTTCAAATTTTTTTATCTTTAATTATATTTAATATTTCTTAAATACAATTAAAGAGGTTTAAATGAAAGTTTCTTGTTACAGATTAGAGTTCTTAAAATTTTTTTTTTTTTTTTTTTGCTATCAAAATTCAGTAAATATTTTATGCATAACATGACAAATAACTTGTTTATTTAAAATTAAAGGACATAACATAGTCATTTTCTAATTCACATTATACTTGAGTGAAAAATATACCCAATCATTTTACAAGATAAATTACACATTATTCCTGTTTTTCATTAAATTTAACTCTCTCCCCTTCAGCATCTCCGATCCATAAATTAATCAATACTATTAAGTGGAAAAATAATAATGTTAAAGAACTTTCCATTGTAGAAGGGTAAACATTCCAACAGTATTCAATTATAATTAACGTCAAACATCTTAAAAATATTGGTAATTTGGTACAATGCCATAATAAGAAAGGTAACCCATGAAAATACCAAGAATAAAATTGATAATGTAATGTTCTTGATACTATTATTCCAATGAGATTACTTGTAAACATCAATGTTATTATATCTAAACAATGAACATAATTAATTAATTAGTACAAAAACATATATACTTTTAAAGGATTTATACATACGATCAGCTGTAACACTTTTGGATGTTTCCTTTATATTTCCGGATAATCCATCATAGAGCAAATTGATTACTCCATTATCAGATCTAACAAAAAAAAGAGGCCCGAAATGTTAATAAAGACATCAATATTACACAAATGTTGCTTATTACTTACCTACACCATCTTTTAAATAAGAAACCCATCAAGACAAATACGTGTCCGAGTAAAAGTATACTGGCAAAGTTCCTACTAATAAATATTTCTTCATCCAAAAATTTCCAATTTACAGTCCATTTATAAATGAATACACGAGAAAATTCAAAAGCACGTGCGAAATAAGATTTCGGATATTCCATTAAAAATGGCAATGCCAAAACAATTTGAATGATTATTGTGAGCAAAAGATTAAATAAAGTTTTCCAAGCCCCTAATGACTTAAATAAAATTAATCCAAATGCGGGAAAAAAAAGTAAGACATTCATTTTGATTGACAAGGAAAAACTATTAAAATAACAAATACAAATTATTAAAAATAATAATTGAAGAGATCAATATATGTATAAGTAAAATACCTGTAAAGTATACAACTTAATTTCCATTTTCGATTAATCATGGCCCAAATACAAGAATAAAGAAAAGCCATAGCAAAACAATCATTAAATAATCTCAAAACATAAATAGAATGAATCCTTTTTGATAAACTTAAAAATATTAATACATAGGGTGGAATTTTACGAGACGATTGATAGATTTTAAATACGACATATTGAGTCCATAAATAAAGAATCGCAAATATAAATTGTCCTCTTTGAATATTTACACCTCCCGATGTAAAATAGTATAGAACAGAATATATGTAAACAAATCCAGCTGGATAAACTAATGGCCCTGTGTCTCCATGTAATTTTATATAATCTCTTTCACCGTTCAGAAATCCAGAAACTTCTTGCATGTATGCTTTCCAATCAATTTCCGTATCTAAATAAAAAAAGTTCAATGAAAAAAAAAAATGTTAATATTAAACGTAAAATAAAATATACTTACACGATACATATTTAATAATAAGAATATTTAACAATGCCTCCCCTATGAGAATACAAGAAGCTGTGTACCAAAAAAATAATGGATCAAAAAATAATTTGTTAACTAAGATAATCAATTTTCGGTAAAATGATTTTGATATTTCTGCTCTAGAAATTTCGTTTTTCCCTTGAGTTTTTAATTCCATAATGAATTAGATATTAGATAACTAAAAAATTTCAAGTTTGAGTAATTTATTTTTATTTATGTTGCACGAAATGATTACCACATCTTTCATTGTTATATTAAACGCGAATAAGGAAAATTGGCACGGTAATTTGCTACAACAAACGGAGTCAATCTATCTCACAAGTCATAACATACTCTTATAAATAAGTATGTTTTAAAAGCTCTCTCGAATTTGCTGCGCCTAAAATCTGCTCGACTGTGCCAGTCGAAAATTAAATGAGATCTTCAGGTTCTCCCCGACTTTAAAGGTCTTGATGAAATAACAATGTCGTTCAAAAGAACGTGTACATATCAGATATAAATTTCATTTACAAAAACTTTTGCTTCGTCGTGTAAACTTAATCACTAAATCTGATATTTGATATTTTTTTTTTTGAGTTTAATGTGCTACATATAAACCATTTTAGTTTGTGCAAGACAAAAAATCTGTTGTCTAACCTAAAATTTTATATAAAATCATTAAAATAACTTTCGGAAATTTTCACCTTTCTTCCGCATATTATGATGCAATCTGAAAACGCTGATCCACAACCTCAACCAGGATATAATTCACACACAAGTGAGAACGCTTCTGATGATACGCAAAGTTCGACTACTGCTCTTACCAAACCGACTGAGCAACCGTCAATAACGCCTGCATTAACTGGTATAGACCAGTATAATGATATGGACGAGACTGGTGATAGTGTAGATAACCAAAACACTGGAAATAATACCGAAAATCAAGAGGAAATCAATGATGCTGCTGCTGAACGAGTACTCGATAACTTTATTAAAGAGAATACCCAAGAGACATCTCGAGAAGTTCCTCAAGGAAAATTAAATGAAGCCAAAGCCGAAGATACAGATAGTGAAGGGGAAGAAGTAGAAGAGGAAGAACTGGCAAGTGGTGTCACGCCTTCATATGAACAAGTAAACGGGGCACAAATGGAGGAGCGTATGTCATTATTAAAACGAAAACAACGTATGGATGAAATTTTACGGCAAGAAGATGGAGATAGTGAATTTGAAGACGAACAAATGACCGACGTTGACCAGGAGGACCAAGAGTCAGCCTCAGCACCGATACCTGAAGGTTTGTGTGTTGAGTGTCGGGATCAGGTAATTAGAATTATTTGAACTTATCATACTTATGTGCTATCCGAAGTTTATATACTAACATAATTTTTATATTATTGGATTGAATCGGTATTAAGGAAGCATCATTCTCTTGCGAACAGTGCAGTGAAGAATTTTGTGAAATGTGCTTTGCTATGATTCATCGCACCGGAAATCGACGGAATCATAAATATAAAAATTTGAATGTAAATATGAAAACTAATGGAAAAGTAAAAACTACCGCGAAAATTATTTCTAATGATGATATGGAAACAGAGGTAGTTTGAATGTTTATCATATAAAAATTTTTATATTTAAACCTTTTTGAATCATAATTGAACATTTTTATTTATATTTAGGAATCAACTCCTGAAGAAGATGAACCGAAACCTATTAATATCATTTCAAGTGGAAATACGAGTTTTGGAGATTGGTTTGAAAGTCGTGCAAAATTTATTCCACTTCGTCTTAACATGGAAGAGCGTAAACTTCTAAGATTGTAAGTGTTATTGTTTTCTCTAAAATTGTCATAATATATCAATATACTAACATGGAATTGACCATTCAACATGTTTCCAGATTGGAAGCTGCCCTTAATGTCTCAGGTTCGATTATTTCTTATATCGTGGCGTTATCTTTAATCGAACAACCTATCTTAATTTTATTATTAAAATAGAATATACGGATAAAATTGATATCATATCATATAATTCAAGTAAAACACGGCGCATGGTACATCAGATCAAAGATTTATGTTCGATTTTGTCTGGGCTGATGGTAAATTTGCTTCAATTAGTTTCCTGCCAAATAAATTTTTCGATTATAATACTTAATAAAAATATGTTTTTGAATTTTATTTTTTAGGTTGCAAGGTAAATCATATTTATATTAAAATTAGTTAATATAGTTATTTTATAACACTTTTTCTTTCAACTTTTAGTGATTATAAAAAAGGCCAAGAACTCATTATTAATAAGTCCTTTGAAGATAACCAAGAATTTTTCCAAAGGATATTTGAAATCGGAAGAAGACATAAAATCATGAACCCAGAAAAAATGAGAGATGCTTATGGCAAATTAATGTATATGTTGATGGTAAGAATGTCGTTACAATTTACGTCTCAACTATCGCAAAATTCTTATTTTAAATTAATTTATTTAGGATTCTGTTATTCCTGATGTACAAGATATGCTATCGTTTAGTCTAGTTATTCCAATAAAGACTGTCTACAGTTTTCTTAAGGAACGTGATGGACTTGGCTTATTACATCACGATTCAATGGCTGAAGCAACAAAGGAAATCATAGCAGATGGAAAGTCTCGGCCACAAATCAATCAAGAGATTCGATCGAAAGAGAGAGCTATTGAATGGCTAAGTCGCAAATTCGCAAATGATAATTTGACACAGGAGGAAATTAAACATTGTTTGTATAGCATTGGAGACAATCATGCCTATTTAAGAGCAAACCGGTATATGTCAAAATTTTTATGTTTCGTTCATTCGTAACAAGTAATAAAATGCGTTATTGATTTTTTTTTTTGTGTAGTGATTGCTGTGAACGTATTTCGCAATATTTGCAAAAATACTTTAATCCAAATAAAATTGAAAAGGGATATTCTCTGGCCATTAGTTCAGGACGTAACGGCGCACGTTTATCGCATAGTCACGAAATGCAATACCTTTATGCGTAAGTTTGAAGAAAAACAATAATATATGTAAAGGTAAAATATTTTATCTAACCTTTCCCTCGATATAAAATAGGAATCAAACATTACACCTTTGGCGTGAAATTCAGCATGAGATGTTTATGTTGTGGTCACTTTCTGATCAAGACTTATTATCAGATCATAATACGTACAGATTAAGAGATACTGGGCAAGGTTTGAACAGAGTACAGATGTGTCCTGCTGTTTCAAAATGTATGCATTCTATTTTACATCGTGCACAACAGAAAGCTGGATATTGGGTTGGAAGTTCGGTTATTCATTTGGGAGATAAAAATGTTCCAAATGCATTAATGTTCATTGATAAAGTATGTTTTATAGACTATATTAGTTCTCTCGCGTGAAATGTATTTTTAAAACTAACATGTTCATTTTATTATAGTATAATCAAGTATCACGGATCTTGAACCCTATATTAATATGCTTAGAGAGTATAGAGCCTGTGATCGCGAAAAATACTGGATTACGCAGTTATGTTGATAATAGTTTTGGAGGTGTCGATGCACTAAAGAAAAGTATACTTGCAGATTTCTTCAAGTATGCTTTCGATGGAAGTGGAGCAGATAATTTCTTTGACGCTGGTAGCTGCATTGATGGACGATTAACGAGTGCGTGGAATTGGTGCTCTTTAATAGAAAAGAAGTCTTATTTCCCAATTTTCTTGTTAACGGTACGTATGATGATTAATCACTAAAAATGAAATGATTATTATACTTATACGTTTCATTTTTTTATAGGGTTTTGTTGGATTTGATGGTGATGGGTTTTAAATATCATATATGTTGTCACAATAAAAGAAGTGTAACACAATCTGTATTGTATAGAAATAAGATTAACATAATATAAAATTTAAAATATCAGAATTTGAAATAAGAATTACTAAAATTGCTTGGCTAATTATCCGGGCTTAATGAAAAGAAATCCATACTCTAATTCGTAATATAGAAAAAAAAATAAACCAACCACAAATGCATTCTTGTGTTACAGCATATACTGTGTAACAGCATATAAATTGTAATAAGGAAGTGTGAATTTTATTTTCAATCCGATCAAACGATTCCTTAATTATTAAAAAAGATGTATTATAACTGGTAAATTTTACATAGTCCGATCGGAATCAAAAAGTATCGCAAACATAATAAAATGCTGTAATGATCTGCAAATTTGATTGGCTGAAAATTTACGATTGATAAAAAACATCTGTATAAAAATGTCGTAAATCTTCCATTCATTTCAACACGCATTTTTGAGACATCAAATTTTATCGAAATGAAAACTTTCAATGCACATCTAAGAACACTCAATTTGTATTTTTCTCAAAGAATTCGGTGTTCATATTTCAAAAGACTTTCGGTTAGAACATATGTTACAATATCAGCAAGAGACCCAGAATACCCAAAATTCGATGTTATTGTAATTGGCGGAGGGCACGCAGGCTCAGAAGCATGCACTGCTGCAGCTAGGACAGGAGCGAAAACTTTATTACTCACTCAAAGACTTGATACCATCGGTTGGTTACGTTAATTAACTAAATTTTTTTTTGATTTTCTTGGCTTTTTTAATACTTTTTTCGCTACATAGGTGAAATGTCATGTAATCCTTCATTTGGTGGAATCGGCAAAGGAATATTAGTTAGAGAAATAGATGCTTTGGACGGATTATGTGGGAAAATATCCGGTAAGATATTCTCTAATCGATACAATGTTAATCAGACTTGTTTTTATTAATATGAAATTGTATTTTTGTAGATTTATCTGGAATACAATTTCATATCTTGAACCGTTCAAAGGGACCAGCTGTTCATGTATGGAATTATTCGTATCATTTTAATTTAGCATTTATTAAAATAAATTATATAGGGTCCTAGGGCGCAAATTGATAGAAAGTTGTATAAGAAAAATATGCAAGAACATCTGTTCAATTATCCTAATTTAACAGTAATGGCTGGTAGCGTGCATGATATATTAATGGCACATCGACCAATGATTATTGGTGAACCTGGAAAACATCCGATTTATGGAGAAGTTCAAGGAGTAAAGTTGGGTAAACGTTGTAATGAACATTCTTTAAATGGTTAAGTTTATAATTTAATATTATTACTTTTTCATGCAGAATCGGGTAAGGTTATTTATGCATCAAAAGTCATATTGACGACAGGAACTTTTCTTCAGGGCGAAATACATATTGGTAATATATAGAGTTTTATTTTATTCTTAACGATTTATTTTAAAAATTAAATTGATGATTTCTTGTTTAGGAAGAACAATGTACCCATCAGGAAGGTTCGGTGAGGCGCCATCTGTGGGAATTTCTAAAACATTGGAACTTGCAGGGTTTAAACTTGGGAGACTTAAAACAGGTAAAAAAAAAGTTTTTAGCTTATACTGAATTATTTAAAATTTTTTGTTCCTTTAATTAAGGTACACCTCCACGTTTGGATGGACGCACAATAAACTATAAAAATCTCCGTCAGCAGCATGGGGATATACCAGCTACACCTTTTTCCTATCTTCATACATCTGTTCCATATGAAGTAAGTAGAGTTTATGAAGATACTTTTGAGCGCAATAGTTTAGGTAACGAGATCTTTGTTTATAGGCACTTCAAATAATGTGTTATCAAACAAAAACAAATACAGAGACGCACAAAATCATTTTAGATAATTTATCTGAAACAATGCACATACGAGAGACCGTAAAAGGGCCAAGGTCAATTCATACGCGTTTGGAATTAGCGATATACAAAACAAGATACTAATGTTATTTGTGTATTAGATATTGTCCCTCAATTGAGGCGAAAGTGATAAGATTTAAAGATAAGCAGGGTCATATTATTTGGCTGGAGCCAGAGGGTACTTCATTTTGAAATCGCTATATTAAATACATAATATGTGAAATAACGGGATATAACATTAATTGTAATAGGCCTTGATACAGAAATTGTATATCCGAACGGAATATCCATGTCTCTCCCAGAATCAACACAATATAATGTGATTCGTACAATTCCAGGATTAGAAAATGTAGAGATGATAAGGCCCGGTAATTGATATTTAAGATTGAAACTTTTTATATTTGATATTTTAATAAATTATCCGTTTAAATAGGATATGGAGTGGAATATGACCATGTGGATCCACGAGAATTAAATCCAACACTAGAAACTCATCGTATCAAGGGTTTGTATTTGGCCGGGCAAATTAATGGAACCACAGGCTACGAAGAAGCTGCAGCACAGGTAAGACTACAAGAGATAGTGTATAAATAACTTTATAATAAATGTATAATTTCCTTCACAATAGGGAATTATTGCAGGAATAAACGCTGCTCTATCCATTCTGAACAAGTCTCCATTTATGCTTGACCGTGCAGATGCGTATATTGGAGTATTGATAGACGATTTGATTACAAAAGGAGTTGAGGAACCTTATCGTATGTTTACTGCTCGTTCAGAATATAGATTATCTCTTAGAGCCGATAACGCTGATATGCGGTTAACACGTAAAGGTATTTTACATGATAAATATTATAGTAGTACTAAACTTTGTCTTTAATATTAAATAAAATGTTTTACAAGGATATAATGTCGGATGCGTATCTAACCATAGATGGAACCTATATCAAGAAACTGAGAAACAATTCTGTAAAGGTTCTGAATTACTTAATGGTTTTAGTTTGTCACCCCAGAAATGGGATGCTTTGGGAATAAACGTTGTGTATGATGGTATAATGAGAAGGTAAAAAATTTAGCAATAAAGCTCTCCTTATAATGCTTTTAAACATAGAAGCATGAATAATCATGCGAGAAACGTATTTTAGTGCTGTAGATATAATTGGGACTCGCAACGTTACCATGGAATTTCTCGCAAAAATTATCCCGGGACTTAATGAAATAAGTCCTCCTGTATTTCGACGGTTACATATCGAAGGTATGATGGAATACAGACACAATTATAGTATTATTTATTAAATATTATTTTTTTTTAACAGCGAGTTATAAATCATATCTGGAACGACAAAAAGCAGAAGTTCAAACGTTTCGAAAGGATGAAGAAATGATATTACCAGAAGATTTGGATTATGATTTGTAAGAAAAAATTCATCAAGATAAAAAAATTTTATAATAATAATACGCGTTAAATTAATTAAATTAACCTTTTTTATAAGGGTTCATAACCTTTCGTTTGAGACTAGGTCAAAATTAAAATTAATTAGACCCACAACGTTGGTAAGTATTTTATTTATTTTAAAATTAAATCAATGAAATTATTTCTTGACTGTTTTTTATTTTAGGGAGCAGCAAAGCGTATTGAAGGGATGACACCAGCTAGCGTAGTGACGCTATTAAAATATGTGCACAAAAAGAAAAAAATTTTATAATCATATGATTCTCTGTGAAATAAAGAAATAAATGACTTTTAAATTATTAATACAATGAATTTTAATTTGACATACACTAGTTTGTAAAGAGAAAAAATTAACATGCATAGAGCTACCTTTGTAAAGAGAGAACGTGGATGATTAATGAATAAGGCATTATACATTTATATTCTATCTGATGATCTTTGTCATCTGATCACTGATCTGTGATTTAATCTATTATAAAGCCAAATTCACACGACAGCAGTTTTTTTATTTTCGTCCGAAAAAAAAACCATTTTAGTAGTGTGAATCTATATTCTATTAGAGTATTATTAATAGGGAATATATAATTATTTGATAAAATTGAAATTATTTCTTGTGTAAAGAAATTTTTTTCTAGTTTCTATACTCGTTAATATACTTGAATGATTTTCTTTTTTCGCGGCCAACCATGACTTATCAGGTATCAGAAAATGGGATTACTATCGAAGTATCAGATGATATCTTGGTGTTTCCGGATAAGAAAAAGCCTGTACCTGACAATGAGGGTGTTATAATGTATTATGAATTGCTTAATCCCGTAGATAGTAGGAATATTTACTGGCGTGAGAAGCTTGGTGAAAGCATGAAAAAAAGTTTTAGAGACGTTACGTTTCCTAAAGGTAAAAAAAAATAAATAAAATTTTTTTTTTTTTTTTATTATTATAATGCAGGAATTTTTATTAATTTATCAAAAAAAAAAAAAGCAATATTGACAGATTTTCCAAAAGGATATAATCTTTATGCACATCGTAAAAAGTACCCTAATAAAGAAGAAAGAACGGACTATTATCTCTTTGGTATTATAAATTTCTCCTGATTTATTTGCTTTTATTTATTATAATTAAGGTTATTAAAATTATTCCAGGTCATCATAAATTTCGATCCCCCAATGAGTTTTATCCGCATCTTTTATGGCTTATATCAGATAAATCTGGGCAATGTCATTGCAAATACTGTATAAAATCTACTACTACAAGTGGAAGAAAACCTTACACACATAAATCGAAGAGACAGGTGAAGAGACAAAGAGAGGCTGATACATCTAATGAAGCACCAGTACCAAAAAGATTAACTCGCAGTAATGCGGGAAAATTCAAAAATAATCGGAAATTATCTATTGATAATCGGAGAAAAAGCACTAAGAAAAAAAGAAAATCAAAGGTTGCCGAATTAGAAATAAATCTTCCACCTCCTACTCCAAAAAACTCTGTATTTCGTGGAGGAGATATTGTTTGGCTTTCTATTAACGAGGTTTTGAATGATAAAACCTTGGCAGAATGTAATAAAATTTTTTCCATCGAGTATTGGCCTGCAATTGTGGGGTCAATTACACCACAAGAAGATAACGAATTATGTGAAAGCATTGTCTATACCGTAAAACCTCTAATTCTTCATGGAAGTAAAAACGTTACAGTTGATTCACTTCGTCCTTGGCTAATTCGTAGTCTGGATAAAGCATTGTTAAGTAGCAACAATAGATTCACCAGGTCCTTGTTGAATGTTGAATTAAAAGAAGCGACTCCGGAGCAGATAGTTGAAATATATTCTAAAGCAGTCCAGAAAGCAAATGAAATAGCAAGTGTATTTACACCTATGTATCAGTACGAATATCATAAGAAGGGATCCAAAAAGGAACATGGTGTTCATTATAAAGCTATATATTTTGGTGCAGAATTGATTTATGAAGATGATTTAGTTAGATTATTACCCGAAGAACATAAAGATCAAAGTGATCCACCTGATGATAATAATACAAAAAAAGAAGCCAAGGAATCATATTTACAAATAACAAGTATCTATGAAGATTTAAAGACAAATATTCATATTACAGGTGATTTATATGAAAGGGGTAAGTTATTGGAAGAGGGCGATACATATGAGTGGATTCCAAAGAATAAACAAGACGAGGAGTATACAGTTGATATGGAAGATATTGCTGGTCGATTTTATTCAATGTTTCCTGATATCACTGAATCTTTTGATTGTGAACTTCTCAAAACAGTCGAAAATAGAATGTTAATGTTAGGTGAAGATGTTCCTCCTATCAGAATTCCACCACCGGATATAACCCCGCGTGAACTAGATATTCCACCTCCTACTAAAAAACAAGTAGCCAAACGTTCTTCTCCATTGCCACCAATATTAACAGAAAGTAATTTGTTAAAGGGTAAACGTACAACACCGTTTTCTACTCCACAAGACGAGACATCAAAAAAAGCGAGAAAACATCTCGAAATTGATATTGAGAGTGAGACAAACACAGAAATTAATATTGGCGACGAAAAAGGAATTACAATTAAACAGACAAGTGAAATAAAATCTATTGAGAAAATTGGGTCCCCTGTAAAATTTTCAGATATTGAAAAGAAATATGCTAAAAAATTCGACGATATTGATTTACCGCCATTGGTCGTTTCACCAGATACTCCTACATTTGAAACTGATGATGATATATCTGACGGAGATGCTTTGAACAAGTTAATGCAAAATAATGGCGATAAACCGATTTAAAAAGATTTAGATTGTAGTTTTAAAATTAAAGCTTCTTTGTATCCAAGTTTATTGGTCTATTGATAATTTTACTAGCTCTCAGCGATACACGTTTAATTAGGTAAATAAAAATATATGGGGATTTACCAAATATAATAAAATAAAATAGATGCTGAGATTTGAATATGATGTAAAGGTTTGAATTACAATAAAGTTAATAAAGTTTATACAAGAATTTGATAGTAAAATATTGGATCTTAAATAAAAATGAGTACGACATCGAGTAATTACACGTAATTAGCGTAATTAATGACGTTTAGATAATGCTAATACTAATCATTATGCCGCATATTATTTCAGTTATTTAAACAAAAATAGTCTTAATAATTAAGTCAAATAATTAATTACACAGGTAGGAAGTTGGAACGGAGAAATAAGCTCTTTTCCTAGGTTCTTAATTTCTTCATATATTTAAAATTGGTACAATTGGTACACATATATCAAGATCTGGTTAGAATTATAGAAAATGATCTTAAGAGAATGATTGTAAAACTTATTAATGATTTAACAGATACCATAATCATGAAAGTATCTGTATAATTGATATTCGAATTTTCATCAAACTACATTTCTTACAACCTGCCAAATATATAAATTAAATATATTGATACAAACAATATAAATTCAAAGAGTGAGTTTAACGCAAGATGACTTACGCAGTACCACGTTCCAAGTTTCCTTTGATTTCCCTGGTATATTTATCGTAAAATCTACCAATCTTCTCATTAAATCTTCTGTTACGCATATTAATATACGTGATTTCATCATCATCTTCAGCTTTTTTACGACGCGAAAACTTTTCTCGTTGAGCAATTCTATAAATAAAAAAGAGTTACAAATAGAGAAGAAAATTGTAATATTTTATAAATATAGATAAAACTCAACTGTTTATTGACGTCTGTCACCAACCGATCCACTGCTTGAGGACTTGGAACATTATCAACACTAGCATATCGAAGGGAATTTGCATCTCGGTAAAAAGATGATTCAGTATCAATGTATATAATTTCTCCATCCTTGGTGGTGGTAAGAGTTGTAGCTATTTTTTGTTCATCATAAGCTTCTAAATCTGGTTTGAATTCATTTATTTGCTTCTTATATTTTTTATGCGCAACTTGGTTAAAATCTATACGAGTAAAAAAACTTAATAATTAATCACGTGATATTCAGTTATTTTTGAGAAATTTGACCTGTAAATCCGGTATTAGATCTTTTAGCTTTCTTTTCTTGTTTTTTTTCCCATTTCTCTACAGATTCGGCAGAATAACTCCAAAATCGTTTCCTTTCATAATTCTCTCCTCTTACTTGCGCTTCCTACCAATAATTCATGATATTTATAGATTGATTATCATATTTCTTTGATTAACATCTATTATATTATTACCTGTTTAGCTAATAATTTTTCCGCCTCACGTTTACGTTCTTGATGGATAGGATTAGTCTTTTTACGTTGAAATTCTTCATAAACTTCATGTCGATTAGCTTGCAAAGCATCGTCCTATATGATGATTGCCGATCCATTATGTACAAAGTTGTTTGATCGGCTCGTAAAAAAAATAATGGAATCTTGTTTAATCATTACCGATCGTTTACGCAATCTTTGTAAACAATCTATGCGAGCTTGTATTTTCTCGACGCGAGATGATTCATTAGTAGGTGAACTATCACTTATTTTATTACAACTTTTGACCTGCACTTGCTGCGGGTTTGCGCTTACATCGTTTGCTTTCAAGTGTTCTGGCATAATTTTTAATTTTAATAAATTTTACGCCTAGGAATCAAGATTCAAGAAATGGAATGAACACGTTTTAGCGACACGGTTTTTGATCCCTATATATATTGCAATCAGTTACACCATGTTTTGATTACGTCACATTTGCCGCTGCTACTTTAAAAATAGGTTACACAAAAAAATACTGCAATATGCATGTCATGCGGTATTCGGTATTCAGATCCAAAAAAAAAAAATTGAATAATGACAACTTTCAAACCCAAGTCAATATTTCAATATTCAGTCAATATCCGGAATGGACCAGATATAGTTAATGATTATATTATTACACCACCCTTTGCTTCAGCTCAAGATGTTTTCTGGCAATTAAAATTCAATCCTGTAAATTTATTTTCGGTTCTCCTGATTTATTTTTTCTTTTTTTACGTTTAAGTCTTTTTTAAAATTTATCTTTATATAGAATCACAATATCATGGGTAAAGGAATATGCTGTAGTTTGACATTATGGGCAATTCCTAGTCCATTGGAAAGGAAAAATTTGGAGTGGTCAAAAGATCGCGAGAATTCTCGTTCTATACTATTTATAGAGGATAAATTAGTGACTTATGAAGCTGAAGTTAATCTAGATATTTTAGAATCAATAAGCGAATCTACCTATAATTGTAAAAGAGGTATGATAAATTAAATGAAAAAAAGATCAATTTATTTGAATCTCTTTCAATAACTAACAAAAAAATTTAATAAATAATGTGAAGCTTCCGGAGTATATACTATAAAAGATACTTTAAAAGATCCAATTACATTCGGAATAAAATTTCAAGACTTTAAATCTTTAATAATGCAATCCCCTACAACTTCTTTTTGGATTCAACCATTGCCTGATAATTTGCGTAACGCTTGGGAAAAACAATTTGAAAGACCAGATATGTCAGATGTCCGATTTATTGTTAATGGTAAAAACTTTTTTGCAAGTAGCAATATAATTTCACAAAGATCAAGTTACTTTACAAACGTATTTTCAGGTCAATGGTTGGAAACAAATTATTATAATGATATCACCTCAAACAAAACGATTTCTGCTACCAGGTCTACATTGGATATGAAAACATTGCATTCAACAGATTCGAACAGTTATCATCTACCAATTAAATATACAGTAAAAATTCCGGATTTTCATCATGAAACATTTCGAGAATTACTTCGTTATTTTTACATGAATGAAGTAATATTTAATATTGGAAATGAGACGACTTCACCTTCATCACCTTTTAATATTTTGCTCATAGCTGATAAATATCTTGTTACAAATTTATGCGAGATCGCTAAAGCTGAAGTTCTTAGAACTTTAACAATTGAAAATTCAGCTATGATTTTATTTAATTCAGCTGGAATGTGTCCTGATTTGAAAGATAAAGTTTTAGAATTTGTTATAAAGAATTTTAGTAAAGTTAGAGAAACAAGCGGATTTGAATATATTATGGATAATTATTCAATGTTTTCTTCTAATTTCGGTAATATTATGAAAGAAATTATGAAATTAATGATACCAAAAAATTGCGAAAAAACATGATTTAGGTTATGTGGTAATTCTAATAAATAAATAAGTATAGATATTTTATATTTAGATCATTTTAATACCTGATTTATAATTTTCATTTTTGAAAAAAAGTAAAAAAAACCAAATTTTTACAATTTTTTAACATAGTATTTTATAATCAAAAATATAACAGATAATATAAATATAATATAAATGAATAAAAACATGTAGAATTTTCTTCTCTTTCTGATGAATGTTTTATTATTAGCAGGTGAATTTCACAGTAAAATTTATTAAATTTATGTATAAAGCATAATGTAAATCATGTCCCAGTGAAATTCCTGGAGGGTGAATGTAAAATTAATCTTTTTACGATCTATAACCGATTTAAGCTTGTGTGTAACGTAATCTTAAATTTCTCTAAAGCTTGAAATTTTATTTTCCTTTCTTGTTTGTGAAGATTGCGCCATATGAAAAATTAACATTTGTTTACATCATAAATAAACTTTAGGTTTTTCTTTAGGTTGACCATGTTATACCAATAGAATTGTTTATATGTAGACTGCTAAAAAAATACTAACCTTAACAAGCTTATATCATACTAAAGTATTATTCGTGCTACGTAAACAAAGTGTTTTTGTTTTTTTTTCTCTTACGTCCAATTTTTTTTCTTTTTTATTACCTTTGATCTTTTTCTTAAAATTTTAAATGAAAAAAAAGAAAAAAAAATGGCTTCAAATTCCCTAGCATATATTGAACTTTTAGCCAAAGACTTGACTAAACTTCTCACTCAAGATGATGACAATTATGATGTTACTATGATTGTTGGCAAAGATAATGATATTGAAACTTTTAAAATTCATTCAAGCATTTTGAGTGCTAGAACTTCTTATTTTAAAAGTGCATTTTCTGATAGTTGGAAGAAACCTGATGGAGATAAAATAAAATTGGAAAAACCTAATATTCGTCCAAAAGTATTTAAAGTGATTCTTCGGTATGTAAATATATAATTAATGTGTATATAAATACATATATTATTGTGCATTTTTTCCGAAAAAGAGAAATTTTTAAATTAACAATTAACTATTTATATATACATATAAATATTATTATTATATACATTTATTTATATAAAAAAATAGATATCTTTATGGTGGTGTTTTGGAACTCAGTGAACTTACTGAAAAAGATATTTTGGAACTTTTAGTTGCTTTAGATGAACTTTTAATTGATAATATTATTGATGATATACAGAATTATTTATTAAATAATAATACTGATTGGATTGATCAAAATTTTGTTTATTATCATCAAATTGTATTTCGACATGAAGTATTAAAAAAATTACGAAATCATTGGAATAATACAGTTTGTAGAGAACCGAACCTTTTATTTTATTCAGAAGATTTTCCTGATTTTGATGAAACTTCACTTATTGAAATACTTAAAATGGATGAACTTGGAATTGAAGAAGTAAATATTTGGAAAAATGTTATTAGGTGGGGTATTGGAAATACTGTAGATTTGCCTCCCTCGGTTGCTGATTGGACTGATGAAAATTTTAATTCCTTAAAAGAAACTTTAAAAGATTTAATTCCTTTAATTAGATTTTTTGTTATATCTCCTCAAGATTTTTGTCAACATGTTAAACCATATGAAAAATTACTTGATAAAGAACATTATGATGATATTCTTCAAAGTCATCTTAATACCGATTGGAGACCTTCAATTAGACCTGTTTTACCTAAAAGAATATTTCCTCAGAAGTCTATTGAATCAGAAATTATTAACAAACAACAAGCTGCAATTATTGCTAGTTGGATTGATAACCTTGAACCAAAACTTGGATTTTTTGCGACAATAAGAACAAGAAAAGGAAAATTTAATAATTTTTATGAAAATGTTCAGTCTTATATGTATAAATCTATTGAAAATCCATATGATTTTCTCAAGAATAACAACGATAATAATGTCAATAATGATAACATTATGTTGTTGACAATTTATGAGTGTTTAAATTCAAACAAAATTATTGGTGAATATAAAGAAATAACCATTACTAGAATGAGTAGAAAATTAAGATTTGGTCCAACTACGAATTCATTTATATTTACTTTGAATGTTAATTCAATTACAAACCCTATAATTTCTCGTTTAAAGTTATCTAATATATTTTATGATAATACTTGTCGTCCAGATGATTTTAAGAGAGTAAAATTAATTGATTATGATCATAATGAAAAAATAATTAGTTTAAACTCAAAGAACATTTTTGATATTAGATGTTTTGAAATTTTTCAAGGTGAAAAAAATATTAAAGTTGATCAAGTTGAAACTATTCGATTAGTTAAGAAAAATACGGCGACAGAAGGTTAAGAAAATAAACAAACATAATGTTAATCGATTATATTTGATATTTGATTTTTTCTTTAATGTATTACTATTTTATTCAAAACAAAAAGATTTCTTATTGAATCATTTATTTATCTTCTATTTATAATTTATACTATTATTATTATTCAAAATAAAAGTAATTCCTATAGTAAACTTTATTTAAATCCTTTCATTTAATTATGTGCTATTTACTTGGATTATTCAAAATAAAAACAAAAGGAGCAAAAAAATTATTTTATATTAATAATCAAACAGAATCTCTTTAATTATTGTCTCCTTTAGAAACATCGTTCAAGAACCAATAACCATTTCTTAATAATTCGGCATTTGCTCTAGCAGCTGCTTGAGATAAATCCATTTTTGTAGCTTCTATACCTCCTGTTTTATCTTTATATTCTTGAATGAAGCGTTGTTCCTCCTCTTTACTGTTTGACGAAACTTGACATGCTTTTGGTAAGAAATAATCATCATCACTTACAATATAATACGGTCGTCTCAGTTGTTCCAAAGATTGAAATACTATAGACTTTTCAAAACTATCTCCAACATAATCTCCAAAAACAGGATGTACCTCTTTTTCGCATTCTTTTGCTTTTTGAGCATGTTGTTTGATCTCGTGTAACGTATGTCCACCAATCATAAGTTTGTACGCACTGAAAGTAAAAATAATTGAATATAAAAGCAAGAAATGCATATTTATAGCGAAAAGAAGTAAAAATTTTTTAACTTACGCAATTAAATAATGAAATAAAGCAAAATTAGGATCATCATTTGGGAGATATTTTAAAGAGTTCTCATAATTCTTTACAGATTCAGAAAGAAATTTCGAGTCACGTTCTTGAACACCTAATCCCTCGCATGAAAATTTTGATCTTTCATTATAAACGGAACCAATAACTCCATAAGCCTCGTCTAGGTGTCCACGATCATAAGCACAATAAGGAATTGAATCCTCAATGGAAATAGGATTTTCTCTGCAATTATTGATAATTTCTTCTGCCAACTGAAGAATCTTATCAAAGAGGTCAATCATTTTTGAATTCATTTTATATTTAACAAGAATTAATCTCATTTGGTGTACTTTTAATGCTCGAATAAAAGTATTTTTAAGAATAAGATTAATAGAAGTATCTCCATCAATTGTGCCAGGAAAATTTTCTCTGGCGAATGATGCAAGCTCAATGGCGCGTTGAATGCTTTCGATTCCCTGGTCTATGGTTTGAGCATCTGCCCTATATCGATTCATGTATCCTAAGATATATATAGAGTTAGAATATTATCAAAAAAAAAAATGGAATAGTATTTACCAATCAAAAAAGCAGTACAGATGTTCGTAGAAAGAGCAGGGAAAATTGAATCCCATCCAACTTGGGCCAACTTTTGTTTATATCTTAAGATTGTTGCATGGACGGATAATGTTGGTGATAATGCTTTATTTTGCTCAAATGCTGTATTTATAGCTAACTCGAGATAATTAGGCATGATAATGCATCTTTCATCTATCATAATACCTTCTGTGATTTCCTCTAAACCTTTAACATTACGATTTTTACCATTTTCGTTTCCCTTATTGAATTTAAGAGTTGCAGCCAAAAGTCTTGCTTTACAAGATAATGGATCAATATCGCAATTAGCCCAGTTTTTAATCCTTAATGCGGGTTGTATTTGCTCAAAATTTTCCCTAAAAATGTTGTTTCTAACTTGCATTCTCTCGTTTTTGGCCAAATTATTATCAGGATCGATATTAAGAAAAGTATTATATGCTTCCACACTTTCATCTGATAAAATAATAATAAATAAAAATTTACAAAATAAATAAATAACTAAATTAATAAATAAATATTTTATATATACATACTATAATAAAATAACATTTTTAAGGAATTAGCAAGACGATAATAAGATTTAATATGTTTAGGTTCAATTTCGATAGATTTTTTACAATCTCTAATCGCTGCTGTATAATTTTTCATCTACAACAGATAAAATGAAATAATGTAATTATTTTAACATACGATATAAAAAATACGTAATAATAATTATTTTATCTTCTAGTTATACTTTTGAATAGGTTGTGGCCCGATTCGTATACGCTAAATGATCATTTGGATCAAGGTTTATTGCTTCAGTGTATTTATCAATCGCTTCTTTCCAACGACCTAATTATAATAGATAAATACAGTATATTGTTCAAAAACACATAAATGTATAATACAATATATTACTTTTTATATGTATTTACCTTCTTTAAAATAATCGTTACCAGCTTGACGGGCCATGACTTACACTTATTTTATCAGAAAATTTTTTTTTTGAAGCGAGAGAGAGTTTTGGGAAAATCCCGAGGGATGTAGTTTATTTATGCTAATTTAGTTAGCAATGAAATTTCCGGTATTAAAACAGGATCTAATTTTAATTCCTGCCGTCATGAGTTTAAATCTAAAATTGAACACTTAGTATTCTCAAAGAACGCGAAAAAAAAAATGCGATCTTTCATTATTTTATTATATATTTCAAAAAAATTCTATTTCCAAAAAAAAAAATATATTTTACAAGAGAATCCTCATTCTGTTTTAGATGCCAATATTTTTCTACTCTTGTTACTACTTTAATTATTATTTTCATATTGCTTGATGAAAATAAATTTACATTTTGCATTATTGGAACACATTTTATAAAAGTTTCCTTTAACATAAGCTTTAGGGAACCATTTTTTATGGGGATAGTAGAATTTTTGTTTGAAGATGAACGGGACACCATTAATACACATAGGAGGTAAGGTTTGAGAAGCTTCGGTGGTAGGATTTTCTTCGTTGCCGACCACTTGAGGGACCATTTCGTAGAGTTCGCCGGTTTCAGGAAGTTCAAGGAGAGAAATTTCGGTAATTTTAGCATCATCAGTAATTGATTTCCGTTCAGGAAGGGCATAGGCGCGATGGATTGAAAGCATCGCGAATGTAAGATAGAAAAAAAGTGGAAGATTTTTTCTGGAGAACATTTTTGGTCTTTTTTTTCGATACTTTATTATTTCATTATACAGAATCTCCGTGCTTCTTTATAAAAAATTATTGTATTATTTCTATCCAAATAAAGCACATAATTCGTATATTTTTTAACAATGATTTCATTCTAAATAAAAATTTTTTAAGATGATAATTATTTTTACTCTTTTTTTTATGGAGAATCAGCGAATCAGGAGTTTATTTTTACTCGTAAACTCTTAAATTTAATTAAACTAACCTTTCTTTTACAAATGAAGTAATAAAGTATTATTGACCTTTTGTTATCAAAAATCTAAATATGACGCGTTATAATATAAATTAAGAAATGAATAATATAGACCAATCAGCTGCGAAATTAATTTGATATATAAAATGATTTTTTGATTTTTTGATATCATTCTAACATTCTTATGATTATAAATTAAAGAGTAATTTGTCCATCTTTGATCTTGATCTATTACGATAACATTAAGTGAACAAATTATATGATTAGATTCCAACCATTTGTTTGCGCAATTCAGTTAATCTGAATTGCTAAATATATTACGGCGGTTATATATAAAGATAAAAATGAAGTAAAAAGAAAAGGTTCACATGTCACAAAAAAAATTATTCCCATGAATAATCACTTTTCATAAGATCACCTATTCTCCAATTCTTAAATTTTTTTTCTCCTTTTTTCTCCTGTTATTTTTTTTTTATAAAATAAGGAGAATATGGCTGATATTAAAAACGTTTTAAGGGAGGAGGGAAACGAATTGTTTAATAAAAGTACGAATTTATACCTTTCTTTTCTTATTAATATCATATATTTGTTTCAAATATTATATTCCCTTTTAGGAAAGTATAGAGAAGCATTACAAAAATACACTGAAGCAATAAACGCATACCCAAATGATTATTTTAGCTGGTCAAATCGAGCAATTACTCGCATCAAGGTTAAATATTTAAAGCTTTTTTTTACTGCGGCGTGAGTTAAATAATCGATATTAAAATTTAAAGTTTTATAATTTTATACTTTTGATTTTTCAATTATAATAGTTGGAAGATTATGATGAAGCATTGGCTGATGGGAAAAAAAGTACTGAAATTGAACCGAATTTTGCGCGTGGTTATCATAGAGTTGCGATTGCCCTTGAACGTTTGAAGCGTTACGGTATTAATATTTATTTATTTATTGTAAAAAAAAAAGTATATTTAAAGTAATTCTTCCTTTTTTTTCCTTTTTTATAGATGAATGTTTAGATGCTTTAAATAAATCACTTCAGCTTGATCCAAATGTTTCTGGAGCTAAAGAAGATCGTAAAAGGGTCGAAAAACTAATTGGCAAGCAGCGAAAACAACAACGAAATTCTAATCAAGTTTCAAATCTAGATCCTTCAATGTCGACCAGATTATCCATTGCTTGTCGTGATTTCGAAGAAGGCTTGAATCAGACAAGAAACTCATTTAGTGCTCCAATACTTATGTTTGTTCAGGATGGTCTTGCATATACGTTTGCTTTAAGATCCGGAATTGAAAAAATTACCGATGGAATTATGAATGATGATAGATGTTTTCATTTCGAAAGTGATGAAAGTGAACTTATAAAAAAGGCTATTTTGATGGAATACGTCACCAAACGACCTTTAGATCCCGATACTATGTCGATTGAAGAAACGATCAGACAATATAGTATTAAAAATCAACGTGAAGGATGGGACACTGTTAGAATGGAACTTACTGCCAATATTCGTGTTTACTTTCTATTAGGTATGTCTTTTTAAATAACTTTTACGTTATATAAAACTTTTTTTTATTTATTTATTATATATACTATATATATGTATGTAGGTTATCTTAATGTAAAATTTTCTGAAGGCGCAGTAGACCAGTTGGAAGGAGGAGTTGGAAATATTCAGAAATCTGTCGATCTCATAACCGCTGCTCGAAGTATTGATCCTCGTGAAGAACGTGACGAAATTTTTAAACCGATGTTTATACGATGTTTTCAAATTCATTTGATAAAGGCATTGATGAAGTTATATGAACATAAACATGACCTTCAGATTCTAAACCGTATTGAAAATGAAGCAACAAGTATCATTAGTAGTTGTGAAACTCATCCGATCTCACGTGGTTCAGAACAATATATGTGTTATTCCGCTCCTCATCTCTCGGAAGCTTATGACGGATTGGGTTTTATCGCAATTAAAAGGTTTAATAATAAACTTAAAGAAGAACCCGATTTTGAAATTCTTAAACTAGCAATTAATAATTATGAGAAAGGCTCTCAATATTTACCTAACGACGATCCGGATAAAGCAAAAATGATTTATAATTTCACGTAAGATATTTATCATTCTATTATTCAATATTTTAATATAGTTATAATATAAAAAACTAAAAACTCGAAAATTCTTTGTAATTACATCAGCTTTTGTAAGCTTAAATTGGGAAATTTTTCTTGTGCTGAAATCAATAATCACGTGACAAATGCTGAAAAGATAGAAAAAGCGGCAATAGAAATATTGGAAAACTTGAAAGATATTAATGAATGTCAACCAAAAATCGATGTCATTAAGTTTCTTGAAAATATCAAACGTTCTGGAATCAACGTAAAAGATGAATTTATTTTGCCGCCTTTATACGATGTTGATTTTAAAGATGATAAATTTGGGCAAATTTTGACCCAAAGAGTTAAACATATCAGTCTTTCGGAAGAAATGAGCAAAATTAGAATTTGATTTGGAAATCATATTACAAAGGTTAGGCTGAAGTAGTTTGTTCTTTGTTTATAATCTTCTCTTTTACTTTGGAAGGATATGATTCTTTTTTTGATTAGTCAATGATTTCAATCTGCTTTATACATATTGCTTTTAGCTTTTAATGCTTTTGTTTTTACATAAATTTCTTTGTTTTAATAATAAATAAATATTAACAAAATAAACTAAATATAAATATATTAGAGACCAGTAATTCAATCTGGTTGTATGCAATCCTATTGGTTTTTTTTCTGATCATCGTCTAGACAACTTGTAAATCATACTGTAGAAGCTTTTAAAACACTTTGCTTTTGAACCAATTAAAATAACCAAAATAATTATAATAATCACTACACGATTAGTTTTTGCAATCGGTGATAATTTTATCATATTCTTTTAATAATATATAATGGTGTTAATAACGAACACAACTGTGGTTTACTTTATAATAATTATAAATTATTCTAACACGTGATTACTTTCTTGCCGTTGGGTGCACGACAAGTTATATATTAATTGAGATTTTTTTTATAATAATGACAATATAAGTTAAAATTTAAATATTACAATAATGTAAATATATAAATATATACAAATTAAATATAATGACGATAATATCAATTAACTTCTATAATGTAATAATGATAACGCAATTGATTTTTGAATTTTTTAATGCGATGACTACCCATTACATATTTATATTTAATGTAAAGCATATAAAAATTAAGGATATGACTTTATTAACAAAGTTACAAGGCCATTTCTTGCATTAATAATAAAATTCCTAAAAAAAAAAATCAGACATCAAAGGTAGAAAAACTACTTAAAGTCCAAATTGCAAAATAACACTAGTAAATGTAAAAAAAGGGCTTCGTAACTTGTAAATATGAGCCCTGTTCATTTCTAGATCGGACCGCAAATTTGTACCCTTAAATAATAATAATTGGTTACTGATGCGGTCAGCGGTCAGTCAAGCCGATCTACAAAAATTGCTGATCGATTTTATAATATACAACACAACTACGTGTTTTTTGCCCTATAAGCTATTATGGATATATAACCAATCCGATCAATCAAAAATTGTGCTCAATTGTAACTATGATCTGATTGGTTATACATTTTTTCGGTCAATCCGATACGATCTAGAAATGAACAGGGCTATGATTTGGAGAAATCAATTAGTGTGGAAAAGAAGAAGTTTGATCTGTGCATTTAGTAATTTATTATGAAAATTTCGTTAAACTCGAAAAATATCAACAATGTAAAATATTAGATACTTTTGATTTACATGATTGACAACTTGTCCGCAAGTTGATCTACTAAATTTTATCCTATTTTATATTACTTATATGTGATATATGTTATTTACAGTATATTATATTTGTTATATTTGTTATTTTCATTATATATAATATATTTGTTATATTTGTTATATTCGTTATATTTGTTATATATAATATATTTGTTTTATTTGTTATATTTGTCATATTTGTTATATATAATATATTTATTATATTTGTTATATTCATTTTTTTCATTTTTTTCAATATATTCAATAGAATAAAAGTTAAAAATGAAAATAATAAAGAAATTAAGTATAATAAATAAAATAAATAAATCAAATAAATCAGATAAATTAAATAAATCAGGTAAATCAAATAAATCAGATAAATCAAATAAATCAAATAAATCAAAAAAATCAAAAAAATCAGATAAATTAAATAAATCAAAAAAATCAAAAAAATCAAAAAAATCAAAAAAATCGAAAAAATCGAGGGATCTGCAAAATGATTTACATAATATTACTGCGCCACAATTTATATCCTAACAATATATTTGAAATATCTGATATATTTCTCAGGTTCTAAGTTCTCTCAAGTTCTAGGTTCTCTCAGGTTCTAATTCTTTCAGGTTCTAGGACTGTTCTAGGTCCTCACTCTCAAGTTCTATGAAAACAATTAACTACTTAAAGTAAATAAGTAAAAATAATCATTAAAAAAAAAAAATACTTTGCCATAACTGATAATTACTGATATAATTGTTTGTATAGTACTACATTAATTACCATATTAGATAGAACTAGAAGCCTCTAAATTTCTGATATAAATAGCCAGCATTTTCACTTCCTCCACCACAATTTTAAATGATTTCAGCCACTGGACTGTTTTCGTCGCGCAATAACAATAATAATTATTTAATAGCAGGAAGGCCATTCCTTAAACACAAATCTTTAATGCATCCTGCGCACACTACAAATCATGTAGAATATCCTAAACCAAAAAATTCTGCAAATTCTTTACGTTATCCTAATTCGAATTCTTCTCATTCCTCTAAAAACGAACGTAAAGGACAATCTGCCAACAGGAGTTCTATAACAAAAAATTCTCTCAGTACAGAAAATCCGAATGGAGTTTTCGTTATGCGCAATAAAATACAAATAAGCGGTACAAACAATAACCCTTTATCCCTTATTACCAAGAAATGTTCTAGAGAAGTTGATCGTTCGAGTAGGAGTTCCACAATACACAATTCCAAAAGTTCTGAAAATAATTTGCGCCTTACCAATTCTAAAAAATATTCTACAGAAGCTGAAAACTCAAGAAGTTCCACAATACACAATTCCAAAAGTTCTGGAAATAGTTTGCGCCTTGTCAATTCAAAAAAACGTTCTACAGAAGGTGAAAATTCAAGAATTTCCACGATTCACAATTCCAACAATGTGGAAAATAACTCGCGCCCTGTTAAGCGTACTATAGAGATTGTTAATGACTCGCGTTCTATCAATTCTAAAACACGTTCTTTAGAAATTAAAAATCCCAACAGTGTTGAAGACGGTTTGGGCATTAATAAAAAACGTTCTATAGGAACTGGAAATTCGAGGATAATTCCTACGACACACAATCCTATGCAAAGGAGCGGTAATGAAGTGAGCAGAGGCACCACAATAAACAATCTCAATCGTGTGGAAAATAACTCGCGTCTTGCCAATCCTAGAAAACGTTCTATAGAAGTTGAAAATTGCTCCAGTATTGCTAATCCTCAAAAACGAGCTAGAGTTGAAAATCAAAATAATAGATCCACAACTCACAATCTTGTGCAAGGAGGCAGTACGAAAATTAATATTCGTGCTGCTACCAATCGATCTATAGTTGTTAATAGTAGTTCCAATCTCGTTCAAAGAAACGGTACAGGAAATGACTCACGTACTGCCGATCCCCAGCACTCTAGAAAACTTGTAAATTCACTTTTACCTGCTGAATTCGATCGGTTTAGCACTCAAGCGTTGAATAAAAAAGTTAAGAATAAAGACTTGACTAAGAGTGAATGGGAGAACATAAGACTTATTAAGGTAAAGTTTTTTCTTTTTTACAAAATTTTTTATTCACTATTCTAATTCATAATTTAATTAATTATTAGGCTGCACTAATAAATTTGGTTGAATCAAGTCAAAAGTATAATAGAATCGAAGCTGGTAAATTAGTATGGAGTAAAATTAATGAATGGGTCTATAATACCTTCTACCCTGATCTAAATAAATATCTTGACAAAAAACGCATCAATAGAGAAAACGCAGACCTTGTAATTAAAGCTATCATGGATTATTATGTTTCGCGCCATGATAGATATAACAGACGAATTAGAAAAACGGAATAGTGCATCTTTTTTATTTTTTTATTATTGTTTATACATGCAATTAATTCATTCATTATACATTATTGAATAAAAAATTTATCTTATTTCACCCATCCCTTACTATGTATATATTTATTACTGTACTTACTGTACGATTATATATTTATCAAAAAAAAAAAAAAAAAAAAAAATTATTTATATTTATTTGTCTTTTTATAATTTATAATACAAATAGCATGAGTCATTTTTTATTATTATTATTTCAATATCAGCTGAAGTTTGATTTTTTAACTATTTATAGTTCAATATTATTTATGTTTAAAAAGTCAACTTATTTTTTTTTATTAAAATCGGAAATATTACATATACACAGATAATATAAAAATCTTTATACTATTTCGATGAATTTATCTTCCAAACCCACCAAACCCACCAAAACTAGGATGAGTAGTAGCCGGGAAAGCAAAAGGGGAACCAAATGAAGGAATAGGAGTAGCAGCAATAATAGGTTCTGGTTTTTTAACAAGTTCAAATACTTCGTATTCATCTACAGAAAATTTCTCAGTAGAATCCATAATAGATTCTTGGTAAGAGGCCTTCTTACAATAACATGATTTATCAGTTTTAAAATTTTCTCCAGTCATAACTAAATCTCCATCACCGAATACAGGTCCAGTAAATCCATTTGATGAATACCTGATTGCATTTTTATAATCTCTTATAGGGGAAATAATATTACTCATTTCTGGCGCACCATTAAAAGAAAATATAAAGCTATCCGTACAATTGATGAATCTGGTGTTCCCAAAATTTTGCCCTTTATTAATTTTCCATGTTGCAGGATTATAACCGCCAATAATTTTCCTTGAACCAGATATTCTCATTACTACAATAGTTGGGCCTTTTTCAGCACATTTTGATTGAAAAATAACGTGATTAAATCCATCTTGACTTCCGCGTAATAATAATCGAAATTCGTAAGGAATTTCAGCAAATCTAAAATAGTTTTTATCTGTTCTTTTAATAATAGATTTTACTAAAGTTGTTGCATTTAAAGATGTTATCAAGTTAGAATCAATAACTCCTTTTCTTGATGATAACAAACCATATTCTGACGACGATGTCATATGATATCGAATTAAATCTTCTTTCATCTGTTCTGAAAGGATTTTTTCATACGGTCTAACTTCAAAATAAAAATCATTTGACGAGATATTGTTGAATCTAATTGATGTAATACATTGATCTAAAATGGTTTTTAATTTTACAAAATCTTCTACATCCCAATTACTAATTAATGGTTTAGATATTTTTGAATTTTCAATTCCCCATTCAATCAATTTACGCCAAACGTCAATTTCACTCATAACCAAATTATCCCGTTTTAACAAATTAATCAATAGTTCTTTATCCATTTTGACGAAATCTTGTGAATAGAACAAGATATCTGGCTTGTCATCAATAATTTCTTGAAAGTATTCTTGTAATATTTTAAATTCTTGATGTTTCAAAATTATGTCATAAACATAGAAAAAATTATTTTGTAGCCATTCATAATGAGATTTTAAAAGAGTATCTTGCAAATGTTTAAAAATCTCATTTAGATTCAATTCATCTGCTGCTATCAAAATATCAAGAATTTGCTTTCCTGTATGTGACGTAGATATTATACCACAATACAAGTATCTAGATTATATATGTATATATATATAAAAGACATTAAAGGAAAAAAAAAGTCGTTTTAAATAAATAAATAAATATAAATATATAAAAAGACTCACTTGAGAATAATTTCAAACGTAGAAGTGGAAATATTTGGTTTGCGTATAACGATAGTTTCTTCTCCCTTTCTTGCCCAGTCTTTTGATAAAGCTATTTTAAACCAAGGACATTGTGTTTTAAGTATTAACGAATGTGCCTTAAATGATTTTGGGATTTGATTAACTTCTTCTCCAACGATGATCGTTACATCTCCATCTTCTTCTTCAAGAAGCTTTTCGTATTTAGATGATAAAATCCTCAAAAAATTCATTATCATAATTCCTTTTAAAAGAAAAAGTCAAAGAACGTTTACGGAAAATCATGTTTTATTTGTCTGAGCACAAATAGTGAAAATCTAGTCGGAAAAGGTTTTTAAACCGTTTTTTTTTAATTGTTGCCTAAAAAATGTCACTAAATAGGCTATGATTAGGAGATTTAAATTTGATTGGTGCGCTGCGTCTTTTTTTTATAGTGTTGAAAATTCAGTAAATTTTAAAATTATACAGTATGAATGTTCTCAAGACATCAATAAATTGAAATCTAAACAGTGGCCCAAATGACTCGATTTTACGATGTGATTTGTCTGAGTTTTTTAAATTGTGCAATATTTTAAAGCAAAAAATCGAAATGGAATTATTTATTGTATCTTATAAAATACTTTTGTAACGCCTAGTATTTTCATCATTATATTTATGTAAGGTGGGATTTTTTTTTCTGAGATCGGATCTATTTGTCTTTCATAACATTTACTACATGTATAACACCCATGCTGTTAAAAGACGGTAGAAAATCTGGTTTTCTTTTTGCATAAACAGCGGATGCATATTTTCTCATCAAAATTTGGAACTATTATTACATGGATGCTTTATAATTTATTCAATATTATCATGTTAGCATAAGATCTTAAGTAGTATTAATACCTCTTTCCGATTTTCTTTATTCATATTGGTTTCTGTCGTGCAGTGCTTTTCAAAGTAAAAATCGAATTAAAATTTTAACATAAAACTCATGTTGTGCACAAAAGAGTTTGTAGTCTATATTAGAACGCGAACTGCATGAATACAAAAGCCACACGGTTACTGTAATGTTTGTTCTTTAACTTAAAAAGTGTCGTCTTTATATACTGTACATTTCCCTATATGCATTTAATAAAAATTTTATCAATATTAAGACTTGATATGTATGGGTTTAATATGGCGGATAGTTATTACTATCATCACGGGACAAATGTTTGGCTTTATAGATTGTATTTTCCTATTATCAAATAAGTCTTTATAAGCATTTAATAACACAGAAATACGGAATTTAGTTTCTTACCTTAAAAAAACATATAACCTCAAGTGACTTTCTTAACGTATTAATGTCGTTTGGATGTGCAGGAAATCTATACGTTGGACCATTCATCAAGTAAGCCAATTCCGAAAAGATGTCATTCTAAATCTAATACAATACAATAATAAATAAAGTCAAATCATTTATGTTAATATTTGCTGTTTCAAACGTTATCTATCTGCCTTATCGGTCCATAATAAGTGGAATCTTCAATCTTCTTATACAAGAGAAAAGTGCACTTATTAGTTCTCGGACACTTTACTGCGATCTTTGATTATTTTTACTGGTGTTGCTTTACGCGCAAATTCTGAATGTGTTACATCTTCTTTTAACTATTTACATTCTTTGATTGGTTTACTTTTCAATTTATGTGTCACTTTTAGTAAATGCCACTGACATTTCCTCCATTGCTTAAAGTCCATCTTTTCTTATGTTAGTCCATTTATCAAATGTAACATTAAAATATATATATAAATCATAACTATAAAGTAAAGTTCAAGGTATAGTACCTCAGTTGGTGTTGGCTTCACATCGTATTCTTCTTTTTCATCCGATGGACTTTCAGCGATAACCCTATGGAATTTCGCTACTGGGATGGCATGTTCTTGCAAACTTTTCGACTTCTTCAACAAAAAAAATATTAGTAAATTTCAAAAACATCAATAATTAACAAAAATGGTACCTTAATATGATTATCTCTCGCTGTTTATTTGTGCCAATTGAAGAGTTTCATCAATACTTAAATTCTTATTTTCCTCAGATTCTCTAAATATTTGAAATGCTTTTTATTCAATTTCCAAGACTACAAATCTATAGTAAATAAAACTTTAAAATTATCTTTAACACGAGAAATTATTATTTAATGAATGGGACCTGTAGCAACACCGCAGACGACTAATGCTACAAAAGGCTAAAGACTACAGCGAACAACAGTTCAACATCTAGACGACCAACAGTCCAATAGGTTAACACTAACATTTGTCGCGTAATTGAGATTTACGAATTTATCTCCACGATCTGATTGGATACCATTACTCTGGTTTCCTATTGGTCAAATTATACTACGCCATAAATGCATCGTATTCAATTAATAAGAATTTGGTATATTCGCTTATTATTTGACATTTACGCGAAAAAATATCCCATTTACTAACAAAAAAATACCTTCATTTTTATTTTAGTTATAGCGTAACATCCGATTAAAATAATGTATATATGTATATAATGTGATAATTAAGTAAGTGTATATATGCTAATTAAGTAAATATTTAGCAACGAAATGAGATATAAAGAAAGAAACAAATTTCATAAAAAAAAATTTACTATTCTTCTGATGAAATGACTACGATTTTTGCGAACATGGCATTAAAACAACTAAGTTCATTTCTTTCAGTATCTTTAATTATATTTACTAAATTAAGAAGAAAAAAAGAAATTAACTTACAGATCCCCTATGTTACACTTGGGAAAACTCTCTTTTTTTCGTATAGCTCAGAAAAAATATCACTTGATTTTTTGCAAAATCTCTCGATAGATCAAGGGGTTACATAGACTGAAATATTATTACTTCGTTTCTTTTTTTTTTGAATCACGTGGGTGGATTAGATATCATGCGCCATCTATACTTCTCCGCAGTAATACGTCACTAGTTCATGTGAACTATATCCGCAGAATATTCTATCCGCAGAATATTCTATGCACAGTAATACGTCACCGGCATCCACAATAGTAATTTTTAGAGGCAAAGAATCACCTACATTAAAAGTGCATCAGCCAAAGCAATCACAATAGCAGCATATTTTAAAAATGAAAATAATAGCTATTTTATCATGATGTACAAAAAGAATTATAATAAATATTATTCAATCATAATTTCATGTGAAACTAGGTGGATCAGTCATTTACTATTGGTTTAAAACTTTAATTCAATCTAAATAGACATTAAGGATAGTATAATTTTCTTAAATTTAATATTATTTGATTCATTTTATTTAGTTAATTTATTATTTTTAATAATATTTTTAGAATTTGACAATTTTACATGAACATCTACAATTTATATTAGCAGAAGCAAATTCTTTAACATCAAATAGTGCCAATGAAATTTATTTGAATAAAGATATTTGTAAAATTCTTTTTAATAATAATTGGTGAAATACAATAGAATCTTTACAAGAAGTTTTATTGCTTTATTGTAATATTTTAAATAAGTTTTAAAGTAATAAAATATGTCTTTTTGTATTACTTTATACTTTAAAATATTTTATTCAATTTTGGAATCAGTTTTCAAATGTTAAGTTAAATGAAAAAATAATAGAATGATTAGAAAAATGTTGGTATCAAATATCAATGGAAATAGCCATTACTTTTGCTTTTATTTATACTTCATCCAAAATATCAGCTTATATATATTCCTGTGTAAAAAGTTTAGAACTACTCTATTTTTGATTATATTAAATAAAGTTTTGTTTTTATTTATATAAATTTTTTTTAAAAAAAATTCTTTATATTATACTTTTTAAATAAACATAAAAAATTATCATATTTGCATTTATAAATTATATAATATAAGGTTTTTTTTTTAATAGTGAATTTTTAATTTTTTTAATTAAAGCAGTTACAGTGAAATGAATATAAAATTTTAATAGTTTAACTAATAATAAAGTTATATTTCAAATTTCATGAAAATCAAGTCAGTAGTTATCAAGAAATCAACTATTAAAATATTGGCAATTATATGGAAATTATTACTTTAGATCTTATATATAAATTATTAATCTTTAATAGTTAATTTCTTAATAAACTACTGATTCAATTTTTATGAAATTTGAAATATAATTTTATTTAAAGCTAACTATTTAAATTTTATATTTTTTGTTGTAATAACTCTGGTTGAAAAGTTACAAATTCATTATTTAGAAAAAACCTTGTATTATATAATTTATAAATATCAATATAAATTTTTTATATTTATTTAAGAAATTGACAATAAAAAATTTTTTTTTAAAAAAAATTCATATAAATAAAAATAAAATTTTATTTAATATAATCAAAGATAGAGTGATTTTAAACTTTTTGTATGAAAGTGTATTTCAATTCTAAAATTAAAAATTTATTATTTATTCCATTGGAAATTTAGGATATTATTTAATATATTATTACAAATCAAAAAAGGCCAACCTGTTTATTGTTAAATTTTGAGAATTATCACCAAAAAATTGAACTATTTAATGACAAGACTTTTGGATAATTTAGTGATAATATATTAAGTTCTTGAAAATAGAACGCATGTGATCTTTATGGAATTTTTATATATAAACTACTATTATAACCAATTAAATGTAAAGTTTTATTAATAAATTTTAATAATATTTATTGCTAATTTAATTAATTTTTTAAAATGACAAAATTTTAACAATAAGTAAACAAACTTTATAAATCTATTAATTTCTTATTTTAAAAAAAAAATTGCAAAAAATAAAGTAGAGTTTTTATATTTAAATGCTAAATCAGTTAATAATTCTGCAGAAAATTTACAATAAAATTCTATAGATAACGATGAAATTATTGAAGATGAAAATATTATAATAACTTTTAAATTTTAGAAAAATAAACTTGTTAAATAGGAATCAATGTTAATAAAAGAAAAAGTATTATAATTGAAAAAAGAAAAAGCCTTAAAAAATAATCCATGAAGTTTAAAAAGTGACTTTTTTACAAAATATATATATTTGGCAATTAATATTAGAGTAAAATGGAAGTTTAAAACTTTATTTAATTCTATTATTGATATTCTTAAATACTTATCAAATAAATTAATTTAAATAATAATTATTTTTTCTTATTATTTATTATAATAGTTTGATTTGTTATAATTTTAATAAATTTTTTATATATATAGCATAATTTACTAAATAAAATTTAATTACTTAAAACTTTTAAATGTATATTTTTAAAGTTTTAAATAAATATTATTAAATTATTTCTATTAAATAAAAAAATATGTTATATGAATTAAATGCTTTCAATAAATCTATTGATATTAAAAGATTTGGATTTTGGAATTAAAAGAATTGGAAGATTCCAATAACTTTCAATCTTCCAATATACATTACTACTATAGTTTTTCCAGCAATTTTACCATAAACATATATATATTTACAAAATCTATAAATCTATAAAATATTATAATATAAATATATATAATTTTATAAAATCTGTAAACTTACAGAACATTATATTATATTTAAATTCCTGATGTAATATTTAGATTATAGAGTGATACTATAATCTAGTTTAAGTAGAATTCTACTATATAATATAATTTAATATATTATATGATAGAATTCTACTTATATAAATAAAAATTATTTGAATTTATATTTTATATAAATGTTATTTAAATTTAAAAAAACTTTGGAATTTAAAATTTAGCATTTAATAATTTAAAATTTAATTACTTATAATTTACTATTTATTATTTTTACAATTATTTTAGTTTATTTTTATAAATTTTTATATAATAATATTAATAAAGATTTTTTAATTAGATTTAAAATTTGAATGCATTTGCAATTAAACACATTTTCATTTTTAGAAATTTTTAAATAGCAAATTTGTCGATTATTTATGATCACGTTATGATTAGCAAATTTATTATTTAATAATTTCCAAAAAAGGGGTACATTGCAACACACCTGCATAAAATTATTATTATTATTATTTTTTTTTTTCTGCAGCACATTTGCAGTTTTATTAAAGTAAAAAAATAAAGAAAATATATACAAAGTAAAATTCCCTAATAACTACTTTAATATAATTAAACTACAAACTACTCGTCATATCGGTAGTACCCCACATGTGCACTATTAAGTGATCATTTGACTCTGTAGGTAGATTTCGTTTAGTAATGGGTCATCTTAGCCATAAAGACCCTATCTTCAATATCTGGTGATCACAGGACCAAGCATAAAATTATTATTTCCTTTATAATTTGTTTTTATAACTTATAATTCAGTTTTTATTATATTTTTTAGTATAATTAAATTAAATTAATATTTAACTATTTAGTTAGAAGTTAGTAATTATTAAATTATTTGGCCAAATAACTAAATTTTTTAATATTAAGGTTTAATTAATTAAAATAATTAAATTTCTAATAATTTATAATAATAAAATAATATAATACATTAAAAGTTAAATTTTATAATTTTAAAATATTAAATTTATAATAATATTTTAAATTAACAATTTATTTATTTTCATCAAACCAAATAGGTTTAAAATTTTCTACTATTTTATAACCAATTTTCTTTTTATGGATATGATAGTAAAGATTCTTAAATTTTGAATAAAGCATATTATCTAATTTCAATAATTTTAATTGATTATTCCTATTGTAATAATCATTAATATAAACAGAAATCTTATAATTAACATCTCGAATATTATATAATTCCAAAGTATTTAAATTAATATTACAATTAATTAAAAAGATTTTTAAAAATTCTAAAGAAATAGATAAATTTAAAGATAAATGTTTTAAAGAATTTGGAAGAGAAGAAGATAATGATTGTAACATATTTGGTTTAAGTAAAACAATATCTACTTTGGAAGATTCTAAATATAGATAATATAAATTTTTCATAAAAGGTAATAAATTAGAAATTTTTTCAAAAGTATCATAAGTAATAAATAAACATAAATGAGATAAATTAATACAATAATTTTTTACTGTATTAGAAATATCATCACAAATATAATTGCAAGCAAATTTTTTTAAATTTTTTGAAATCATTCTTAAAGTTAAAGTAATTTCATAATCAGCATTATTTGTTTGATATTGAAAAAATGAATGAGGATTCCAATGGCAAAATTTTTCAAGTGAAGATGTAGATGATTTAATTAAACCATTAATATCTTTCGGTATATCTCCATACTTATTTAATTTATAAATATGAATTGATCTTAAATTTTTACAATTTTCCAATAATTGTATTAAATTAATAAATTTAATTTCTCCATTAAGCTTAAAATTTGTTAAAGTATTTGATTGAGTTAATATAAGGGAATTGATGATTTTTTGATCCATTTTAGAACAATGACTTTCATTTATTTCCAACCTTTTTAAATTCCTTTGTGATTTAATTAAATTCACTATTGCGGGATAAACTTTTTTGAGATCACAATCGATTTCATCATCCGAAGGAAAATGAATAAATATTTCCTGAATATTTTTTGCTAACTTTGCAAGGTTATTAAAAAATGTTGGCCATATTATAGTATAACTTTCTTCATGAATGCAATAAGCGAAAAATTTTAATGTTGTGAGTTTTTTCAATGAAATATAATGTGAATTCTTCCTTCTTCCTTCTTCAATATTATTTGTATTATAAGAATATAATAAAAGATCCAAGGTATAAATTATTCTTTGACTTGATATATGATCATGAATATATTGTAATGTTATTAACTTTCCCGATTTCTTGAATATCATCTCCATTATAACACTTGTTATAATCATATAAATTTTGTTTAAATCAGTCTTCATTTCTATCAATAATTTATAATTCATTCTAACAAAATTTTCAAGCATTTTACCAAAATGATCATATTTAAATATTTTTAAATATTTTGGATAATCAAATAAAGGTTCTTCCCAAGAATTCGGAATTGTAATAAATTCATTGATTAATGTGGATTTTCCTGAATCTTCTAAACATGAAATGTAAGTTCTTATAGAAAGATTTGCGTTATTAGGGTTTTTTCTTTTTATATTATTAAATGGATCACTCCATAAAATTGGTATAGTAATTCTACACCAATTCCTATTTACCAAAATACATGAATAAAGTGCTCCTGGATCTTCTATTAAATATTGAAGTACTTCTTCTAAACAATTTGTGACAAAATTATGTCGTATTGTTGTTGAAATCTTCTTTTTATTTGCGATTTTCATAATGAATGTAAGTGTTGTCGTTGTTAAACGGTGTAAATATTATATATGAGATACTTTTTTATTTTATTTATTTTTTATTTTAATTTTTGCTTAAAAGGAAAGGAATTTATCTATTTTTTAATCGCATACCAGATGCCTTTTTTTTTTCTCCTGAACGAATTTATTTCTTTTTATATAAAAAAGAAAATTGGTTCTTTTATGCACATTTACTGGTTTACTGCATTATTTATATGATTGATAATTAAGATATTAAAGATCTACAGGTATGAATTGTGTGGACCAATCGTGATAAATTCCTCTAAAAAAACAACCGATCGTCATAGGTTCTCGTAATATTGGCTCGGTTTATCTCTAAAGAATTCCATTCCAATTTACAATTTTAGAAATAGATTTATAATAGTATCATGCTAAGATTTCCATTTTTTTTTTATTTACATAATTAATTAATACCATTAAGGATTAAGCAATAAAATATTTTTCCCACCATTAATAAATATTACATGAAAATTATAAATAACAAGGTATAAAAAACATTATAATAATAGATTTCTTATGATTATATAATAATCGATCAATACTGACAAATCATTCGGTAAGAATCAAAGGAAAAAAATATCAAAAAAGGAGAAATATTAAATATTGACCCGTTATTCATTATTGATATTCAAGTTGTTGTTGATATTCAAGTTGTTATTGATATTCAAGTTACTATTTATCAATTCTTGTGATACTGAAATTCTGCCTAGAATTTTTTAAAAAAAATGTAAATTAATATAATCAATTATTATAAAAAAGAATTGGAGTTTTCCTTACGTCTATTCGAGTCACGTCTCCTAGCACGATAACTGTTCACGATTTTACGAAATGTTACCATTGGTAAATTTCTTTCAGTTTCCGGCACAATCGACTCATAAGCCTCTAAACCGGACTCAATACGATTAAATGCTTGTGTGTTCTAATTAATTCAATTTAAATATATTAATAATTTTACAAATTCAAAAAATTCGTCATACTAGAGTTATTTATTTACCTTAAATTTAATATTTGATTCTGGAAATCTCAAACTAAATGCTTCATTTAAAGAGTCGTGAGCTGAATCACGAATTGCTTTCTCATAAGAATGCGCTTGTACGACCCACGAAGAAAGATCAATATAAGGTATTTCATTATTTGCAAGTTCTAAAGTAAATATAATATTTTGTGCTTTTTTAGGTTTGGCCTTATTGTTAAAAAAGAAAAATTCTTTTTTGTTAATTATCAACCTTCAAAGAAAGATTATTTTTCTTTTAATAATATAGTATTACTTACAATAATCCCATCTAACACATTTTTAGTTTGTTTCTTTTGTTTCTTAGTTTCTCTCACCTTTATTATTCTCCTTTTATTGATCAAATCTTGTAAATAATCTATATTTTTTATTTTTCGTTCCTTTTGTTCACCCTTTTAATTTTACAAAAAAAATTTTAATATTTGAAATAATAAATAATAAGCAAGTCAAAAATATTTGCTAAAAAAAAAAAATATCAAACCTGATTAGCATTATTTCGTTTTTTTTGTTCTTTTTGTGGTTCATTTTCATGTTTAACAATCTGATCATGAAAAGCAAGAAAGACTCTCATATGCATTGGTTCGTCATCTAAATTAACTAATGATTGATAATCATTCATTGCCACAAAAACTTGATTTCTAGCAAATTGAGGAAACTTTTTTTTTAAAAAAAAAAATTTTTAATTTATTTTAATTATCAGAGTTAATATATCATTCGATAAAAAATGTAATATGAACAAACTTACATAAGTTACGTTATCATTAGGATACATAAATTTCCAAGCGGCATTCAATTCATCTAAAGCATTATAATACTCTTCTTTATTATTAGATAACATTCTTGTTATCCAAGGCCTTAGTTTAAAATTAGGAAACGCTTCTAAAGCAAGAGCTCGAGTAAATAAAAAATCTTTCCGTTGCTATGTATATAAAAAAAAATATTTTTTTTTAATTTTTCTCTTTTTTTTTTAGAAAATAAGATCATGTAGAAACATACCATAAACACTGCTTTATCCATTTTGACGAAAGCGACGTTGCTCGCCTCTGATTTAACTTTTCTGTAAAGAAGAGAAACATTTAAAAGTTGATACGTACGTCATCTGAATGAATATTTAAATAATTAGTCGTGTAGTACAAAATGTAAATTTCACGCTACGAAATTCCACGTGATATTATATTTCATCACCGGCGTCTCCTTCGTCGCCTTATTGTAAGTCCCATTCGTCACACATTATTTGTCACATATAAGCATTTTTTTTTTCTTGAAGGCACTGTGAAAAGTCGAAAAGTCGCATTTCGTAACGTGCTATGTAACATTTAACCAATTGATCCGCAAAACAAATCTTGGATAAAGGGGATGAAATGTGAAATATGAAATATAAATATATGAAACAATTAAAACGTGATCAAATCAAAAGTATGTTATAAATATCTTTTTGCTTGAGATTTATGTTTTATCGATAAGATTTTATATTCATATAAAACATATAAGTTTTTAATAAAACTTTTTTAAAACTTCTAATGAATTTATTTGTTTTTATGTATTATTATATAAAACCATGTTTTTTTTATAAAAAATGATAATGCTAGATTAATATAACCTTGTTTTCTTATTTTTAATATATTACCCACCACACATGCATTATTAATTTTTAATTACAAGAATATGTACATATCTATATATATAGTCATAAGTTTCTTATGTAACTTATGTAATAAACTTATTTGATCTTATGAGCTCCCGACATGTTATTTACAAAAAGAATGCTTATTAAATCATAAAGCTATTTTTTAAAAAAATTAATTATGTAACAAAAGAAATTGTTTAGAAAATCTATATAAAATTATTAAAAGATGATAATGTTAAAAAGAGGGGAAACCTGGGAAGAAAAAAAAAATTTACAATTTAAAAGATGGTAAAAGTGAATTTTTTTTTTTTTTTTTTTTGAAAAAAAGCGATAAACATAAAGGAAGTATTACATACGCTAATAAATCTATTTAAAAATAATTAATCTAAAGAGAAATTATATATTAGAAACATACCACATAATTATCTTAAAAATATAAAGTTCTTAACGTGATAAAATTATAATTTGACAACTTGAAATACTTCATAATCTTCCATAATAAATTCAATTCCATTATATATTTTTTGTTGATAATCGTTTTGTTCGCAAATTCCGGCAAACCATTCCAAATCACTTCCAAATCCTAAATATTCATCCTCAACATTAAAAATTGCACGATCAGGAGTTTTAACACGAGAAAGAATAGGTTTGGTCATATGATTATTATTATCGAAAGAAAAGATAAAACTATCGTTGGAAGATAAATAACCTCCACTTGCGCACCATTTAACAGGATTATATCCACCTAATAATCGATTAGATCCTCTAACTTTAATTACAACCAAAGTTGGCCCTTTATTACTGCAACGCTTTAAAAATTCACGATAATCGTTTAATCCATGACGACTTCCACGAATGAGCAATTCAAATTTGTAAGGAATATAATGAAATTGATAGGGTTCTTCTTTTTTATCAATCCAAGATGCGAAAATTGCAGCATAAGTTGGATTAATTATTTTTGAATCAATTCCTCCTTTTTCTCGTGGTGGTAAAACAATAGATCTTGAAGGAATTTGGTTGGTAATATAAAATTGCTCCATGTCATCTCTTAATTCTTTTGGTAAGATTTTTTTATAAGGCCTAACTTTGTTATAATAATCTAATCCTGAAATATTAAAGAATCTGATATGCGGAATACAATCTTGTATCGTTTCTTTTAATGTTGAAAAATCCGAAGGTTTCCAATTTGACATATCCGAAGGAAATTTTGGATGTTGAGCTTTTCCCCATTTAATTAAATAATCCCAAACTTCAATTTCTTTAATATTGAATAATTCTTTTTTTAATATATTAATTAAAATAGATTTATCCAAATAATAAAATTCTTCCAAGGAGAAAAATTTGATAGGATCGTCACAAATAACTCCTTCACAATATTTATGAAGTTTACTACATGCTTCATGTCTAGCTGTAGTTGTAAGAAATTCAACGAGCTTTCTTTTTAATAAAGCAGCGTCATTCTTAATTACATGTTCTTGAATATGATCAATTAATTCTATAATAGCTAATTCATCGGCTGCAGCAAGAAGACATGTATAATTTACTCTAATATTCATATCATCCATGGAAATTTTACCAGTATAAAGATATCTAAAAAGAGAAAGAAAGATATAAATATTTTTTAAAAAAAAAGTTTTGAAAAAAAAACTTAAACAATTAAACATAATTTATTGTATTTACTTGAGAATAATTTCGAAAACTATTGGAGATATATTTGGTTGATGAAGAATCATGTAATCTCCATCTTTCTTGGCCCAATTAGAAGACAAGGCCGCACGAAAATATGAAGACCTTGCTCTCAAAATAACCGAATGAGCTTTAAAAACACGAACGTTTGATCCATGTCCAACTTGAATTTGAACATTATGGTCATCTGAGTCTTCATATAATCTACTAATATCTCTAATTAATAATTTGTCCAATTCCGTTGACATTTTAATTAGTAAAAAAGCAAAAATGAAAATAATAACTCTATTTTGTGAAAGGGACGTTTATTTATTTATTTTTATCCAGAGAAAAAGAAAAAGAAGCTTTAGATTTTTATAGAAATAAACAGAAAAAAATATTAATAAAAACCAAATGTGGGTGAGTTTAATTGTTTGTTTGGTAAATTAATTTTTAGTAATAAGGAAAGGACAATTTTTTGTATTGTTCTAGGGTTATTTTTATACTTTCATTCATGACCAATTTTGGATGTTCTCTGAGTAGATCAAAAGATGATGTATTTTCCAGTTAAATGAAAAAAATTTTTTTTTTTTTCAAAATGCATGTGTAAATTTATTTATTATACATAATGAAAAAGCGCCAAAAATTGAAACTACGGTTATCAGCTGTACGTTGAGCCTTATTTAACTTTCTTTGTTCTGATTGACTGAAATGGTATGAGTCAAAAGGAATGTCCAATTTTAGAATTATCGATGATATAATCATACATAAGAATAATGGGATACTTAGAATGTGGCGCAGCAATACATCTCGTGTTTCACCCGAATGTTTCGCGATCTTGTTTTGCAGGTATGTAAGCATTATATGGTTTAGTCGATTATACAAATCCAAAATCGACTAATTATTGTAGATATAAAAGTACGTATTTTTTAAATTTTCTTTCTTTGATATTTACCAAAATTGTCTCCAATTGAATATTTTTTAATTTCGTTTGTACTGCGCCACAAAACCCCTTCCCTTGTTTCACATCTCTTTTTGCGCACTTTATTTACCTTTCATTACGTACAGATTAGTATTACTAATTTTATGCATAAAAACATGATTCGGGTTAAAAAAATTGTTTATTTTAATATACTGTGGCTAATCTAATAGTCCAATATGTAATTATTCGTATTTTTTAAGGCTATAAGGCGTTTTTTATTCCGGGTAAAAAATAATTTATGCATTGTATTATAAATTAACCAATCAGAATTTTTGCGTCGCAAAAAAAAAAATTTTTTTTCGTATTGGGAATATCTTTTCTTTTTTTCATCTGTCGTGTGATTGTTCTCGTAATTTGTATTTTCCAAATATTATTATTTACACATTCAATACCTTAATCCTTTCAGGAGTTCTTTTAACTTTATGATAAAAAATGACTTCACTTAGATGAATACAATGTCATTCTTGGTAAATACAATGTCATAATTACAAATTTTAACAGTTCAATATGTAACGTTGAATTTACATATAGAACTTTCTCCGAGAAGGGCCTGGATTCTGGAACAGAAAAGAAATGCAAGTATTGCGCAATTTTAAGGTATACCACATTACATATTGTTACAACTAATGTCAGTTCAACCTAATTAAAATTTTCACCCTTACGTTGATAGTCGGTGTTAAATAATGTGTGACGAGAATGTGGAAAGTGAAATCACATGTAAATGAAAATGTACTGGATTACTGATAATTTCTGATATTACTCTCTTTGGTTATGAGAGCTAAATAAATTTCTTCTTTTTTTTCTATCTAAATAATAAATAATTAGAATATGCAAGGTACAAATAATCTACCAATCATATATATTAAATAATAAATCACATGCATTGATTGTATAAATTCATTATTATTATCATATGCTGATTAATGTTAAATTATATGCTACTTTGTAAAGGTAATACAGAATAATATGTCAAAATACTAGCTAATTCTAATTCATTCTAATTCTAAATTAATTTTAATATGATTTTTTTACTTTAATTAATAGCTTTTTTGTTTAATATAATTTTGATAATTTGGCTTAATTTCAAATACTTGTATCATCAATAAATAATGAAATTGACTTATTTGATAATAATGACCTTAAAGTTAATTTAAATATATTAATGAAATTGAAGAAACTGTAATATGAAGTTATAGTATTTAATTAGTAATATAATCAAATTTATAATAAATGGTTTTTTTTTGAATGCATATTTCAAGTTGTTTTTACAATATAATTATGCAGAATTTTATATTATTAAACTGATTTTTTTTTGTTTGTTATTACTAATGCTATTATAAATTACTGAATTTTGTAAACTCTTTAGTTTAGTTTGAGTTTCATTAGAATAAACATTTTCTTTTATAATTTATATATAATTGAAGTTATATTTATTGATTTTATTTACATGTTTATAATATAAAATATTATTGTTTAATGGATAAGTAGAAACTTCTTCAATTTAAAATTTATCATCATTTTTTTGATCAGTAATATTTCTTTATCTGACATTATTTCTATTATCAAAAAATAAGATTATTTTTATCTTTATATATTTATTTATAATAGTTAATTATTTAAAATTATACATTTAATTTTATGAATTATAAACCTAATACTAATAATCATCAATAAATAACTATATATGTGATGTATTTCTTAAATTAACAGATATAATTAATTAATATTTTATTATATAAAAACTAAAAAAATTCTATTTATTAATTTATTAATTCCTATCAATAAATCAATAATAATATATATAATATAAATGAAAGTATATATACCATATATACAGTAATAAAAATATTTAATTTTAGAAATAAGTCTAACTTTTAAATGGATGTCTTAAACCTGCAAAAAAAAATAATAAAAATATTAGTAAAATATTTTGTTAATAAATAAAAATAAAGAAAAAAAAATTGAAGGTTTAAACTTTTAAAATCTATATAAATAATTTTTTAAAACCTATAAAAAACAAATAAAGTTTATTAAATAATTTATTAAAAAAAAAAAAGTAAAAATTTAAAGTAATACTTTTGAAATTCCTACCTACTATTAAGATAAATTACTCTATAGCTTAAGATAAAGTTTACATATAAAACTCTTTAAAGATTTTATTATAAAGGAAATTTTATATTATATTATTATAATTTTTTTTTTTAATTAATTAACCAATAAAATTTAAAAAAATCCTAAGCTAAGATTTTATATGAAAATGAAATTTTCACCAATAACCTATTTTAATTCTTTTCATTTATAAAAGTCAGATAAAATATTATTTGTTATAAACTTATAAAAAATATAAAAAAATATAAAAAACCCATTTAATTAAATTTTTAAAAGTAAACTTATTAAATTCTAATTTACAAAAGTTATAAAATAGAAGTTAAATCCTAAATTTTTTCTATAAAAAAAAGATTATTGATATTTGATTGATTTTATATAATGCAAAATCTTTATATAATTAGAACTTGATATAATAAATTTTCTGTTCAAGTAATTTAAGTCATTATATCAAGTATTCAATAAAACAAATATTCTTATTAGTATATTAAATTTAATATATAAATTTTTTATAATTCAGTTTATTAATTTTTTTTTATAATAAACATTTTATTTATTATAAAAATTTAAGTTACAGTCTTACAGATAAAGTAATATATATATTTATAGATATAATAGATATAATGATAATAAAAAAGTTAATTTAATTTATTATATTCATTTAATATTTTACTCTTTTTAGAAAGATTGATAAAAATCAGCATAAAATAAAAAATTTTTTTTTTTATAATTTTAATAATAATTAATATATAAAAAAAATCAATATTAGCTTATTACAAATAATATAATATAACTGGTTTATAGTTTAATAATTAATATCAGTATAATTATATTATAAAATTTATAATAAAATTAGATTTAATTTGAAAAAAAAAAAATTAGTATAAGTCAAAATTGATTTATTTTGAATTGTTATATTAAGTTCTAATTGTACTTAATTACTTATATATAGTAATATTAAATTGGTTAATTATAAATTCTAAAAAAAAAATTTTTTATATTAAAGTAAAAAATTTAATTAATAATTTTTATAGATATAACCATTAACTTGAAATTAACAGTTATTTTTTAAAAAAAATTAAAATTTGACCAAATTTTAACTGTTTAAAAATCTGTAATTTAAATATATATGCTAATTAAATTTAGTCAAAGTTAAAATTAGTTTAAATTTTTGTATTACAGATTTTTTTTAGCTAATATTAAAAAAGATTTAATAAATAAGATTATTCAAATATAGGTTAATTTAATGTTATAGATAATAATTATATATCATTATTTAAAGTAAATATTTAAAAAATAGGTTAGATAATAAATTTTAAATGAAAAAATTTAAAAATTAAGTAATTTTACTTTAATTTGATTAAAAAATACATAAAATAAAATATATATTTTATTATTATATATCTGATTTATTAATTTATAATGAAATATAATAAATAAAGGATTTTATTTTTATTATTATAGTGATATATCACTAGACTTTAAATGTTATATATTTAAAGAATTAATTATTATTAGTTAAAATATAGCAATATTATTTAAGCAAATTAATTATTATTAATATTACTGTATAATTTAATATAATTCTTTACTTTATTAATACATTCTTATTATTCATAAATTCTAATTAATTATTTCTAATAACCAATTATTCTAAACTTAACAAACTGAATATTATTTCTAGTTAGTAAGATATTAAGTGTCCCTTATGTTATATACTAGAATTCTACTTACTTATAATAAAGGTTATTATAGAAAATTACCCTTTACTAATAGTTTTTACCTTACTTTTTTTTTAAATTCCATTGGTTAATTAGCTAAAAAGAAAAAAAATCATAATAATGTAATTTTCTTTTATAATAGAATCTATGATCTGCAAAAAAATTTATATATAATTTTTATTTTAGATCTGAAAATAACCTATCTTATAAGTAAGTGGAATTCTTACATACCACCAAATGTTACTGTATTCCACTCAATATCCTTATTGGACTCTACAACTATTTCAGTTTCTTACTGCTTTTATAATTAGATAAAAAAAAAATTAATTTAAGAAATAAATTAAAAATTTCATAACATACTGTAAATTTATTTATTTTTACAATATTTCATTTATTCATAAATTGGTATAACTATAGTATAATTTTATTAAAATTTATATTAATAACTTTTCTTTATATTTCTATCTATATATAATTAATATTAATTTCTAAAATTCCTATTTTTCAAAAAAAAAAGTAAAAATAATATTTTGTACATATGTAAAAACGCTATAAACAATATTTATAAAATATGAATTAACTTACATTAGTAAATAATAAATCAACAGTTAATTATCAAAATCCTTAAAAACTTCCTTTAATTACTGTCCAAATTATTTTGGAATGCCATAATTATAATTTGGAATGCTATAATTCATTCAGTTTATATGTAATTTACTATGAAGTGCTAAAATAATTTAAGATATCATAATTGAATTTGGAATTTTACTTATAATTATAGCAGTTCAAAATAATTTGGACAACATACATATAATATATCATATATAATTTTTAATATCTGCTATAATAATAAATATTTTATTATTTTAAACTTATATTCTTCTACTACTTCTTAAAGTTATTCTAAATAATAAACTAATAATAAATTATTGCAATTAAAATTATTTTCTGTTATTTAAGATAATAAATCTTTATTACAGTTCAAATAATATAAAGTAATTCTAGATTTAGCATATTCTTTAGCAAAAACTGCACCAATTTTTGAATTTTAAATAACCAATAAAATTTAACTAATACTTTAAATTTTCAATTATATTTTTTTCATATAAATTACTTTATATCAGTTATTAAAATAACTTTAGTTTAGGATATTATTTCTTTTAATTAATTATTTTGCATTATTCCAAAAAAAAATTATTTAATAGAAACTAGTAATATGACAAAAAAATTAATTATATACTCATTATAATTTATATAATTGAATATAAAATTATATAGTAAAAGTGCATATTAAATATTTTAAACATTTTGATAAAAAAAGTGATTAATTTCAATCCATTAATACTGTATGATTCAAATAAATTCTATTTATATAGATTTTAATTGATTAAGATAAAAACATAATATTAGTAATATCTTAGAAAATAAGTATATAATTTTAAGAAATTTTTTATATAAATCAGTTTTGAATTGTAATTCAATTGTTTAAAATTGGTTACTAATTGGAAATAAAATTAATTAGCATATAGTCTATATTCTTTTATCAAAAAAGTAGCTACCATTTTACTAAATCAAAAATAATATGAAGTACATTTATTTGTATAAGAGTATGGGACTGATGGGTTAAGATAAATATATATAATCATATGCAATGTTAGATTTTAGACTTGTCCAATTGGTTTTTTTATCACCGTTTTCAAAATGATGTATGCAGTTAAATTTGAATAAAAAAAAAGAAAACTGAAAACTGGACGAAAACTGGACGTAATATGGACAAAAAATGGATGAAAACTGGGCGAATATTGGTATTCGAATATACAATCACAAATAAACTGCGTACACCATTTTGAAAACGGCGATAATTGAACAATTTTGAACTGTCTAAAACCAGTTTTGGATATAGTTTTGGACATAATTTTGGACATAGTTTTAGACAGTTTAAAACTGCTCAAGAGTTCTAAATCCTAATATTCATCAATTGAAACTAAAAATAAAATAAAAATATAATGTTAAAATGTTAAAAAAATAAATATTTAATATTAATTAAAAGATTTTTGAAGTAATTTAATAATTGAACTAAAATTAAAATTAGTTAAAATTAGTCATAATTCTGGCCAAAGTTAAATTTTTATTATGTGATTTGTCCAAAACCTGTTTAATGAAAAAAGGTTTGGTTTTGGACAAGTTTTGGACAGGTTTTGGACAACTAAAACGTCTAATTGTCTAATTGTCCAATACTGATTATATGTATAACTGTAAGTTAAGATTTCTGATTCCAAATCTAAAAAAATTCAATTTGATTATATAAGTAGGATAAATCTAATTGTAACAGCCTGTTACGCGTCTTATTCGTAACAACCCAATTTTATCCAATTAAAATTTAAGATCAGGCATAATGTAAACAAAAACAAAAGATCAGTCGTGTAACTAAGAGAAAAGAATTTTTTAAAAAATTTCAAGAAACTGCTTATAACTTAAAATTTTGTCTATGAAACTGTTTTAAATACATTAAGTAAAAGTTTTCCAAAATAAATTTTGCATATAAAAATTTTATTTGTGAAACATATATTAAATTTATTATTAAAAAAAAATAAAAAAAGGATGTTACAAATAAGATATGTAACAGGCTGTTACAAATACATTTTTTCATATAAGTATAATTCTCCAATTATAATGATCTTGATAAGATTTTTTTTTTCTATTATTATTACTTTTCAGTCATATGAATTTTCTTATCATATTGATATATATTAACATAAATATTATAAAATTATGAATTATAGTAATTAATTCTCAAAGTTTTTTTACAATAAATAAATCTATTTTTGAAAAGTTTGATATTCTTAATGTTACCCTTATATAAAACTGATATGAATATTAGTTATGATATTTTTTTTAGCTAGTTTTGCTATAAAAATAAAAAAAGCTTGCCATTTATTAATATTCTTTATTTTAGATCTAGAAATACTAAATCAGAATAATAGCAAAGAGGATGATGACAAAAAGAAAGAAGTAATAACAACATTTTTAATTCCTTACCTTCTACTTTTTTGTCTATTATGTCCTTATCTTTTACAGTCTCACTTTTTATGTCCTCTTCTTCTATGTCTTTTTTCTTAAATATGTTTAATAAAAATTGCTTGTTCATATAATCTAAAATTTTTTTAAATTTTTTTTATAAAGTTATATAAAAAATTTTTTTTTTTATATAATTACAATTTTTTTTTTAAAAAAAAAAATGATCATCAGCATATTATTAATATTAATAATTATTACACTTATTATATCTATTACAAGTTATTAAAAATGATTAAATCATATTTGATTTCATAATAATATTACATCATTATATTGATATTATATCATTACATTCAATATTTTATATAAAGCAAAGTAAAAGCTTTATTTCTAATAATTCTAATACATCTTCTCCATTTAAGCAAATCCGTCATTATGAATACAGAAAAAGGTAAATTTTAGTTTATTTTTCTATTTTATATAAAATTCTTAAATATATTTATTCTTCATCTTAGATTTAGAAATGTATCAAAATAATGATAAAGATAAACAAGAAGGTTCAGAAAATTTACAACAAATTTATTTTAATAAACAGATATATATCAGAATTTTATTTTTTTGTATAGATTATAGATATTTTAAATTTTATTTTTTAATATTTTACATTAGAATCCAAAATATTTTAGTTTGAAAAATCAATGGCCAGCTGAAATTAATGACAATACAAATGAATGGAAGATGTTATATAATTATGAACATATAGAACACCCTATATATGATGATACAATGAACTCAAGGAAAGTAAAATTGAAAAAAATGAAATTCAAGAAGTCATTCAATTACGAGAAATATTTAATTGGGTATCAGAAATAGATCATTTGATGGATATTGATCTTAAAGCCCAATCAAGACAGGCAACCAATGACAATAAACATGTCATAGAAATTGATATCTTATCAAAAAAAAATTATGGTAAAATTAAATGTTTCTTATATTCATATGATTTTAAATATAATTGTATTTTTTAATTATTCTTACAACTTATATTTTTTATTAAATTAAAGATGTTTTTCAGAATCTTAGTTGCATCTCCAAGGTTAAGGAAGAGGAAGTAAATAATCACATATCAACAGAGAATAGATCATCACCTTTTTCTTTAGAATTAGAAAGGAAAAGTACTTCCAAGTTCAACAAATTTCAGGTTTGGAAATTGTTCCAAGATAAACACTTGGTTCCTTCTAGTAAAAGAATCCAAAATCCAAATCAGAATCCACATGATCTTTATTTTCAGTGGAACAGTAATAGATCCTTGTCAAAATTGCCAGAAATTCCAGACCACTTACTTGACTTATTGAGAACTAAACACCATGGAATTCATAAAATCACAAGTAAAGATTCATTAGAATATATATGGAATGCAGAATATCTTAAGGACTTTTCAGAAAGATTCAAAATTACAAATCCTCATCCAGTACTTATAAGTGATTTTGGTTTTGTTGGTATTATGGTAGATGAACATGGTTGCATATTTAAGTGGAATGAAATGGAAAAAGATATGCAATATTTAGGGCCTGATTTAATAACTGGTATCGAAAACCTTCTCTTTTATCCTGATAATATACTTTATGATGAGATGATATCTGATGAACCTGAATTTGAAGAAGAGGAAGAAGGAGGAGAAGAAGTACCAATGAAAGTAATTAACCTGAGAATGGGTACTAAAGGTAATAAAGGAAAAAAAAAGAGAAAGAATAGAAAGAATAGATCAAAAAAAAAAGATAAGTTGACATGTTTAAACACATATATTTTAGCTTAGGAAAAAAAGAAACTCACTTTAGTTGTTAAAAATTTTTCTTTAATTATATTTAAATGTGAAAAAATTTTTTTAATAAAAATTACTACACATGTATAACAAAAATATAGCACAAATGATATAAGTTTAATTTAAAATAAGAAATAATGTAACTAAAGTAAAATCCATGAAATTATAAGAATATCTTTACATTGATTATTAAAACATAAATCTAGTTAAAGCCATGAAATTGACAGCATGTTAATCTAATAAAAGTACGTTTAAGTTTCATCTTATCATTATCATAAGGGTATGTAAAGTTTAATTTACTTTATTCAAAATACATACACAGAGATATTATGGCTACACTGTCAGGATATTTATTTTGTGCTAAGCTATATTCAACACAAAATTTTAAGGTCTAAAAATGACTGATTTATTCTAAATTAAGTTTCTTTAATATTAGTTTCAATTTCAAATTTATTAAAATTTTAAATGTATACAGTACAGCATCTATCTAATATAAGTTAAAGTTCAGTTCAATAGGTACACAATTTCACAATCACGTAATCCGCATCATGAAAAGAATGAACGTCTCACTATACCTAAAGAAAAAAATAAAGTCCAATCGGAAAAACAAAATTAAAAAAAAACTTTAAAAAAAAAAATTTCAAAATGAACTATTTTGAAACTTACCAATCAATCCTATCATCCGGTGGAAATAAATTAACATTCTTGGTTGATACGTACAGTATGATATATGATTTTTTAATAATAAATTGAAATTTGGATTAAATCAAATAGGTTTTGTTTCTCAAAATACCTTTTAAAAAGAATTCAAATTCTATATATCATGTTATGAAAAATTGTTGCCATTTCAAACAGTATACAATTATCATCTAAATAAGCTTAATGCGAAGCTAATGTAGGTTAAAATTAGGATAAAAGATAATTGCCATATAAAATTTTCCAAAAATACAAAAGCAGCTTTGGTAAAAATCAAATGAATGTTAAAGTAATTCTCTGAATTAGTATCGTGGAAGGTATTGAAAGAATAAATATGATATCATATTAATTATACAGCAGTTACGGTATATTTCACCGAAACCAATTTCACTGAAGCCATTTTGCCGAAGGGATATTTCATTGAAGGGATGTTTCGCTGAAAGGATGTTTCGCCAAAAGTGCATTTTATCAAATCCATTTCACCAAATCATCCATTTCACCGAATTCCATTTCACTGAATCCCATTTCGTCAAATGGACATTTTGCTGAAAATGGTAGAAAATAAAAATTAAATTATTTTTAGATTTTTTTTTCTAGGATATTATCCTTTTAATATTCAAGTAACTGAGATTAATTGTTATAATTGTTAAGCAATAAATAAATAACTTTATTTACCTGAAAACATTTATTCACGAAAAAGTAAGTAAAAAAAAGATTAATGTATTATAAACAAACAAGATAAATTTAATAAAAATCAGCTATCTAATACAAAAAAGATTTCATATATTTAGTATAAAACAATAAAATAACCAAATGGAATAAATAATTTTTCAGTAAAATGTCTATTCGGCAAAATGTCCATTCGATAAAATGGCTTTGGCAAAATGGAATTCGGTGAAATGGGGTTTCAGTATACTTGCCGTCGGAATTAATTACGGCATATAAACTATAAAGCTTATACCATAGTACCGTAATGCCGTAATTATTTAATGTCAAAAATACAAAAATTACACAAAGTAAATACTGGTTATACTGTACTGTAAATAATTTGTAATCCGTAAATCTATAATGCTGGTCTCGATGATTTGTTAAATATTTGAATGGTAAAATCCATATTTTGTAATGCCATAATTTCAATTTGGCAGGTATTTCGGCAAAACGTCCTATCTCTTCAGTAAAATATCCCTTCAGCAAAATGGCTTCGGCAAAATGGGCTTCAGTAAAATGGACTTTGGCGAAAAGTCCAGATACCTTATACAGCTGCATAGGTATGAAAGCTCAAGAATCTATGCATTGAATAACCTTACATTATGGTAATTGAGATTATTGAAGTGAATCTGAACTTTAAATGCATTGTATTCTTTCTTAACTGTAAACCTCAATTTTTATTATTATATGAATGAGAAATTAGGGTTTAGTAATTATTTTAGTTTCAACTTATAGGAGAGCACAAATATGAAATAACTATGATATTACGACACTTATCACTAGAAATTAAGATAACTGTTTTTTAAAATTTTGTTCTGGATGAGAAGATCAGAAAGTCCAGAAAACTAAAGAAGTTGAGAACCCTTATCACGTTCATGAATATTATTAATTTTATCTTCAATTCCTGTTTTAATAATCATTTCTGGAACCTATTTATTAATCTTATTATTGCAGTCATTATTAAGTACCTGATAATGATCTTTGATAAGTTTCAGATCGGCTGAATTGTGTTTCTGAATAAACTTTTTAATTTCATCTGCATTACTTTAATAGTGCCATGTTTGAACTTTTATCGAGACTTTGTGAGTTTTGCAAATAAAACACTACTTGCTCTTTATTAAATTATAATTCATATTGAAACAAGCACAATCAAAACTTTGCAAAAGTTGTTATAAAGATCATTGAGATGCATTAGAATGGCTTGAAGTTCAAGACCAAAACTCAAGTCCAACCCTTAAGAAAAAAGTAGAAAATTTAAATCTAAAAAAATAATAACAATAAGCATTGATTAAGAAGTAATATAAAGCCCAAAGCGTGAATCTATTAATACTTTAATTAAAAAAAGCAAATTTTGTTTTTCATATTTTATTTATATTTAATTGACCCAAAGCGTGGATTTCCATGGATTGTTAATCATTCTATTTTTAGTTTAAAATTTTAAAAGCGTGGAAATGTTAATCATTTTAAACTCCACTTCATCTGTCAGAACGTTTTTTTAAATATATTATTATAGAAAAAACGGTTTCTCGACGTTTTTATAATGAATTTAACGAAAAAACGTTGCGAACCGTTTTTTAACGTTAATAGTAAGTAATTTGATTTTAAAAAAACATTTTCGCAACGTTTTTTTGGATTGCTTTAATAAAAAACATTGCGAATATGTATATATACCTGATATATACCTAATTGGTAGATAAAGTATATTTTTTTTTTAATAACTTAATACAATAACAGAAATTAACTATATAATAAAATTGCAGGCTAAACTAATTTTAAGATTTGATAAAAGTCTAAACTTTTAAAATTAAGTAAGTTTAAACTATTAGCAAAATGTTTTGATATTGTCAAAAAAAATCTGCGCAGTTCTGCGACCCTGCAGCTAGTACAAGGCTATTAGAGTTCTGCGCAGAATTTTAAAATTCTTTAGTGGTTAATTTATTTATTACTATATTTTTGAATTGTATTACTACTTTAAAATGTTTTTTATAGTAAGTGGAATGGTTTCGTTATGATAGCTAATCTCCCGGTGAAAGGGTACAGACCACATGCCAATCAACCTTATCTCCCGATCAGCAACCAGTTTCAGACGAGTAATTCAAATTGAATCGCAATTCAAAACTGGTACATATAAAAAATCTCTTAAGACATATTAAGAACGTTACCTCCCACCCCCTAAAATATTACTAATCAATTGAAATCTATATAAATAGAATTTTATCTGGACGGATCGTACAGTATTAACGGATTGAAATTAATCGCTTCTTTTATCGAAAATGTTTAAAACGTTTAATATGCATTTTTACTATACGGTTCCACCTAATTTACATCCAGTTGTACAAGTTGTAACGAGCATGATGATTAATTTTTTTATAGTGTTACCAGTTTCCATTGGATTATTTTTTTGGGATAATGCAAAACAATTAATTGAAAAAAAACAATATCCTGAACCGAAAGTTATTTTAATAACTGGTGCAAGGTAATTTATACGAAGGAAACATGATTAAAAAATTTAAAGCATTAGTTAAATTTTATTGGTTATTTAAGTTCGGGAATTGGTGCAGCCTTTGCTAAAGAATATGCTAAATCTGGAATTACTTTAGGCCTTTTGAGTCGTAATAGAGGTTTGTCATCTTAAATGACAGAAAATAATCCGAATTGTAATTATTTATTATTGATTTTATTATTTAGAACGACTTCAAGAAGTAGCAGAAGAATGTGAATTTAAGGGAGCAAAATGTTATATTATTGCAGCAGATATTAAAGATTATGATACGTTAAAGGAAGTTCTTGAGGATTTTGATAATCAACATCCCATTGATTTATTATTTGCCAATGCAGGTTGGTTCATATTTTATAAATATTGCTAGTGTTTTTACGTATGTAAAAAATGACATTTTATTTTATTTTATTTTTTTTTCTTTTGGGAAATAGGAATTTCAGGAATTGAAGGTGATTATGTATGGACGGAAACGTGGAGGAAAGTTATTGATATAAATCTTAGTGGAACCATTGCTACAGTTATGCCAATTTACGAACGAATGAAACGCCGTAAAAGTGGACAAATTTGCAGTATGTTATGAAATTTTTGATTTATTTCTTAAATTAACGTTCTCTTTTTTTTTATCTAATTATAAATGTATATACATATATTATTTTTTTTTTTTAAAAAAAAAAGTCAATTCGTCAATTTTTAGTTATTTCTCTCCTCCATTAGCTATTTGGTATGGGGCGACAAAATCAGCATTAAATAAGTTTACACATGATTTATATTATGTTGCATCTAAGTATAATGTTCGCGTTAATTTACTTGTACCCGGTAGTATAAGTACCAATATGATAGGAAACGATCCTAGCTCAATTCCTCCTACATATCTTGCTAAAATTCTTAAAAAGCAATTAGAAGATAATGTATTTTGTATTTCATATCCTTTTTACCAAAATTTGTATTATTATATTCTTTCTACTTTACCTAAAAGGGTTTCTCTTTTAGTTTCCAGTACATTTGCCAAGATGATTATGAAATCACATGACTTAAACTAAATTAACATTTTGATTGATTCTTGGTTGACCGTTGACACGCACAGTATGATATACATTTGTATTGATTTCTTTGAATAAAAAATGGCTAAAATTTGGATTAAATCAAATAAGTTTTTGACCTTTTAAAAAGAATTCAAATTCTACATATCATTTCAAATGATCTGAAGCTAATGTAGGCTAAAATTAGGATGAAAGATAATTTTGATCCGAATTATAAGATCATATAAAATTTTCCAAAAAATACAAAAGCAGCTTTAATAAATGTTAAGGAACAGAATTTTCAAAATATTAAATTTTCTCAACTGTAAAAATGCGTGATGAAATTTATATTTATTTATCGCATGAATTCTTATTCTACCTGATTATTCTAGTAATTTTTTATTTGCAATCAAAGATTCCCGGGAACTAAAAAGTTAAATTGGTAATTATAGCAAAATTATCTTCTATTATGAACCTCTAATGAAAACTTTTTTTATAAAATTTCACACTATGTGCACAGGTAGCGATTTTTTTCAAGCAATAGACAAGGTTTTTAGTACATTACAAAGAAAATAGTAATAGAGATGGTTTCTTTAATCATTCATTAGAATTTTACGATTTAAGTCAAAATAAATGGGTGTAAAATGGACACTACCTTCTCAATATATATTAAATCGATGTATTGATTTTATACATAATACGGTTTTATTTGTCTCAAATGGTCGTAAGTTATAAATTAAAAATTACCCATTAACTTGTAGGTCCAGAATTGCAATTCAAAATCACGACAAAGAGTATTTTTATTTGCGCAAATGTCTGCATTTTTCGTATTATGGAATGCGGTACATCATGATCCTATTTGCATAATTAAGCAAGACTCCAAAAGAGAAAGGAATTATTTTTAGAAAAAAAAAGTTTATACTGTATATGTTCATACAACATCATTTTGGCACAATGCAATACCACCCATTAACCCGTCTATACACATTACACAGGCTTATTACTAATCCAAGTCTGTGGTACAGTTGCAGCCCACCGTACCATAAACTCACAACTTTGAGCTTCATCCATCTAAAAAATTATGTTTTTGATATATCTTGTGTTTTTCAGATCCAGCTTATTTTTTTATATAAATCAGAAATGTGATCAAATAAAATTATACAATTATCATTGAAAATAGCGATTAAACTTATATATTGATATAACCGATTTTTTAAGGAAAGCAGTACCTAAACCTGTCAAAACAGATGTCTGGATGAATTCAACCCGAATTTTTATTTGATTGTTACTATGAAATGATGCTAGATGAAAAAGGATTATAGAAGAGTATCCTTAATTCTTTATGAAACTCCTAAGACAGATTTCAATTATTTCATAGTTTTCATAGTTGACGTAAGAATATAAATAAATAATTGTTTGAAAAAAAAATGTACTACTTAAATAAAACTTATAAAACTTATGATTCTCAATTTTGATAACACGCGTAATTTGACGTCGATCCATTAATATGGATTTGGCAATTTAATAGTAATTTTATAATAATAAAAATAATTTTAACAATTATTATTATTTGCGTTCCTGTTTTTTTCAATCGAGAAAAATTACATATATTAAGTAAAATTTCTATTCATCCTCATCATCCTCAATTATTTTTCAAAAAAACCTTTTTTTAAATTATAATTATACAATATGAAATCATTTTTCTCTCTCATCAAACCTAATTATCAAATAAGTAGTACCCTTGCCAAACCATCTTATTCATCATATTTTCTTAACAAAAGGTTTTATGTAGCCAACGCTGTTTCTACTGATCATGGCATAAAAGCTACTTATCCTTACCCCAATCAAATTACAAACATAGTATGGACAATTCATTTTTATCAATATTAAAATTTTCGATTTATAAATAACTTTTTTTTTCTTTTAAAAAAAAAATAGGGTAAGAATAGGAATTTGATCGAAGAAGCTATAAGAGACCATCGCGTTATCAAAGACTTATGGGGACGTTATCAGAAAGAAGCTAATAGAAATGAACGTCAAAAAATAGCAAATACAATTATTTATGAATGTAAGATAAAAAATTTTTTATTCCTCTTATTGTACAAAACTCATATATAACTTTTGTCAAATCAAAATGAATTTTACTCTAGTCGCAGTACACACCGCTACAGAGGATATTGTGTTATATCCAGTTTTGGAAAAGTACTACCCTAACATCGTGAAACACAATCACGCGGATCATCATCATATTAAAGAGGCACTTCACAAACTGTTCTCGATGAAGATTTCCGATCATGGATATGATGATATTTTAGCTAAAGCCATCAAGGTAATTCTTCACCATTTATATTTGCAAATTCATTTTTGCATATTAAAATTTTTTTATGTATTGTGTAATTAAAGGAATTTGAGGAGCACGCTGCTCGAGAAGAATGTGACCATTTCCCCAAACTCAAAGAGGCAATCGGAAATGATAAACAATTGATAAAATTAGGTGAAGAATTCGAAAAAATCCGTTCAAAAGTTTCTACTCAATCTCACCTAACCACTCATGACAAAGTTCGTATCTTGAGAATTTAACAAATAAAAAATATGTAATTTTTTTTATATAAATTTGTATTATTAATTTCTTTTTTATTTCTTTTGATATTTAATGCATCAGATGGAATCTGCAAGTTAGTACACATTTTATTTAATTAGTTTTACGCTAATTTTATCATTGCCAACACAAATTTTTTCTTTCTTATTACTAAAATCATAGTTTGCATGGCAGCTGCGCCTCTTGACAAAATTTTCAATTCTTCACGTAATTATGTTGAAACAATTCGTGATAAAATTTGATTTATTATATAGAAAAAAAAAATTTACTAAATTTTTATAAATTTTTATTATTAAAGCATCTTTTAATATTCTATTAATATGACATTATTTCCTTCTGATATTAAAATAAAATATTTCATAAAACATTTTTTCAAAAAACGTACAAAATTGTATATGCTTTATTAATAATACCAATGTATTTCCCTTTTAATTATTAGTTAAAATAAATGGTTTTCTAATAATTGGTTTACTAATAATTTGAAAAACTTCATATTCATCAACAGAGAATTTGTTATTGGATTCTATAATAGGTTTTTTATATGAAGTTTGATTACAACTACACATTTTATCAGTTCTGAAATTATTTCCCGACATAATTAAATCACCATTTCCAAATCTAGGCCCAGTTGAATTTGACAACAAAAGTCCAATTCCATAATTAGAATCTTCAACATCAGATTTTGTAAATTTTATTTCATTAACATTAACGTCATTATCATCATAATTGAAAGAAAATATAAAACTTTCTTTACAACTTAAGAAATCAAGATTTTGCTGTTCTGTTGTGACAAGTGGAAATCTACCAATATCAGATATTTGTGGTAAGCTTATAACTTTATTAGATTGTGATAAAGTAGAATCCGAAATGCTAACATATGAAATCTCTCGCATCTTTCTTATCTTTCTTACTAACCTTGGTGATGTATTCACGTTAGTACGTGCACTTTGCGTTGTAATTTGTAAAGAACTGAAAGAACTCTGTGTTGTAACTAGTGAGATACTAGAACTTTGTGTTGAGGAAAATGGCGAGCCAAGACCAACTGAAGATTTAGTCGTACTTGTTATTTGTGATAAAGAAGATAATCCAACTGACGTACTTGTTATTTGTGATGAATTAGAACTTTGTGTTGTGGAAGATAGTGTGCCAGAACCAACTGAAGGTTTCGTCGTACTTGTTATTTGTGATGAATTGGAACTTTGTGTTGTGGAAGAAAGTGTGCCAGAACCAACTGAAGGTTTCGTCGTACTTGTTATTTGTGATGAATTAGAACTTTGTGTTGTGGAAGATAGTGTGCCAGAACCAACTGAAGGTTTCGTCGTACTTGTTATTTGTGATGAATTAGAACTTTGTGTTGTGGAAGAAAGTGTGCCAGAACCAACTGAAGGTTTCGTCGTACTTGTTATTTGTGATGAATTGGAACTTTGTGTTGTGAAAGGTGATGTGCCAAAACCAGTAAAACCAGTTAAAGATTTCCTCTTATTTTGTGTTGTGGAAGATGGCGTGCCAAAACCAACTGTACTTGCAATTTGTGTTGTCTTTGTAATATTAGATAAATTAGAACTTTGTGTTGTGGAAGAACCGAAAATGCCGTTAAATAGAGGTTGTGCTCCAAAATCAGAACTTTTTGAAGTACTGGAAGGAGGGCCAAATGATCCAAAACCAGATGCACCAAAATTATGAGTTATGGGTTTCCATTCTACACATTTTTTCCATGCTAAAGGATTATAACCACCAATAACTTTTCTTGTACCAGCTATTCTTATTACGACCAGGGTATTATTTATGTCAAGACATTTGGAATGAAAGATTTCACTGTTAAATCCATCCTGACTACCACGTAATAATAATTTGAATTCATATGGAATTTCTGGAAATCTAAGTGGTTTATTTGATTTAATTATCCAAGTTGCGATTTGCGCAGCTTCCGATGATGTTATCACTGTAGAATCAATAACACCAATTCTTGGTGATAAATTAAATTCTGAATTTAAAACTCTTGATGTTAAATGATATTGAATTATTCCTTCCTTTATTTTTTCCGGAATAATTTTTTCATACGGTCGGACCTCATAATAATAATTAATTGGAATAATACGATTAAATCTAATTAAAGGAAAAAAATCATCTAAGGTCGATTTTAGAACTTTAAAGTCCTCTTCGTTCCAATTGGTTATTACTTTTGAATTATTAACGGATTCTTTTCCCCATAAAATTAATTTTCTCCAAATATCAATTTCACTCATAACTAAATTATCTTTTTTAATTACATCAATTAAAAGGTCTTTATCTATTTTAACAAAATCTTTAGAATAAAATAACATATCAGGTTGATATTGAATAATTTTATCAAAATGCTTTTGTAATTTTTGAAGTTCTTGATGTTTTAAGGAAATTTTATAAGTAAAAAAAAAATTTTCTTGAAACCAATTTTCATGAGAAATTAAAAGTATATCTTGTAAAAAATCTGACATTCCATTAATTTTTAATTCATTCATTGCTATTAATAATTCAAAAATATCTTTTCCTGATAATAAACTAATATTTATTTCACCATAATAAAGGTATTTTAATAAAATATTAAAAGTGGATGATGAAATATTTGGTAAATCTATAACGATATTTTCTTCATCTTTTTTTTTGTTATCAGATAAAATTGTTTTAAACCAAGGACTTTGTGTGCTAAGTATTAACGAATGAGCTTTAAATATATTGTCGTTACTATTTGTTTTAGCATCCTTTTCACAACCAACAATGATTGTTACGTCTCCATCGATTTTCGCTTGGTTAAAAAGTGTTTTATAATTATCAGATAAATTTTTAAAGAAACTATGAGCGAAACTCATTTTTTTCAAGGGGAAAAAGGAAGAAATTACCTGATTATTCAATAATTGACTCTTTTTATACTACGATAACGTGTTAATTGTTTCCAGATTAAGTATTTAACCAGTTATTCCAACACAGGATCCTTGTACCACGATTAATATTATTTCTGTGACAAAAAGAGTTACAAAACTACAAAATAGTTTTATAGAATTATTTAATTAAAGATAAGATTTTCACCTTGATTCTTTAAAATAAAGACTATTTCTTTGTTGTTTTTAATGCTTGTTTCATTTTCTTGTTTCAAAATTAATTTCTTTGTAACCTCAATTTCCAATCGGTACATGAGTAATTCGACTCTCGACTCTCGTTAAAGAGCAAATTTTCTTTTGGGGACGTGACACATTTCCTTATTCAAAATTGAGGCACGTATTGAGGCTCTACTTCAAGAATTGATCAGCATTTTTGATCACATGTTTAATTGATTATTTTTCTCATTTATCAAATAATTACCAAGCATGTCTTCTCATATGGTTCTTGATAATGGAGTATTCTATTCATAATGGTTCAGTGTATGGGCAATAAAACTTATACCATACATACAACGAGAGCCATATCATTACTCATTATCGTTATACCGGTTATCGTAACACCTGAAAAAGAAATGGTTGACACAGAGATATTTATGCAAAATGACGGAAAAAGAATTATACAACAAAACATGTGTTGTTGAAAACATCAAACATGTCGCTGAAGCAAGTAAAGAATCCGTTGACATGAAGGATCCTTACATATTTTCTAATAACTTAGCAACAATACTTGCAAGAAATAAAGAAGTAGTTGCCGTGAGATTGAAAATTTCCGATTGCTGTGTTAGATATCTATCAAGATTTGGTGTTTGTCGTGATAAATATCCAAAAGTTTTATTACATATGGGCGGATGTGTTTCATTAAATCCTACGTTTCTAAGGATGGTGCTTGATGAAGATGTTGAATATATTAACAAAATCGAGGGATCTGAGGAATATATCTAAATGTTGTGGTTTTAACCGATGAAATATTGTCATACTTTTCTAAAAACGCTTGAATATAGATCCAATGAACTTAAGAGAGATTTAACTCGTAATTCAGACGAGGAGTATGTTAAATCTTTCATTGAATATGCTTTAGCTAGTTTAGAAGAATTTGGCCCTAAGAAATTAGATGATGTGAATAAATCCAAAATTTCTGCCATTTGTTGCACTTATTGTAAACAAGTCGAAAAAAGTTCTACGATTCCTGAGAATTTTAGGACATCTCAGAAAGGTGGGATCTTACGTTGCGTCAACGATAAATATGGTAGCATGGGCAAGTAAATAGAAAGTACAAAATCTTATCTTCTAATATCGAATTGCGTATAATGAAGCCTATTATTATAACTGATCAGCCAAAATATTCATGGGAATATGTTATCAAAAGTTTTGTTCGGAATCACGTCGTTTCAGGAACGAATGTTTGAAAAATAGTCAAATAACGGAAAGACTAAAAAGGGTATATACTGACGAAAAGACAGGACAGCTTCATAAGTTGGATGATAGTAACATCAAAACACACGTTTATTTACATGCTGAAATGAATACATTGGTCAGCATGATAGTTCAGTAGGGCATTTATAGCAGTGCAGAATATCATCACCACTCTTATATGCTTATCCGTTTCATCATTTTCGTTATTTAATGCATCCACTTTTTCATCAAAACCTTTTAGATTTATTATTATCACTAATGTTTGAAGGGAGATGCCCCAATTCGTAATCCGTCCCGCTGACATAGTGCTAATTTCTTGCTATTTATGAACCTATCTTTTATGTTTCTATGATTTCTAAATAATCAATTCAAAAATTATGTTAAAGGCAAAACAATAGAACAATAAAACAACATTCGATCACCCTTACTGTTATATTTTTTTACAACATTCCACTCCACCTCACATCTGAGAAGCTTATTGTAAGATAGAACGCTTAATACATTGGTAAATTCTTGCAGTTTTGTAATATTGCACCGCAATCAGCATGCGGAGTTTTCGCCAAAATAACGTAACACATACCGATGATGATTTCCTGGTGAATATTAAGGATAGTAAAATGATCATGGACATTTATAAACCGTTGTGCATGATCAGGTATTATATTTTTGTTTACAGATTTGTGATGTGAAGGCAAGTTTTGATTTACTTACACAAGATGTAAAAGGATTCACTACCTTTTTGTATAATTTGCAATGGTCTAAGGATCGATCTTGAATCAATTTTTGGTGAAATATGATCTCATCCGAAAAACTGATCAACAGACGCTCCTTAGGAAAATTTGACAATATCTCGATCAGGGACATCGGTTTAATCCGCGCAAATCATTAATTCACTTTCCGGAACAAATAGACGAGCCAAGTTTGCCTGGTGTCATATGGTAAATGTGAAGACTCTTCACTTTTAGGTTATAGAGAACTGTGACATTTTTGTCATGTACGTAAAAACTTTTAATGCAAAAAATATAAAATACAAGTGACTTTGTCTGCGGCACGTGACGCCTAATTCATTAATATTATTGCCAGAGTTTAATATTATTGCCATTAGCATATTATCATTTAGTATAGATACTTACAGAGTTTTGAAGTATTGTAAAAATCAATTAAAAATTTTAACATTTATCTGTTTATCAAATCAAAAAGCTACATTATCCGACGGTCAATCGTACGAAAAATTACGTTCATCTTTTTTCAGTTAGTTTTTCTAATAATACCCCAAGAATCAGAGAATCGCAATCTAATGAGCAATGATATAATGATAATTGAAGTAGTAAGATTTTTTAATAAAAATACCTTCTTAAAAATTTCAAATACTAAAGATATTTTATAATATATTAACTAATATAATTAGAAAAGTGAATTATGAAAAAAAAGTAAATAAAATTTAAATATTTAGAATTTTACATTTTAAATTAAAAGTTCATAGTAATATACTACTGGTATATTAGTATTATCTATTATATCAAAGATTCAATGATAGTCTGTAATCAATATTTGGCATTAATAGAACTCAAACTATTTGATGAAAATTTATAAGAGATCAAATGAAAGACTGAAAAAATGATGATAATATTAAAAAAGCATACAAAAATTTATATTCTTTAGAACATTAAGTTTAAAATCCTTATGTCATTAATTATCAAGAATGTTTTTATTTTTAAAGAAGAATATATACAAAAAAATACAATTTAGATATAACCAATTTAGAAATAATATTTGATAAAGGACATCTATTTTTTAGATAAATTCTAATACTATTGATATAAAATATATAAAGCTTACTGCTAATTTATTAAACAAGGTAATTGATTTTTTCATTTTACTATTTTAATTGATTTTTTTTAATTATTTTATTATCTTTATAGAATAAAAAACTACTATTTTTTCTGAAAATAGTAAATCAAAAAAAAAGAAATGAAGAATAAGAACTTTTATATACTAGTAGTAATATTACTTTATTGCAATTTTATAGTAATTATAGTATATTTTATATATAAATTATTGAGTTGGTTATTATTAAATTCATTAGCATTTATTTATTAAATTTATCAATAAAAAATTTTATTATATAATACAAATTATTGCATTATTTATCAAGTTTATTAATAAAAAAATTATATTATACAATATAAATTAACTAATATATAATATATATTATTTAATATCAAGGGGTAGAGGGGGGGCTAACTGATAGTTACACAATAATAAATTCGATCAATAAAACTGTCCTACATATAAAATTCATATACTTTACCTTTACTATAAGAATATAGTGATTTACGAATAATATACCCTTGCAATTAAAAAAATTTACTAAGTAAATGTGACATCTCTTAAAATATGATGACTATCAGATCTTCCTTAACACGTACAAGTTCTTTAAATTTTAAACGCGCTTTTCTTAAAAGAAAAAAATTACATCGGCAAATTTATTACCGTAATTATGGTAAAAAAAGTAAATTTTAAGCCTCTTTAACTGAAATATTTATTAATTTAACCCTTTTTATGCCTTTAGAAACGTGTATTAAGTGACTGTACTAACTCTCAAGTACTAAAAAAAAATAAGCATCCCGAAGCCCTTCAAGAATTATACAATCTTCGACCAGAATTTAATGGCAAACCAGTTTACTTTTTTTATAGAAAAACACAGTATAGAGAGGGACTTTTAATTTACGACAAGCAAGACAGAACTTTTTATGTTTTTGATAAAAAAACTAATGAAAAATTTGATACTTTTGCTTCTTGGATCAAATTTCTCAAAATTAAAAAAATATTTAGTGGCGAACGTTCAGCACTTGCTACAATTTTTTTTGAACCAAACTCTTCTGGTTCTAATTTAGCTTCATTATTAAGAACAAGGCAAACTCCATATTGGAAAAATTATAATTCTGCAAATATAGCAGAAGTTACATTATTGATAAAATCATTTAAAACGTCAAGACAAGAGTTTTTTGATGTAGGAATAAGAGAAAATGTTGATGGAATTAGTGTTATATTTTTTGGAAAAGAACAGAAAATAGAAAAGTATTTAATTATTAAGTGGCAAGAAAACTTAATCTCTTACGAACTAAATATATTGGAAAAACGTGTAAAAAAAATAAATGGAATAGAAACGGGAATTGCAACTGAACGAACCCTTTCAGAAATAGAGAAAACAATTTGTTACATATCTGTAGCAAAAATATGCACAGGTCAAAAGACTGAAGGTATTGATTTAATTACTTTTTTCATTTTTAATTAATTATGATTTAAAGTTTTTTTTTTGTATTTTAGGGTTTGAAAAAGTAGTTCAGCTTTAAGGAACTCATCTTGTGAGAAATCAAAAAAATTCCAATAATTTTCATGAACCCTTTGCAATTTTAGAGAATCGAAGTCAACCTCATGAAGCCTATAGAAGATTGGACTGTTATTTGTTAGTAGCTGAAGTAAATATATGTGAAAATTGTAAAAAATTGAAAGACACGTTAATAAAAATCAAAAATTGAAATCTTATGAATGATTTACCAGTTAAAGTTACGCATGCTTCCCAGGAAATTTTATCTAAAAAAGTTCAATTTCAAAGAAAGGTATTTATTTATAGAATAAGATATTAAATAAAAAATGTATATAAGCAATTAACGTTAGTGTAATTTTTAAAGAAAATTGCAAATCAGAATCAAACTATACATACCTTGCAAAATCGAATTAAACAAAAAGTGGAAGAAGAAGGAGAAAAAGTATCGGAAGAGCTATATCAAATTGCTCAAGATATATCTAGAAAGGTTGTTAAAAATGAAATTGATCTTTCTTCTCTTAATCCAATTTTTCAGGAATTAATTAGAGTTCAAAGTGGAAAAGCAAATGGAGTAAGATATCACCCAATGTAAGTATATCTACTAAAAAAGATTAAATAAAATAAAATTTATTAATGACACTTATAATTCTCTAGGTTTATGCGATGGGCTATTTCTGTATATAGCCGTGCAGGTCATGCTGCTTACGAAGCAATGAAAGGTATTATGCGATTACCTTCAATATCTTTAATAAAAACCTATATAAATGAAAGTCAACAACATTCAGGATGGCAAGATAAAACTGCTCGTCATATTCTGGAAAAAATGTCTATAGAAAATATTGGTAATTATGGTCGAATTGGATTTTTCTCTCATGATTCATTTAAAATACAAAAAGGTTTGTTATTTACCCTAATAAATACTTATTAAAAAATCGTTTTAAAGAATTAATTAGAATTGATATTAATAATAGGCTTACTTTGGAGCCAGCGAGATAATTGTTATGTTGGATATTTGGATTTTGAAAATGAAAAAGAAGAATTACAATCATTTGCAATGCAATGTGAAAAGGAATTGCAAACAGTCAATAATAGTAGTTTACCTACTAATTTAAAGGATTATGATCAGAATCTAGCAACACAAGTACATCAAATTGTTTGGCATTCAGCTACTTGTAACTTTGCATATCCTATAGCATATTATGGAATTAATACTCTTACTGCACATGAAATTAATAAAATTCTTTTTCATCTCGCGGTTAATCTTGAATGTATCAGTATACATACTTGTGGATCTGTTTGTGATGAAGCTGGAGAAAATAGGAATCATATCAAAAGTTTTGACTGGTGGGCTTCATTCTAGTCTGCGGGAGATATTGTTGAAGTTAATATTGGTAAAAACAATTATGAACGAGCAAGAATTATATCAACTAACCTTGATCGTAGTAAATTTGCAGTGTGTTTATTGGACCCATCCTTTTCTAATGAATTTCAAGTTAATCATAACTCATTAAGGCAACCAATGACTACTAAAAAAAATTGGAATATTAATGATTTCTGAGAATTTAAAAGTCTGAAGGATAATAAATGGCATACAGCTATTATCACGAATATTGATTCTGAAACACAAACTTTTATTGTTACAATTTTGTCTAGTAAAGAAGAATGGAATGTGGTAAAAATATCTCAAAATATGTACATTAGGCCCCTTTATGATACCCAAACATATTGGACAAATTATAAAATAATCAACCCAATTACCGGTACACTATGGGTTTTCATTAGTGATCCTACACACGTTTTTAAGAAACTTCGAAACAATCTTTCAAAAAGTCATATTGGAGAAAGCCGAAATCAAAGTATTAGAGAAATTATGATAGATGGAAATGAAGTTAGTTGGTGTCATATTCAAGGTGTTTATGATTATACTGTACAAAATTCAACAGCAAAAATTACAAGACTTACAAAGCGTCATGTTTGGCTTACATCTTGGAGCAAAATGAGAGTTGATCTCGCTTAACATACTTTATCAAAGGATGTTATAGTTGCAATGAGAACAATTGATAAACTGAAAGAAATATCAGCTGGAACTAGAGTAAGTAAAAATATTTAATATTAAAGATAAAATTAATATCGATTATAAAATTTGATGTATAATAATTTTATGAATTTTTATTAGGAATTTATCAATTATGCATACCTTTACCGGCAAATATTTCATAGCAAAAAACCATTGGAAGGTCTTAATGATTCTCGTATTCAAACTCTAAAAGAAATACGTGATTGGTTTTGTGATTATAGATAAGCAAAAAGCTAGCAAAATAAACTGGATCTCCCCACAATGTCAATTCGATTTACTCTTATCTATTTAAGGTTTTTTGGGAATGGTTGAGAGGATTTTTGTATTGTATCCAAATTCAATAATTGAACCACGCAGGATATCACAGGATATGTTAGAAGGACTATTTGGAACAATTCGACAGCTTGGAGGAGATTCCTCCACGCAAACATTAAAAGGATATGGACATGCATTAAACAAATTTCAGGTTACCGCAAAGATAACTACTGAAATTTAAAGCCTTAACTATGGAAAATCAAATCATGCCTGAATGGAACTTAATTGTCTTACTTGATAGTAGGTATTTTTATAAATTAAATCTGTTTAAATCATTCTTTTTTATATTTAAATAAATAAAATTATTAATAATTGTTTTGAAAAGTGATTACAGAAAAAAAATGTCAAAGATATCTAAGGATAAAAATATACACCCTACTTTATCTAGTCATCTTATCCGATTATCCAGCATATCTCCCTTTACACGGCAAATCTTTGAAAATCTTCTTATGAATGATCTGTTTATGGGAAAAATTGAAACTCCGCCATCATCTTTCAGTAATGAAGTTAACCAACAAAATCAAACAATTTTATTACTTCAAAAAGAACGTCATCAGCTCTTTGATTTATGCCTTTACGATGATAGAATTATTTCTCTATTGGAAAAATGGAAAAATAACGTTAAAGATATTGCTTTGAAATCAATTCCCAATAAAAAAGGAAGTCTTTGGATGACTGTGTGGGTTTCTCACTTGGAGATTAGCCTGAATAATTACCTATGTTCTGGCATTTGGTTCTCAGAATTTCAAGAAATTATTTCCCAAAATCATTCTGCTACACGAAGACTAGTTGCCTACTTCCTTATTCACGAAGTGATAGAAGTTACATTTAAGGAAAATTTTCGTAAAAATAAAAACATACAAGAACATGCAGACCCTACCTTGATTCCTAAAGTTATTACTTTGAACCAGGCAGAATCACTAAAATTTTCTTATATTATTGGTTGGGTACTCTTCAAATTGCTCAAAAGAGATCACGTAATGAATTCCCATCCAAAATTTCAAGTTATGCATACTTTACTTAAAGCTCACTGCGAAGAAAAGGTTGAATATATGCCAGAAACAAAATCACAGATCACTAACATTATACCTAGACCCGAATTTACTCAGTTCATGTATTATTTGGAATCTTTAATAATTGAACTGTTCGAGAAACATAATGAATTAGGACCAAATATCCTGTGTTATGTGAAAAATAGTCTTCTTGTTAACTTATCTCTAAATCAAATGTTTATTACAACATTGAAATCAAATAATATTACTGGTGTTGAATTAGAAGATGAAGAATTTGGGTTTATTTATGAGAGATGCGTCACTATCTATATGAAAAGTCGACAAAAAACATGGAGAGACGTTAATAATTACATTCCGGAAAAAGGTACAGCAAGTTTAAGAGAAAGCCTGAAAACGATGCGCTCAAACAACCTAACAACAGAAAATAAAAAGCCCCTTATGAAGAAGGCAAATTTACCTACCGATCCTGCTCATGCTTTAGAACAACTTCGAGTATGGGCACAACTTGAAGGAGCAGAAGACTCATTTTCTAAATTTTTTTTAGTTTCGGAATTATTGTGGATAATTTGGGCATTTGGAATTTCAACGCCATATAAAAGAAAACAAAAATTGGTGCCTATAATTATTTACAACTTAAAAAATTCCACACCATTTACTGAAGAAGCTCTTAAAAGAAGGGTTATTTTTATGGAATAACGAAAACATAAATAATAAATATAAATAAATTTTAAATAAAGTGGAGTTTATTGTCAAAGTTACTAAGATTATACATGAATAAGATATTAAAGCTTTACTTAAACTGACGAGAAAGCCAATAATGCACAAATAACTGTAAAATTTTGGCAGTAAATAGTCTTCAACTATACTAATCTACTTTTGAACATCGGCTTTTAAAAACGTTGTATGTTAAAAGTTTTAGGCTCGACATTTTTTTTTTCAATATAATGAATAATGTGATCGGTATAATTTCAGGGGGGGACAGTTCATAATTGTGATACAAGGTAACACAACAAACAAGTTGGCCCCCCCCTCTACCCCTTGTTAATATTAAACTGTTATTTTTATAGATATTTTTTGATAGTATCAGTTATTATAGAATTAGTTTTTCTATATTTTAAAACATTAAATAACACTAGCAAATTTACCAGTAAAATAGTTTAAGAAATAAGTTTGAAAAATTTAAATTTTATTTATTTACTTTAAGAGAATTTTTTTTTTAATATAAAAAGTAAAAGAAAACCAATTGGTTATTTCAAATTATTAATTAATATATAAATTTTAATTGGAAAAAAGTATTATTTTCCAATAAAATTACTCTTTCTATCTGTATAATTATAATGTAAAACAAAAACAAATTTTATAAAGCATCTATTTAAAGTTTATTATTTGAAATGCAATTAAAATTAGATGATAATTTATACCACTAGTAAATTTTGGATAAATCTTTTTAAGATATAAATGCAAATGCAGTACATGGGTCTTTAACAAAATAATAATTCAAAATATATTTTTCATAATGTTAAAAGTAACATGAAAATTCACCTTTCAGGTTGAGTTTTTTTTGGCCTTCTTATAACTTAAATAACCCACCTTAATTTTAAGAATGTATAGACTGTTTTAAAGTAAAATGTTGAAAAAAATGGCAAAATTATAGAAAAATTTCAAGAAATTCTTTGGATTTGATTAGAAAAGTATGAGATAATCCTAATAATGTCATTATAATATTTAACTGCATTAAAAATATGCAGAGCCACATTAACGCATTGATACAAATAGAATATTAATTTAATAACAAATAAATATATGTATGGTCGCTCATAATTTAGAAAATAAAAAAAAAAAATATTATAATTAATTATATAATTATGCATATATTATTAAAATTTAATCACCAATACTTTCATCAAGGTCTGTATAGATTATAGTACAAATGAAATATCAATGCCATCAAATCAAACAACTAACTACTATCGTACTGTAGGAGAAAGTATGAAGTTATTCTAACAAAGAGAAATTAGAGAGTTGTAAACATATTAGTAATCGGGACGCTTAAGAGATGCTAAGTGAAAACCTGGATAAAAGTGTAATTATGTAGACTTGAAAACAATATTAACACTCGATTTTTCATATATTTAAGTATAATACAGTAATAGAAAATTTTTGATAGCATACTTGTAAAATTCTCGGATTGTTTCCAAACCCTAGATGCATAATAGAACAACTTAGAATATTTAGTTAGCGATCACCTTAAATTCAAGGATTTCATATTTTCAACATAATAAAAAAGGGTATATGAAAAAAAAATGTGAAAACAACATGAATATTAAAAAAAAAAGAATCAACTTCGTAGATTGTACGCGTGAAATTTTTAATTTTCAACAATGATTAATTAAAAATGATATACTGAAATATCTTTTCGTTTCATAAGATAAGAAAAATTTTCTTAAATCCATTATTAAAAGGAACGAAAAAAAATTTATTTTTTTAAGTTTCTTTTTCTTTCTAATTTAATATTTTTACAATAATCAATAATTGTTAAAATTTTGTCACTGGTCAACACGCGTCCTTGTTGAGAAGTACGAAAAAAAAAGAACAGGTTGTATAAAAATCTAATTTTTTTTTCAAAATTCTCATAAATAATGTTCATTCAATATAGAATGTAACGTTAGCTATAGCCTAATTTAGGACTATTATTAATAAAGTTCATTTTCGTGCGCAAATAATAAATTTTTAAATTTAGATTTTTCAGATTTAATCTTCAATCTTCTAACCTAAAATATTAGTAAATATTTAAGTTAGGGTTCAATTAACTTTTTTGGGGGTAATTCGGAATAAGAAATAAAACCCCCTTAACTAACCTCCTACTTCTAAATCTAATTTTTTCAATTAACATTTCATTTATTGTAAAAAGTAATTGTGTTGCATGTCAAAACCTACTATGAATTTTCCGGAGTTAAAATTTTTCCAAATTTAATCTAAAATGAATGACACCAAAAAGTTCATTGGATGCAAGGGGGTAAATTTCAAATAATTTGATCGGTAAATACAAATATAGGTAGTCTCATAAAACAATGCTTACAAGTTTAAACAATTATTATGAGAAAACATTCTTACGCCAGAATTTTTTTTTTCCGAATCTAAGTTAAGCTTTTTTTAAACTTTTTGGAAGTTAAATAAAATTCTAGACCTTTGACTCTATTCATTCTATTTACATCATCAGATCAACTTTTTAAAACGTAAATACAATGTTAAAAAAAAATAAGCTTATTACACAACTATCAATAGGTTAAGACTTAAAAAATATTCTGATTATAATTTGATAAAATAAAGCATGTGGTCATACATTTTTTAAATGTTTCATCTATTTAAGTTAACTGAAGGCTGTTCGATAAAAAAAGAATAAACGTAACAGTAATTTATTCCTTAAACGAATAAATGGGACATAAACAATAATGCCGCAGTAATAAATAAACGTAGGATTTACAAATTCGTCATAATCATTGAAAAAACTCTAATTTACTTTTTTTTTTTCAAACATCACACTTTTTATTAATGATTTTCATTGGATATTCGGTCGATTTAAATATTATATTTGTTTATTTGTTTATTTCATTTTGAAACGTTGCGGAATAATACCATTACCATAAATTGAAAAAATATTGTTGTTGATCGGAGTTACTAATTTTGATTATAGGTAAAATGACATTAATATCATCACCCCCGCAGAAATTGTACCCCTTTTTTTATCGTAATAAAAATGTCCTTTGTGATCATTGTGTATTGTGTGTGGTAATATGGTAATATGAGTAATGTACGCGGCTTCATGGAATTAACACAAAAAAAAAAAAATGGAATTTGTTTATTTTTTTTTTTAACAAAAAAGGTCGATCGCTAGAAGCTCAAATAAATAAATAGTAATTGATCCCCTTTTTTTCGAATTTATTCCTCCTCTCTTCTGCCTTTACATGCCATTATCAGGTATATATGTGTATGTAAGCATAAAATTTGTTGAAGAAGAATATTCGACAATGAGACCAGCTGTAAGACTTTTAAAAACGAAAAGTAGAAAATGTTTCTTTTCTTTTCCTTATAATATGACAAGTTTTCAAACCGGTTATCTTGGCATAGGACCATCGAAAATCTCTGGAGGTTTTCATTTGCGTTATCCATCCTCAAATCCAATTCATATTTCAAGAATTGACGCCACTTTAGTTGGTCAGGAGGCAATGTCCTTTTTTTCTCATGATGATATTAATAATACAAAAAATACATTTTATTCTTCAACACAATGTATTTATCATTCTACTTCAAATAAATATACTCCAATAACTTCTCTTGATTTAAATTTTGATTTTACCCTTGATGATGATATTCCTCCTTCTTATTCTTCACCTTATCAAAAAGAGACGCCTTTAACTCAAAATTTAATACAATATGAAATTAGAATCACTATCACTCGTAAAAGTAATTTATTTAAATTACAAGGAAAAAATAAATTTATTTCAACATCTTGTCAAATTAATCGTTATAGTCTTCCTTCCACTTTAAAATTGAGAGATGTTCCAATATTAATGCATAGATCTGGTGCAAATAAGAAAAAATCAAATCCTAATTTAGATAATGTTCAATTTGAAGCTTTATTATATTCTGAATATATCGATATGAATAGTATTATGACTTTACCTCTTACTTTATCTTTACCTGATTCGAACATGAAAATTAAAGAAATTGGTGTTATAGTTAAAGAACATCAAAAGTTCAGAAATGTTGAAAAAGAAGTTGTTCATTTTGATAAATCTGAAAAAATATTGGAATATAAATTATCGGGAGAAAGTGTTGAAAATGTTGATGGTGATGATAATAAATATTTTATTGAAATGAAATTGGATATACCTGCTTTTGAATCAGTTAATAGATTTCAAGCTTTTGAAGGGGTGAGACCCATGAAATATTTTAAAGTTAGGCATGTGTTGAAAGTTAAAATTAAATTTGAAAATGAAGGTAAATTAGTATTAAAGAAAAATATTTGGTTACAACGATCTTTTAGTGAAAAAAAAATCTTAAAAGGAAGAACAAGAGGTTATATATATAATTAAGTCCTTTAAAATTTTTTTTTTTTTACCTTATATACTGTATATTCTGTATATATATATATATATATTTATTTATTTATTTGTTAATATGTAAAAAAAACTAATATTTTATAATAAATTATATACAATAACCTTTTTTATTCCTTTTAAATAATATACTTATTTACAAATTCTTAATGTTTCTCTGAAGTAGTGCCAATAAGCAATGATTACTTATATTATTGAGGTAAATGTAAACTAACTTGATTATTTTAAATAATTATCGACTCGAATTCTAACCTAACATAAAATATTTTTAGCAACAATTGTTGAGGATGTCCATTGAATTTTATCGAGGCTTTAAAGTTGCAGATCCGAAATCCGAAAGGAAAACATAAAAATTAGTATATCCGGTATTAATTTAATTATTCTTTGTTTACGTTTATCAGTTTGCGAAGATCGTCAATTTTTTATTAATGGTACCTCCAATAGGGGAGATAGGAATTAAAGGTGGTGTAATGATAAAATATTTATTACAACCAGATTTGGATTCAAACAGGGTTTAATGATGCATTATACCAGTGTAATGTTGAAATTGGTGTAATGTGCCGTTTCGGCATATCCTAAATCTAATTCTCCCCTATTAATACTTTTTAACATTTTATTTGTAGCACATAAGAATTTGTTTTGCACATCGTAAGGGTAATTTCTATTTTTTTTTTATCCGGATCAGCTAACATACTTTTTTAGTTATAGATAAATTACCAAAAATCTATGTTCTGAAGGTAAATGAGATTTGAATTCACCCAGCTCGATCTTCCTTGACCGTTCTTGATGGGTGTGTATTATTTTTTAAAATTTAGTCACGCGAAAACAATTTCTTTCTGACATTAACTACCATATATATCTAGAAAAGAAGATTCAAATAGTAAAATTAATGAGATTTCAGTTCTTCACCATTTAAAATGTCATCTACAAACTGATTAGCACGATTAACAGATTAGAATTTGCATCCATTTGTGGTTTATAATAAGATAGCTGCGGTGCCTATAGCAACTGATCATATTAAAAAAAGGAAACATACTTACGATTATGTTTGTTATATTTGTGTCATTTCCGGGTATCTTTGGTGAGAGTTAAAAATGATTTATGGACTGATTTGATGGGCGTTGAATGAATATTTATAAAGATGTTCAACTATAATGCTTACTGCGCCGCAAATCGGATGTTACCATCGAATTGAGGATATATGATGGTGCATTATTTCAAATCTTGGGACGGACAACCTTTCAATGGTAAGTAAGTATATCAGACAAAAGCTTTTTTTATAAAAAAATTAATTAAGACAATAAAAACTTCCATAAGTAGTTCTATTCAGAAATATTTATATGTAAACTTACCAGTAAATACTTTTTATGAACACTTAATAAAGAAGATAAATTATTTTATGTACTTAATAGAAATGTCACCACAAATTTTGTTATTATTCTCTTAATAATTATTGAATGCACCATCCTTCTCAAAAGGAGTGAGTTAGAAATTATATACACATATTCGATATAACGGAATTATCCGATCCGTTAATAAAAAATGTCAAAAAAACCGTTATAATGTTATATCTAGAATTCCGTTATATCGAGGGTAAATTAATGATAATCCGTTCCAGACCCAATTCCGATATATCACACTTTATAGCAACAGAAAGGAAAAATTTATATAAACAAAGATTTATGATTCATTGATATTAATGAAATTTATGATCCAAGTAGATCATAGAACAATTCGTTCACTTGTAGAAATATGAAAAGAAAATTCATATCTTTAGACGTAAAAGTCGAGATGATAACAGTAAAAATTGCGATATTAGAAATATCAATTGTCGTAAATAAGCCAAATACATATTTTATAACGATGCAGTAAAATAATTAAAGAATTGATTATCGATGTGATATGATGAAAGTAAGAATAAAGATGAAATCACGATTTTTTAATTAAGAAATTTAAGAAATGAGTTTGAGGTTGCATTAAATTCTTGAGTTATTTTATTCTTTCTTTTTTATAATTCTTATTTTATATACTAACTATTTTTTTTTTAAAAAAAAAAATTTCATTCTATTTTTACTCTTTTTTTATTTCTTTTTGATCCTTGTGATTTCTTTTGTTTAGATGTATTATTATTTCCTTCTCCTTCTAAACTTTGTGCATCATCATCATCGTCATCTTGTTCTCTCCAATCAACTAGATTTTTACGTAATTGACTCGTAATATATAGATCAGGAATTATTTCGACTTTGTTTTTTGTAAAAGACAATGTATTAAAATTAAAAGCAATCAAGTACAAAATCATTTGAGGAGAAAATTTACCTGTAGTTGAACCATATTCATTAATCTGCTTAACTAATGAATGATCTTCAGGAACTTTTTCATACTTATTATCAAAAAAAGAAGAAATAAATAAAAATATTTTGTTTTCTTTTTAAAAGTTTTAAAGTAAATTTCATAATACCTCATTATCATTTTTTTTGAAAACAGTAATTAAACTCTCATTAGATTGTTCTTCTTTTACATAATTAGAAACCCATAGATTACCATCAATATCATAAGCTAAATCTAGTGGATCAATAGATAAATTTAATGTTTGAAGATATTGAATTTGTTTTTCAGTTTCATTCCAATCAAGTATTACAATTCCAGGAAATCTTTATTATAAAAAAAAAAGAATTCCTATTAAGATATATTTTGTATAAATTTTCACGTTTAAAAAAAATATTTCAATTGATTTAACGTTGCTTACTTTTCTATAGTTAGAGCTATATGTTTTGATATCGGGCTACTTGTTATAGATGTGATAACAATTGAATTTGAATCTTCAGAATCTACATACGTTTCTTCTTCATCATTGTAAGTTTCCTAAATGTAATTAAAGCATTATTATAAGTATTTATTTTAAAAACTTTCTTTCAAAAATGATTAATTAACATTTTACCTTGGTTTCAATAATTTCTTTAATATTAAGAGTTTGTAATAATTTTCCGGGAACATAATCCCATAATGCTATAAAATCATCACCACCGGCCGATATCAATAGATCATTTGCCCATGGTAATATATGTATTTTAGATACAAACCTAATATTATAACAAAAAAAAAATTAATAAATATTCCCTCATAAAACGGTATAATATATATATATATAAACAGCGTACTTACTGTTTATGACCTAAACAATAAGATTCAATGTTGTATCCTTTTGGGAATCTACTTACACGTATATGCTCATCTCGATCACATGTAATAACATACTTATTATTTGGTGTTATTACCTATTTATTTATTTATTTTTAATTTAAAAAAATAAATTCTTAAATTCTTAAATTAATAAAAATGCCAGATGATAATTACCATGTCAGTAACCATTGATACATGTCCTAATAATAAAGTAGAAGCATTTTGTTTATCTTCGGGTGGATCTAATGGATGACTAAAAATAAATTATCATCAATTAGTCAACAAATTAAGCTTTTCACCTGATCGACTGATAATTACCTGTAAACATCCCCAAATTTATCAGCAATTACAATTTGTGATCCATCTTTATTGAAAGCTATTGATACAACACGTTTTTGTACCGGTCTAAAATAAAAATATAGCAAATTGGTTTGGACGGAATGAAATCAATCAGAAATAAATAATTTATATAACTCAGAAGATATACCTTGTATTTCGTAATTTCCATTCATCGCAATTCCAAATTTTTAATATTTTATTTTCATCACTTGTAGCCAATAACGTCGATGATATCGAAGAGGATGATGTATTGAAATAAACTCGGTCATAAAATGCTAATGTTCTTATTGTAGCTAGATGAGCATCAGTAGAAGGGATTATATATTTAGGATGTATTGAATTCGATGAAGAATTATCAGTTTCGGTGTTGTTAACGACGGTGGTGTTGTTGTTATCAATAGAATCATTGTTCGAAGATGAAACTAATGAACGAGTTGTTGATATCAATGCACCTGTACTATATAAATGGTTAATAATCAAAAAGAAAAGTATCGCAAAAGATAAAAAAAAAAATATTAATTGAAGTACCTTGTATCTAATGCATGAAAATGTGAACCAAATACAAGGATTAACAAATTTTTTGTAGGATGATGTAATAATTTTGTAAATGGTAATCTATATGCCATCATATATTACCCTTAATTTTTTTTATTGAAAAAAAATTTAAGTTGGGAGGTCGGAAGGAAAATTGATTGAGATATTAAAATGGGGTAGATATTATAGAGATATAATGCTGCTGATCATTCACGTGATTGATCTTCCGCGATTATATTAGATTGATTAATTTTTTATCAAAAAAATTTTATGGCGGAACGTCGGAACGACTACCTTAGAGGGGTTAGTTGGTGACTTATATATTGATATAATCTGTCCTTTTTTTTGGGTTAGAAATCTTTGTTTTGTACACTACTCTGTTCTTGTCTTAATATTAAAAATAATAATAAAAATAAAATCAAAAAAATTTTATTCTCACTCACTCTTTAATAGAAAATGGGTAGCGAAAGATATAATTTTAATATGAAACAAGCGCTTGTGGTATATCATTATTATAGTGAATATTTTTTTTTTATTTGATTTTTATAACATATTTTCACTTTTCACTTTATTGTATTAAGGCAGGTGGTATAGCAGGGACAGCAGTAGATGTAGCTTTATTTCCTTTAGACACGCTTAAAACTAGATTACAATCTAAATCAGGATTTAAAGCTTCAGGAGGATTTCGTGGAATTTATTCAGGGTTAACAAGTGCTGTAATTGGTAGTTCTCCAGGAGGTTAATATATATAAAAATTTTTATTCTTTTTAGAATATTTATGATTTTTATTTTTTATTTTATTTTATTTTTTTTTAATAGAAGAAAAAAAAAAATAAAAAATCTTGTATATTAAAATAGCATCGGCATTTTTTGTTACATATGAGTATATGAAAAAAAAATTAGGAAGTATATTTCCCGATTCAAAATATTTACCATTTATTCATATGATCGCTGCATCAGGTGGAGAAGTTGCAAGTATATTAAATACTTTTATCTACCGTAATTAAAAAAAAAGAATTTTTATTTATTTATTATTTTTGTAATATTTTTTAAGGTTGCATGTATTGTAAGAGTTCCAACTGAAGTTGTTAAACAACGTATGCAAGCAAAACAGTATTCTACAACTTCATCAGCGTTAAAAACTATTTTTAATCAAGAAGGTTTAAATGGTTTTTATCGTGGATATTTTAGTACTGTAATTCGTGAGGTAATTTGAAATTTTTTATTTTATTAATTTATTTTAAAAAAAATAAAAAGTAAATAATATACTTATCATTTTATAGATACCATTCACTTGTTTTCAATTTCCACTTTACGAATATTTAAAAATTGTAGTAGCAAAAAAAACAGACCGAAATTATATTGAACCATGGGAAGCAGCAATTTGTGGTAGTGTAGCTGGTGGTACAGCGGGCGCTGTTACTACTCCATTGGATGTTATAAAGACGCGTATTATGTTATCGGCTAAAGTAATGTGATCATGATTTTTCTGAGATTTTTTTGGAATTTTATTTTCACCATTCTAAAATATTAACTTTCATTTCTTTTTTTAGGGTCAAACTATACATAATTATTCTGGTACAATCAATACATTTAATAGAATTTTGCATGAAGAAGGAGTTAAAGCTTTATTTTCCGGTATTGGGCCAAGAGTCATTTGGATTAGTATAGGAGGAAGTATTTTTTTAGGAGTTTATGAGAAAGCAAAAAAAACTTTGTGTGAATATGACATTTTAGCCTAAAAAAAAAAAAAATTTTATTTATAAAGATTTCATAAAATAATCAAAGGAAACAAAATAATAGATGATTAAGATTGAAAAAAAGAAGAGTAATTTATATAATTTAATCAAATAAAGCAATTTAATTTAATACATTTATAAATTATTCAAGTTCATAAATAAATATATATATAAAATATTAGAGCTCCGAATGGGTCAGGTCAGGTCAGGTTGTCTGTTTGACCTGACCTGACCTGAAACCTGAAAAATTTCAGGACTATTTTTATTAAAGTATTGAAAATAAATGGTACAAAACTTTTTTTTTTAATATAATATTATGAAAAAAAACGTTTTTGCAACGTTTTTTATTAAAATATTGAAAAAAAATATTGCAAAACGTTTTTTTTAAATGTTTTTGCAACGTTATTATTGAAATATCAAAAAAAAAACGTTACGAAACATTTTTTTAATATAATATTATGAAAAAACGTTTTCGCAACGTTTTTTCTCGAAATATTGCGATTCAACATTTTTATATTAAAATCATATAAAAAAGTGAATCCCAATACTGCAATTCACTTTTTTATATAGAATTAATATAAAAAAAGTGAGTTGCGATATCGCAAATCACTTTTATTATATAAAATCAATATAAAAAAGTGAGTTGCGGTATTGCGATTCACTTTTTTATATTGATTTTGTATAAAAAAAGTGAGTTGCGGTATTGCGATTCACTTTTTTATAT